CGGTAAAAGTGTCTAAATGGTTAAAATTGGAAAATCTCATGTTTATAAAATGGTTTTGAGATTGTTTACTAGAAACTACTTGATATGAATCAAATTATCATAGCTAATGTTTAATGTCAACAACTTAGGAGTTTTGTGTAAATGTATTCAAATAGTTTATCTTGGAATATTACAAATATTTGAACATTCGTTTTGAAATTTAGGATATTAGGATCTGTGGAACTTCCTCCGATTATCACTATTTCAATAATTATACCAATACTTTAGATCTAGTTTTCTTAAACCGAAATAAAACTGATATTTTGCAACATTGTTATTATAATAAATAAACAATCCGATAGTTCACCATTGGCACCATTAAGAATTTAAGAGAAAATGAATGGTTGCGCAACGTCTCTAAACTGCCCATCCATTAAGCGCATCAACGGCCCAGAGGAAGCTCGCAATTCGCTCCCATTACCATACCCACATTAAGTGATTTAATCCACTCCACATTGGATTAGCAGAAAATCGGGCCTACATCCTTACTTAACTCATTCCAATTGAAGCCGAAACCAGTTAGACGGTCAATTAATCAAAACACGCGCGCACATTAAAAGAAAAAGACAACAACAAGAACCCATAAAACGCTTACCATACTCATCGTCACAAAATTATACACAAAAAAGTAATAATAATATTTTATTTTAGAAAGTATTTAACATTTGAGGCAATCAATTAACCGAATTCTTTGTATATGGTTTATGTTTGTTTTTTTTTTAAATTCGTTTGTTCTGTTTTTACCTTTCGACTTCTGAAGCTCCGAAGGCATATTATTATGCAAGCTGGATCTCCTTTGGCGGTTGGCACTTGTTAGGAAGGTATTAAAATTGAACGGAAGAACAAGTGAAAACTATAGTTGTATGAATGTAGAGGAGTAGTCACGTACAGAGCGAAGGAGGAAAATCGCGTAGAAATGGAATCGCAGCGTGATCCGGGGCACTGATTAAATTAGCAGAGTAATAGTAATGAGTTCCTTACACATCTTTAAGCCGGCGTTAATTAAACGCCGCACCATGTGGTCGACGGGATTATGTAATTCGTTACACAGGCACACGCATACAAAGAGCAGTAGAGGCAAAAGCAGCAGCAGCAGGGTCTTTCGTAAGGGTTCTTTTGTTTGTTTATGCTGCGGTGTGTTTACAGTTTTCCCCGGATCCGTCGACGGGACGGTTTCCCACCCATCGAGTTACGTTCCAAAAGTGAGGAACCTCCTAGACACTCTTGGAATGTTATTTTTTCTTCTATATATACCAATGATGAAGGCAGTACACAATTCCCAAAAAATGCAAAGTTTCATTAATTCCATGATCATCTGATCTTCATCTTTCAAAAGTAATCTATTAATGTTCCAAATTTAGTATACGATTTCTGCTTATTACAACATAAATAATTAATGACAAAAGTAGTGCCAATTAAAAAAAACACACGAATCATTGAAATTATTGATCTTTTCATTAAAATATGACTAACATAGAAGCACATCTATAAAAAAGGTACAGTGATATTCAAATCGGATACCTTACAAAGGTTTTAAAAATCAAAAAAAAAATCTTTGTCGTACTCGACGTTCATACGAACGTACACTAAAACTAGTTTTAGAAGACAGACCACTTTTGACTTTTTGCATTCAAATGATATAAAAAAATGACAATGATTATTATTATATATAACAAATTTGATTTTATATTCACATGCAATGCAATTTTATAAAAAGTACAGTCAGCGTACAGTTAACGTACAAAATGCATACAATGATTGCAGTACGTTAAGCGAATGTATGTTAAAAGAACGGTGGATTCTCATTTAGGATTTGTACACTCATATATTTTTCTTTGCATGAACGTACCATATAAGTGAGGTTTAAATCGTATCTTAAAACAAATGTCTATATCGCAATCCCGACAACCGAAATACCCTCTATTGAAATCCCGACGTTCGAAATTACGAGTGTATCGAATTCCCGACCTTCGAAATCCCGGCTGTATTAAAATCCCGACGCTTGAAATCCCGACTATGTCAAAATCCCGACTACCATAATCCTGACAATCAAAATCCCGACTACCATAAAAATGATATTGTACAAATTTATAATAATAAAAGACACTGTCGGGATTTCGATATACGTACTATATAAGTGAGGTTTAAATCGTATCTCAAAAAAAATGTCTTTATTGGTCTATATCGCAAGCCCGACAACCGAAATACCGTCTATTGAAATCCCGACGTTCAAAATTCCGAGTGTATCGAAATCCCTACCTTCAAAATCCCGGTTGTATTAAAATCCCGCCGCTTGAAATCCCGACTATGTCAAAATCCCGACTACCATAATTCCGACAATCAAAATCCCTATTATATCGAAATCCCGACTACCATAAAAATGTTATTGTACAAATTTATAATAATAAAAGACACTGTCGGGATTTCGATATAGTCGGGATTTTGATTGTCGGGATTTTGACTTAGTCGGGATTTCGATAGACGGGATTTCGGTTGTCGGGCTTGCGATTGCCACCGGTCTTATATTACTGTGTTTTCTAAGGAACAAAGTCATCTCTCCAAAAAACTAAGCACATGAAAACTTAAACATGAAATATAACGGATATCACGTGGCATTCTGGCGGATAATTACTTAACAATTTTTATAAGAAGGCAGCAATTTGTACTAAAACTTTTTATAAAAATACGATTTTAAAATCTTCGATTAGTCCGGTTTCAAACAGTCCGGGATATTGGCAATATTCCTACTTCGCATTTTTAAATGAGTCCAGAGACTTTAATTAACAAGATTGATTGCTTCCTATTAAAAAAAAATGAATTACACCGAAACAAATCAAATCGAACATAACAGTATATAAATATTTGGCACACAATTAATTAAGTATCGGTTTGAATAATTATTTACACTCAATCATTGCTAATTATATGCAAATTCTCGTTGAGTTTTTATAAATATTTAGTACGTTTAATTAATTTAAAAAAAAATGAGGTCAGGTTCACGTTTTCATGTTCCATGTACATTTTAATACTAAAGAAAACTTATTAATAAAAAAAATAGTTTATTTTAACAATTAATCAATTATTATCCTTTTTTTATGAAAAAAATGTATACATTTGTTGTATGATTTCATTAAGAAATATACTAATTATGTAACAGTAAACCAATTGTATTTTGTATGGTGTTCATTTAGTGCTGTTTCTTATTGCATTAGTATTAATAAAGCAATTTATTCTGACATTAGAGAATCATACTTAAGTAACTTAAGCTTAGCAATGAGTAAACTGGATACACTTTATACATTGAACAATTTCTGCATGCAACCAAGTGTACAGAATTAAATATTCTTAATAAACATTATAAATAATTTTACATATACTTTAATTGGAATATTATTATCACACTGTATTAATATACACTTTATATAATTATATTTTTTTTAAATAATTTTTGATTTTTTTTTACTAATTTTACTATTGTAGTTAAAATTGTAAACTATTGGTTGACGATGTCTTTATAAGTTTAACACTGATGTATTAATGTCTATTTGTTTTGAGATCCAATACATCCCAAATTGGACTCCCATCCAAGTACTATCTTCTAACCACGTCTCTTAACTATTCGTTAACAACAATCTGTTAGATGTTTTTAGAAGTTTAACACCTATGAATTAATGTATATTTGTTTTGAAATCCAATGCATCCCAAATTACAAATTGGACTCCCATCCAATTAATGTCGTCTAACCACTTGTCTTAACTTTTCGTAAACAACAACCTATTAGATATTTCTAAAACTATAGCACTGACGTACTTAATGTCATTAAACAAAGTTACAATATTTTTATTAATGAACAAATATTGTTTATACAAAACAAATGAATATATTTGCTGTTAAGATAAACAAGGACTTATATAAGTAGATTAAAATTTATTAATGCACACGTCTGCATGATTAACATTTGTTTGTATTCACAATTGAGCCTGTTTCCTCTACAATCAATTAATAATTTCACTTGCCTTGTTGTTCAACTATCAGCATCATACAGATGAGTTAAATACTTAATAAAGCAATGATAAAAAGGTTACAGTACCATTATTGTTAATATCTGCTTGTACTCACAATTGGCCTTCACTTTGTTAAATTAATCTGTAAATGATATGGACAAATTGTAACAAAGAGATTTCTTTTTTCTACATAATTTGTCTCTAGTTATCAAATAAAATTAATTTAACTAATTTAAATTTATTAAAATTATAATTAAGTAAATGCAAATTATGAAACAGGACTTTAAAACATAATTTTATTAAAATAATATTTATACCGTTAGTTTCACTTTTTGTTTATTTTGAAAGTGTGTTTACTGATTATAAATTTATTTACACTGAATATGAAATTCAGTCAATAAAAATTTACAAACAATTACAAACTTTGTTGGTAAAGTATACAGATATTTAATAATAGTGACAAATTATATAAACGCAAACAAATACTGACGCATCGCTATTTTTATCAATCTTGTATACTTCTGTGCAATGAACTACCGATTTTGCGTAAATGAAAAGAAAAGTTTGACATGTGATGTACTGAATACATAGTTATTACAACTTTCTATATTATTGCTATCATAACACATGTTTGATTTGTCGGTTAAAGTGTATATTATTTTGCAAAGTTAAGTAGTTATTTATGTTTTCTAGTAGTCTTTTATAGTGTGAATGATGTAGTTCCATAGTACGTCATTAAATTAAAGCATTCTCTTTCTACTAGCATTTTATTATAGTATAACGAGTTTTGTCTATAATTTTGAATCGAATTTGAATTCTTTGATTAATAAATTGTGGGTTTCATTCAGAGTTTCTAAACAGTTTCTATTGAGGTTTTTTTTAAGTAAATTATTTTACTTGCAAGTCTAGTAACTCGCATATTTCAGGTATTGTATTAATATTTGTTTGTTCAATTACCTTTTTCTTCTGGTGATGCTTCTGGGGAATGGGTGCACCTATCGAAGGTTGCCTAGGTACTGCGGGTTCTGGGGTGACGGCTTGGATAGGCCTAGGTGGCCGACGTGTGACCTTCTTGAGACTAGAAATGCGCTTCTCGCACATCAAATTTACGTCATATATTCTTTGGAGGACCTATTGTTAGCAGAAACATATTGTTTTTAATTGATTGATGATCCAATGTTGATATTGCAACTAACCTGAGTCACGAGGGCTTTGGTTTCGAGCGTGCATGACTCCTGGAAAATCTGCTCAAAGTTTTTAGCTGTACTCAGATTGAACTCATCCGCTGAGGCTAGATATTCTTGGAGTTCGTTGAGCGAGCGCTCGGCGAGTTCCACGGAGCTGGTGCACTTCTCTATACCTTGAGAGGCCAGTAGGTCGATGCATTTGGCGCACCACTGGTTCGCCTGGAATCATTCGAATGGGGGAACATTCAATGAACAATAAGAGGGCAAAGTGTTAATGTTTCTTATTAAGGTGTCATTAGCGAGTGAGGAGCGCGGATTCTCGGCGGTAGCGCTCGCCAAGGCTCGCGCGCGACTCCCGAGCGCGGGCAATTTAAATGTCCGCTGTAGATAAACAAATGATGATAAACAAGATTGACTCACTTTGTCAATTTGCTCCATTAGGTCCCTGCATTTGACCAAGGTTTCCAGCCGTTTATCCAATCTGCCGGTCAGGATATCTCGCACTCTCATAAGTTCATTGCATTTCGGCTCGACGCACTCGAGCGGACAGGAATTCTTAATTTTCAATAATTGATGACCAGATGCAATGACCTCTTCCCCACGCTCGATGTCAGCAATGCAGAGTTTCTGGAAGGCCGACGTCTCGCGCATCAGCGTTTCCACCCTGGACACTGTATCTCCGATTTCGGTCATCTCGGAGACGATCTTCAAATGCTGATCGAAGTTCGCTTGAAGCTCGCGAAAGTCCTGCTCGAAGCGTCGCAGATCCAAACAGTGTCTAAGCTTCGTTGAGTGCTGACCCCAAAACTCATCGAATGTCCTTTCAGTTTCCTCCAGTTGCACTAGCAACCTCTCAACGGTGAACACATTCCCAATGGTATCTGGCGAATGGTTGAAGGTCGAGTCCTGATTAGTTGTCGATTTCTCCCTAATAGTACTTAACAGCCCTTCTCCATGCTTGGCGGCTGTTAGGATACCGTCCTTGAGCGTGGAATATTCCTGGGTTTGTTGATTGAGCAACTGCTGGGTCGAGTCCACGTTGTTTGGTAGCTCGGTTTCACTGATGCGCTTGGTAAACTCATCCAGCGCGTTCGATACTTCATGGGTACGCGCTGAGAACTTCTCCAGAGCCTACACAATCAAATTATGCTTACTCCGAAATATAAAATAACATCGTAATAACATTCACTTACGACTCTCTGCTGGATCCATTCATTGTGGCTATAGTCCAAAGATCCTCCCAAATCTTCAGTCAATTGACTGGCGTCTACGTGCTCGTGCAACTCCTCCTCCGTACTCAGAACCACCATTCGAAATTTAAACTCATCTTTAAACCATTTATAACTAACTTCGGATAAAGCTTTCTGTAGAAAACTAGCCGGACGTATCACATATACGACATGTATTAACCCAGGAAAATATACCTAGAACGACGCACTTTAATTATTACTGATTTTATCTTTATTTTCCGAATACTCACAGAAATTTTCAACAATACTGTTTTCACTGAATTCCACCTATCTTTTCTCCTGTCTATAATCAAATGGAAGCCCAGATCCGCCTCTTGCAAACTACAAAACAAATTCGTTGATTACACATTGATTATTGATTAGGAAGTATGTTGACTCACGAAGGTACAGAGGTTAAATATAACATTAAGCGTTGGTACTCCGTGTCCGTAAGGGCATGGAAATTGTTTTGGTCAGGGAAGGTTATCAAGGGGCATCCATCCTTGGACTTGCCACCCGTCACGATTGCGTATTGGGGGTGCAAAAGGTCGGCCACATCGTGAACACCAAGAGGCTCAAGTTGGACCGCGCTCTGCATCTCTATTTCCTCAAACGGTGTCTCTGGGTCATCTGCGAAAAAGCCAAATCGCTCTTTTATCTTATCGGCAGCACACGCACACATAACACCGGAGCCAACAAACTGAAACACTGTTCGGACTCAGAATAAATGAACGAGCAAACAAACAAACAGCGAGACGATAATTAAATTCGCTTACTTGTTCAATTTTCGCTCGGTATTGTCTATAGTTTCGAACAAGTTCACCTTAAAAGCGCAATTACATCGGCGTTGCATAACAACCAATTATGTTCTTCGACTGAGCGGGGACCGAACTGAGCGTGTGTGCGCGCGGTATGCACGATATTGTCTGTCCCCTCGAGTATATTTTTTTTTGTTATCAAAACACAAACAAAGCGGATCAATCCTAATAAACAAACAGTGCACGTACCACTCATTTTTGAGCTGTTCCCGCCACTGTTGGGACGTGAATTCTAAATGAAAAGACTTGCTTTAGAATAAATAAAATGCTTTTATTATAATGAAATATAATTCTTTTACGCTTACTTCTTCGTCACCACCTCTCATCTCCTCTTCACGTTAATCATTACATAATATTTACACATAGATAATAAATTTATGAGAAAGTATCTGAATAAAAACATCGAGCATTTGGATATATACTGTGAATGTGTATAATTCATCTATATATAGACGTAATATGTACTATCATAACTTAAAAATATATCATAATACCTATAACAGAATAATTAATAAAAAAGAAACGTTAATTTCGTTATCACATATTTACTTTTTTTTGCGAACTTTTTGTAATAAATATTTTGGTAGGGTTTACGTTATGTTTACATTCGATTAAATGTATATGGGGTATGTTGCTGTGCATTTGCCATTGTAGTTACAATTCCCTCATTAATAACATAGCCGGTATTAGTAAGCTGGTACGAAAATGTATTCGAAGCGGCGTGGTTGGTGGGGTTCTGGGCAACTATGTTGGCATTGGGAAGGATCTGCGGGACGGGCGTTACTAAGAATGCCTGTTGGTGGTGCTGGTTATTGGTGCTGTCGTTAGGCGCTACCACCAATGGTATGACCTGCTGAACTTCGTTGTTAATTACGCATTTCTGCGGTTGCTGAATCTGCTTGTTTAACTGGTGCTGATTAATTTGGTTCGTTTCTTGCGGGAGCGCCTGAATTGGCAATGGCGGCGCTGGTGCGTTAGCTTTAGGTTCGACCTTGCAGAACTTAACGTGCGGGAACTGTTCTTTCATGAAATGTCTGAACGTAGAATATCCCATAAGCTTGATACCAGGCTCTAAAATTTGCCCGTACTCCTTGTAAGCGTCGTGTAGGTTCTTCCTTGTTATATCCCAAGGCAGCTGGATGGGTTGCTTGGAATTACCGCTGTCTCCAGTGTGCTGCTCCAAGTATTGTTTCAAAAACTCAGTGGCATGTCTGTAAATGTCCAACGAAAATGTATTGTGCGGCTTCTTGCCATGGTTACCATGCACCCTAGGTGCAACTCCATGAGTCATAACATGCTTTCTTATGCGCTTCAATTGGTAATGTGTGCAGTTTTCTAAATACAAGAATGCATCCAAACAGACCCTTCTACCCTGGTAAACGTATTGTGCTCTCAACCGTCTCCTCTCCTTGTGCCGAACTGTAGTATCAGGATTAGCCAAGCAAGCCATGGTCACCCCCATCAAATACATGTCATGCTCTCCTTTCGTTAACTCGGCAATATTCAGTCGATGCTTATAAACACTTTCAGGATTTAATCCGCGGAAGCAGCTCTCATCCTGGCACTCGCATCCGCGTTTGAAGCGCTCCTTCACCTGCACCGCGCTCTCCTCCAATTTAGTCGGATCATTATTACCCACCACTTCAACAGTTCCTTTTTTCTTCTTTTTCAAAGGTAACTTCTTCTTGCCTTTCGGTGGCGTCTTTACCTTCACCTTCTTAGGCTCTTTTTCCTCGGGTTCCTGTATTTCCTCCAGCATCGGCGTCGTCGCCTCCGGTGCAGTGGTTGTATATATGGTATTCAATTGGGTTGGATCTGTATCAACCTGAATAGTATGTCCTTCCCAAATAACCTAAAATCATAGAAACCGGATTAGCAAACGCTCGAATCTTATAGAGTCCGTGAAACTTACGACGTGATGATCATCCATAGCCTGTGTGAATTGGTTGTTTGCTTCGATGGTAGAGAAGAGCGACGGCGTCGATATAATTGGAGTGTGCCATTGTATCTGGCCGTCGTGCTCCTGATCCTCGGGGTTTGTTTGGAATTGCTGGTTCTCATCATTTTGTCTGTCTGTAACAATCACTTCTTGCTTCTCTATGCGTTCCACTGATAGCAAGGAGTGCAATACCTCGCTTGCCTCCTTCTCAGCGGCGTCCACTCTAGCCATCTTCATTTGTAACCAATTTGTTGGATTTACTAACGTGCGCTGATTTCGTTACTTTGTAGCTCGCTTATGCGTCCGTGTCTATATTGATTACAATTTGCTTTGTTATGGTATTTTATTAAAATAATTACGAGTTTTTGCATTGGTCTCGAGTATAAGTTAATGTTCTGGAAAAAGAAAGGAATTGCAGTTACAAAAGATGAAGTAACATAGGTGGTAAAATGGCTACCAAAAGGGATAAATTAATTTAGTATTTTTTGGGTCGCGTTTCCGAAAATAATGTTGTGAGCAGGAAATCGATTTGTGTCTGTTCGTTAGGAAGGCGATGGAGGCGACGTCGACGACGGCAGGCGTCGGCGATGGCCGATGCATACGGTGCTGTATTATTTGAAATTTCGATGGAAATATAAACAGAGATCAGTAATGAGGATATGGGAATAGAGTGTGGGTCTGAGAAGCGAAAACCGTCTTTAGAGTTGGACGGAAAAGACCAATTTCGCTCGGCCGAATAAATACGCAAACAAATATGGGCCCTATCGCCGTCCATTGCACTCACATTAATTACTGAATTTCCGCAGTTCTGCAATGGTACATGGTAGTTCTAGGGTCGGTCCGTACGCACACGATGGCTACACGACCCTTGCTAAGTATTTTGAAGATGGTAGCTTCGCAACGGGACGGTTTTACCGCACCGAATCTCGAAACTGACGCCGCGTTTTCTACGCCATAACACTGTAGCAAACGAATGATGTACCTACATGAAATGTCTCTAGAGAAGGAGCGGTTGCGCACTCTCCACACCTCAGCCCGCCAACATTCAAACGAGAACCACATGGTTAGTGGTGCCGCACATTTACTACTTACCCATCACACTCGATGAAACCACACTTCTTCACACGATGCACAAATTTCCATCACAAACTTTCATCCGCACCGACCCTTCGGACACACACATACACACAGCAACTCGAATGCTTCCACTGGTCTTTGACCATAATTCTCCAGATGCAAGACTCGAGATTCGTGGTTCGCACTGGATGCGCATTTGGTACCGTTGATCCGCAACATGCACATGATCAGCGGAACAAACGATCAATCTTCGATACGATTGATTCCGGCGGGTGCGTTGAACCGGCCCCTTGCCGCATTGATAACTTTCAATGTCAGGGTCGTGGCCGGTTAATTGAAAACCAATACTCACGTGCTTCTGACCCCTCTTACATGCACACAGTTCTACCCAATTCTAAGCTTGTTTTTTTGCTAATTTCAACTTCCAACTTACCGGGCAGATCGTTGTCCAGGTAGGAACTGCGCGACCTTATTACGGCGCTACTCTCTTCCATGACTTTGGAAGCACTAAGTTTGAATTGTTCTAAAAAACAATCGATCTGGGCTTCGATGCTGGGCTGCTCTGCCATATTTTCCTCTTGGATGCTCTTTGTCGTAACTCCTCGATTCCTGCTTCCCGCTCAGGTAACTCAGCACTCAACATAACAGATGCATCTTCTTCACGCCTACACACCGCGAGAGGAGTCGCCGCGACGGTCTCCTCCTCATGCTCTTTCATATCACATCACCACGTTAGTTATATACCATAGCCTACAGTTGTAGACTCATGCTCCGATTCTAAGTTATACAATCGCAATGCGCTTGTCCGGTTCGATATTGGTAAGACTAAAACATGAAGCAAGTGCATCGGCTCGTTGTACAACGTCGCCGGGGTAAATTGAACCGGTAGGTAGAAGAAGAGGGATAAGAGTGCTAAGAAGAACAAGAATAAGAAGAAGTGGTAGGTCGCAGCCGCGAAGGGGGGGACCCGTGCTCGTCCACCTAGTCCCCGGCTATTCACACTTGCACCTGCATTTTTTCTGCTCCGCTTAGAGGTCTCCTCTCTACACTCGCGCCCCCCATTGTAGCCCCAAAACCGTTGACGTCAAGTAACCCCCTTCTCGTTCGGAACGCATGCGTCGGCCCAGCCCCCTTCGTTCTGTCAGGGTGTGCGTGTGTGTACATTCCGCCACAACCCCCGACAACAAACTATGCCCTGACACCCCAACGAAAGAAGCAACCGACATGTTTCCATCATATAATTCTATAACGATTCCGGTTCTCATCCCTGGATTTTATCGATTCCACTGATACTTCTAACTTTTAAAACACTCAACTTCTCAAAAACTATACACTTTTTAAATACCACTAACTCTTTTCGTTAAAACAAATCTTTACTATTTTGTACAATACTCAAGGTAAAAACTAAAAATGTTTAAACATTATTGAAACATATCTTGAAGCAACTATAATTTCAACCGAATGAAAAAAATAGTTAATAGAAATATTAGTTATACAGGCGCCAGCATTTTAGTTGATAAAAAATGTATTTATTAAGTTATTTCTTCAAAATACTTCAGTATTGATATTTATTGAATTTTTCAATCTCAGTATTATCTTTTTTACTAAAATTTACTATAAATTAAAGTTATTTCATAATTAATAAAAAAAAAATTCAAAAGTTGTTCAAGTTCAAAATGATAACTACCCAATTTTATAATACAAAAATTGAAGTAAAATTATAATTAAAGTATTGGAAAACAATTTACTTACGCGGATTCGTCGATACACGGTCTTGCACATGCGATAATGACAAATGGTTGTTTGTTTGGTGTCTACCTTGAACTAAGGTTATCTGTACACAACTAGTACACTGTGTCAAATGGAACCGTTGAATACTAACAAAGAATATTTTACTTACGTATTTCAAATACATATGATACTGAATATAAATGAACACTAAGTTCTCTGTAACTTGTCACATCCATTATTTTAACGTTGTCTTTAAGTAATTTAATTAGTCATTAGCATAATTCATATGTTTTTTTTAATTAAATTTAATACATTTTTTAATGTTTGCTGCACTAAATTAATTAGAAACTCATTTAATAAAATATTTTATTATTTTATATTTATAACAGAGAAAATCAACATAAATCATTATTTTTTATTTAAATTAAAAATTTGAGTACTCTTACCTTAATTCATGACACTCGAAACAACGCAATAGCACAACTGCAACTAAACTTACGCATAAGTCACGAGATTATATTTCCAACGTAACAGGTACAGAATTGGCAATTTGTTTCGCGAATATTGCAAAATTACGATGTATTTTAATGTGTATATTTATGTTCAAGAATTCCCAGAGAAGAAGCAAGCAATTTTCTTCAAGTCCGAGAATCGTTTAACTGTCCATCAAACACACGCATTATTTAAAAATTATATATAACAGTATCAAATTCACAAAATACTTCTATTATTTTATACTTTAATATATAGAATGATGTAAATGTGGTAAATAATTATATTAAGGGACAATAACAGCTGTATACTCTGTACATCATATTTATAAAATTGGGCGCAATGAATATGTTAAGTTATAACTAATAATAGAATTATGAATGCTCGAGTCGCAGTTATATTTATACGCAATTCGTGTATACAAACATTGCTTAAACTTAAGTCACTTTATGCAGAATCTACAAGAAACATTTCATGTGTTGTATAGCTTACATAACTTTAACTATTGATTAAAACTTTAAATGAAAATAAATTGTTTTTTTTTTTGAACAAAATATAATTTTTTGCTAAAAATAAAGTATAATAATTTTCGTGTGTTGTGTGTTAAAGTTATCAAATGTTTTTAAGCAATATGAATGAATCTCACGATGAAGGACACACATATCGTTAATGCGTATCAAAATGTTAACTGTTGGCGTTGTAAAAGAGAAAGTCACGTTTTTTTTTGCATCGCGAATACGTGCAAAACTAACGCTTCAACATTTGTAAATAGACACGAAAAAAAAACAACATTCAAAAATGTGCATCAATAAATCACAGTTATATCTGGAAATGTTTTGCTTCTAACTATTTAACTTTTATACTATCATATAAATAGAAAACATTTGTGATTTGTTTTGGTAAATAAAACTTCCGTTGAAGATGAAAACAAATATTTTTTCAAGACGTTTTAATAAAAATTGTGTACATTTTTATGTTATATTATATATAAATCAGTCTTTCTACAAAATTAAGTTTATATGTGTTTTAACTATAAATCTATTTGAAAATAGGATAACAATTGTTACGTAACAAACAAAGAAACTAGATTTTCCAGTAAAATTTGGTAATCACGAAAGTATGGGAAATTGTTATCAATAAATTTGTTGTGTCAATTATGAGATAATTGAAATTAGATCATAAATAATTTTTTGAAAAATTTATTTGTTTGTAGCAAATTGGGGCTAATAAAATTTTGTAAATATATAATATTTGTGTTAGCATGCATACAAACATACATAAGAGCTATAAACCGAAGTCTATAAAACAGTTTATTGGACTATTATGTTATTCAATATGAATGCAAATTTAAGTTACACACCAAACGTTATAAGACAAGTAGTCAATTATCCAGTAGCTAGAGAATGCAATTCTACAAAAATACATCAATACCTCGCATAGTGCGGGTAAACGTTTCCGCGTACTGTTTGAAACCGGACTTTACAAATGAACAACACAAAAAGAGACTAAGAGACAAAAAAAACAATTGTTATATAAAAATATTTTTTTAGAATTATTTTTTTGCTCAATTAAAATTTAGTTTGTTTTAAAAGTTTTAAACCGCACTATAGCGAATCTGGACTGATAGAAGTAATATGCGCGGAATTGTACTTATATAATAACGTGATGTTCTTAAACATCATTTTTTTTGTCCCTTTTTGATCAAGTACATCTTTTTTTATTAATTAATAATTTTGTCATCATAATACAAAAATGTTATTAGAAAAAAAAAGATATAATAAACAAACAAACAAATTGAATTATTGTCAATTCAGTAGTTTCCAAAGTTCATTTAACTACACGCCTCCATTAAATATTTACATAAGAACTCTGCTAATAAATCATATAAGAATAACATTCTTCTGTTCATTTAAGAAATAAATACATTTATACGTCCAAACAAATCATTTTCAATAACAAACGACAAATTATGAATCCAAGCAAAACAAACGAACTAATTATAAATAAATATCATGTGATTATTTATTAGTTGTATTTATTTTTACGTGGAAGCAAATTTTTAATGGACACCTTTTTTTTCAGATACTAAATCACGTTTTTAGGTAATTATTAAAATTTTGAAGGGATTTAAGAAAAACATCTTGTAAATAATCTACAGTTGATGTAAATAATCTTCTTTACATGGAAGAACACGAATGAAGACCTCCTAGAAACGGAGAAGCTAGAGAAAGCTGCAGTGGAAGAACATATTTTTACTCCTCTCACACGTCTTTCATCTTATAATTTATTTCCAAAAAAAATGCAGTTTAATAAACAGTAGCATTTATTAATCATGATATGTTGTATCGGATTTGTATAAAATTACATAGATTAAATTAAATCTTTGTCATAAATTTACTTTATTATCCTGTAATTTGTGGTAAGATTTGATATTTTTCTTCAAATTTTTTTTAATACTTAAAAAAAAACTGGTTTCACGCTTTGAACTAAGAAAAATACAAAAACTTTTCTAGCAATAAAAATAATAAATATTCGAACGGAATCCAATAGACCGCAAGAGGGCAACGATCTGTTTAATGTGACAGAATTCAAATAAAATCTGCACAAAATCTAATAGCAACAATATTATATAACTTAGAATAATTTTACAAATTTTTTTAATTAAAAAAAACTACATTTTACTGTTGGAACTTGTATAACGTGTTTCAATGTCACTTATGTAACATTCGTCAAAGCTATTTGGTATAGTTAGGGGAATAAAATAAAAAATATGAATTTATAATGAATATTATTTAAATAATTTATTTCGATTCGAACATTAAAAATAGATTAAAGCAAACAGGTTTATTTTATTGTTGATTTAATTATTGGTTATATAAATTGATATTTCGAGATATATCTATTTTATACATATTAATAATAATATTATCTAAAATATTTTAGCTTTGATTTGAAATTTAAAATCTGATAATTTCATAAGATTTGAAATAATTTTACACTTGTTGGCACAAGAAGAAAGCGTTTTTTTCTCTTCTTCTTCCAATACGATTCTTTCATATCTTGAAGTCATGCTTCGAATAAAGTATTCCTATTCATATAATTTCTTAAAAAAAAAACGTTAATTACAAATTAACAGTTATGAGACTGACTGGTATTAGTTATGAAATATTTTAAACTAATGCTATACATTTCAATTTTTTTTTCTTGTATTTAAAGCATCAACAACCGCTATAATCAATTACGTAATAACTGGATCTATTACTGGAGTCGGGCGTAACGCGAATTTTAACATTTCCTGGCAGTCTTTATTAAAACACTGATGCATTTACGACCCTACCATATATAACTATGAAAAAAGATTTATAGCTAATTTCAAATTTATTACTGTCTTCCATAGAAACCAACAATTTGAATTAAAACGTACAATTTTTCTTAGTCTTTTCAATCGTTTTAGAATCTTAACTTTTTTTTACCAAACCGGTTTATACCGGTTTTCGAATTTTCACAAAAAAGAAAATTGAGAGAGAAATAACAAAAGAAAACTTAAAATATTCTAGAATTTTACATAAAACTATAACAGTTAAAAGATAAACAATCAAAATTCTCAAAAAATATGATTTAAAAAAAAATGCGCTTAAAAGTTTTGAAAAAAATAATTACTTAGATAGTAATTACATACATATTTACATAATAAATTGGATTTATGTTCGATTCGACATACAAATACTTAAATAATTGTTTTGAAATGAAATGCATTAATTTTCGTGCCCATTTTCGATTGGTTTAGATTTAAAAAGCTTAGATTTGATCTGTTAACAAAAAAATATTTAGTGATGATTCACCAATGGTTTGTATGGGCCGACCGGTCATTTGAACCAATAGAATTGTTAAGAGCCGGGGATAACCATCCCTCTATTTTTATTACCTTCTTATCTCTTATTTTTTATTCGTGATCCAATAAGAATTGTTTAAACGTTCATAGCATCAACTGTGATTCGTACACTTTACAATCAAATCATTACATCATATTTCAGTGATATTTTTTTCCTAAGCACGAACGTTGATATTCATACGAAGGTACATTTTACAATCAGATCTTTGTATCATATTTCAATGATATTTTTTGTCTAATTTTTTGTTTTTTTTTACAATCATATTTATACACAATATGAATATTTGTTCGTAAGTTCGGTCAAAGGCCTTAAATAATTATGTACTAATTATGGAATGTACGTTAAGAAAAAAAGATCAATTCAGGGTAATATTTTCATCTTCAATTTCATACATATAAAAAACGCTTAAAACTATTAGAATTTGACAACGAATTTATTAAAATTTGTTGTGATGCATATAACCATGCATTAGATAACCTTCGGTTAAAGGTTATCTGACATGTAAGTTTCGATTTAAATTTTTCAACTTCTGCATACGAATGAACCTTAAAATTACGACTAAATAGAATTCCTAATTTATGACATTTCCAAATACTGGAAGTGACTTTCATCTTAATTCTTGCATTTGAATTTGTATCAATATCTTACATGTCTCTAATTGTTTATTCAAGTTCATATCAAACCGTAGAGTACAATGATTGTCAATTACATAACTTTTCAAAGGCTATCGAACTGAACTCGCCGTGGTTGTATGAATTTTAATTAAATTCAATTCAATTAAATGAAAACTTATCAAAAACATGTACAAAATGATACGAAGACACTCGCATCTTATTGATAACTGTACAATAACAGTGGGACTGCTCTAATCGACCTCTAAGTTTTGATTAGATTTGAAGGCCATCAATATATTAAAAAAACATTACGTATCAGGTGAATTTTCTAAAATTGAAACTACAAAAAAAAAATTTACAGCAACAAATATATTAAAAAAAATGATATAAATCAGTCTTAATCCTCCAACCTGAATTATTTAAAACCGGACTAATCGAGGACTTTAAAAAATAATTTTGTGTACTATTGAAAATTTCAATCCAGTGAATCCGAATTGTCCGAAGTATTTCATAATCAAAATATGTTTATTGCCATAGCAGCATAAACAATACAGTAGAAGATTGTTGTGTGTGTATTTTTTTCCTCAACTAACGAGAAATTAATTTGTAGTTGCAATTAAATTCACATTTGTGAACTATTAAGGGATGTAATATTTAATCACCAATTAAAACTGACAGATTAATTGTATTTAACTAAGCTATTGTTTTTTTTTACTCGAAACTAAGAAATTACAGTGTTGATTTTATCTGAATTATTCAATTATCACTGTGAACTAATAATCAATATACTGTTTTTTTTATATATAATTTAGCTAAATGTCCCTGAAATTTTGAATCAATATCATTTGATGTAAAATGTATCCTAATAATAGCTTAAAAACCGAGCAATATCAATTCCTACGCCAAATATAAATAGCCAGTCAATATTCTTACCACTATGTAATAACCTTGGACGAGACATGAATAAACTCATTGCTAAGTGCTTTTTATTTTTCATCCAATTTTTAGTTTCACGTATTATTTTTCAGGAAACTTATATAGTTTAAGTATGTTTTTGTCAAGATTTAATAAATATTATTATATAACAATTTACTTTTATTTGTATTTTTCTTTTCATCAAACAGAAATGATTTATTTTATATTATAATATGTAAAAATTTATAAAAATCTTCAAATTATTATTAAATTCTAGAAGGTTCAAATCGCGTCCTACTTCTAACTAAAAGAGTTTTAGAAGGAATCCAATATCATATTTTTGTTCATATTATTATATAATAATTTATTTTTATTTGTCTTTTTTTCATCAAACACAAAAATTATTTTTTAAGTTATGCTATAATTTGATAATTGTATGTAAAAAATTATAAAAATCTTCAAATTATTATTAAATTGAAGAAGGTTCAAATAGTCTCCAATTTCTAATCAAAAAAGTTTCAAAAGAAATCGAATGTCAGAGAAATTCAATGTAGTTTTTCAGAAAAGTTATGAAATTAAAATATGTATACGAAAATATACATATTTATCTTTTTTTGTAACATATTTTAAATCAGTTTGAATTTTAACTTAATTGGAATACATAAATATATAATTGTGTTTAAAGTTGAAAATGGATTTTTTTATATATTTGTGTCAATAATAACAAAACTTAGACAAATCAGGGTTTTATTAAAAAAAATATGTTCGTTAATTATAATTAAACTTTTACATAATTCTTAAAGTTGAAAGTAATTAAGCTTAATTTGGACTCATGTATATAAATGCAAATATTTTAATGCTATAGATTGAGTGAATACATATTTATGTTCATAGTAACAACCTATTATTATGTTGCCAATTATGGATTAGATTGAATTAAGAGCGTATATTACGAATTCGCAGAAATTCTATATGTATGTTCATTTCAACAATATTCTCACAGTAGAAATAAGCAATTGTTTAGTGATTGAGGTATCTACGTAATATATAAATAATGTTGATGTTGTATTGCAACAACATTTTCGCAGTAGTAATGATATAATACTGTTACAGCCAATCCAAATCTGGGGATCTTAACAAGGACAAGTTATCTGATAAACGGATGTATTTACATAACGTTGCATCAATCAGAAAATTGCTTGTTAATATGGCTCATCGCACAGATGATTCGCTATAATTGTGTCAAAATGATACATTCGTTGTTATTACTGATTTCACATTCGCGTTGATAGCATTGGCGCGACAAGGTTACAGCCTGTTTCAACAGCAACGACATAATTGTCGCTACTTAAGGAGTTCAATGCACACCGAATGGAACGCTTGACCGCTTCCAGACCCATCGGTAACCCAATATCGCGCGGTTACGCAACGGGAATTAAGGTTTCTTATTGGTCTGACGAAAGGAGGGGAAGACGAGGATCGTCTTATTTAATTTCCGATAAGAGTGTTATGCAAATGAAACCCGAGCGTCGTATAAATATTTCAGATGGGTGCGTGTGTGTGTCTATAAAATATATATATATAAATATATGTGTATATATCTTTTTTTTATTGACTGTCCGTAAAAAGTGAATAGAGCAAAGTAAGGATGATGTACGTATGAGTATATATAAACCTTTCGGCCTCTGGCAGAATCTCCCCATCGGATGCTGCATCTCTATTTATACAGCGGGCCTATTCTGTCCTTCTAGAGTTGGTCTCCTTTCGCGAATAGTCCTGATTAACGTGTGCGATTCTCGATTAGCTCTGCCACACGCTGATCTCTAATTTTAAATGCGAATGCGAGAGATCTGACGTCGGGAAGAACCGCGCGCGAATCGAAGCCGGCTACCACCACACTACAGCGGTATTCTGCACTTGCAGCTCGACGAGTGCGCTTATCCAACGTTGGACATTGGTAGTATTTGGTATTCCCCTGTGCGCTCTGTGCCGTCCTCCTCCACTTCGACGATCTGCCTGACAAGATGGGAGGTAAGCAGTTTTCACCTTTGAACCATCGATTGCTCCCATCTCCGAATATCTCCACTCCTGTACACCGTTGACCCATTGACCTTCACGCGGTGAAGAATACGCTACCCCCTGGTCTTCGGCGCGTGAAGAGCCATCCGTATAGGCGTTACCATCGGCAGACCGGTTCTCCAAATCTGGTAACGCGCATTTAAATAGCAAAACCGTCAGAGGTTCGCAAATTCCGCCGGACTGCCAAATTCAATGCCCATGCCCATCGCAACATGCGTATTTATAATTTCCAACAAAGAACACACGCACCCCGTGCAATTACATCTATATTTAATATGAAAATAATAAATTTCATTAAAAGAGCAAATTTATCAAAACCGAATCTTTTTCAGGGTTTGCTTGGGTGACTTTGGCCACCAACGACTCCTACTCCTTGGGAGCCCTTGTGCTGGCGCACTCCTTGAAGCAGTCAGCGACCAATCATCAGCTCGCTGTCTTGGTAACACCCGGCGTTACCAAATCTATGAGGTATTCCACGAAGAAATAAATTAAAACAATAATATAAATAAATGTCCGAAAAGGAAAACAACACACACGCATTTTGCGTTGCAAATTCGTGCATTGGAAGCAAACCAAATTGCATGGACGCGAGCCAAAATCATATACTGAAACCAAGATTCTAATCGTAGCGAAATAAAATTGATATCATCGCAAAAAAAAAACAACAAATTGTTACTATATTTCTGAAAATATCAACAAGCGAGTGTGTTGCTTTCACTTTTTTATATTTTTCGTTTAAATCTATTGGATAGAATACATTATGTGAACATTTAATCGCTGTTCAAAGAGTCAAATTGGGATCGGTTTTCGATGTTGTCCAGGAGGTAAACATCCTCGACTCGAAGGACGAATCCAATCTGCGCCTCCTGAAGAGACCAGAGCTGGGCGTCACTTTTACCAAATTGCACTGCTGGCGGCTAACGCAATTCGAGAAATGCGTTTTCTTGGATGCAGACACCTTGGTATGTATGTATATTTAGCGCTGCGAGGAGATGCACTTTGGCGCAAATCATATTTATACTGCAAAGGACAAGTTCAGCTGTCTAAATTTAGATGCAAATGCGAATGCACGCAGATGGTGCGTCTACGTAACGCAACTCTTTATTTTACTTTGTTTGCATCTGTAAGGTCTTGAAGAATTGCGATGAGCTGTTCGAGCGTGACGAGTTTTCCGCTGCCCCCGACGTAGGATGGCCGGATTGCTTCAATTCCGGTGTCTTCGTCTACCGCCCATCCGTTGAGACTTACGATAAATTGGTCCAGTTCGCGCTCGAGAAGGGCAGCTTCGATGGTAAAATGCGAGCGCTAGAAAAAGAACATAAAGAAAAAAAAAATTTAACCATTTGCAAATTTCCAGGAGGCGACCAAGGTTTATTAAACCTATATTTCAATGATTGGGCGCACAAAGACATAAGCAAGCATCTGCCCTTCATTTACAACATGTGCTCCACGGCGTGCTACTCCTATCTGCCGGCTTTCAAACAGCAAGTCGCTGACTTTCAACCCTAAAACCCTTATTTCTGAACGTTACTCTCTTTTCTAGGTACGGCTCAAATGTGAAGATCGTGCACTTCATAAGTTCGACGAAGCCATGGCTGCAGTATTTCGATACGGAGTCCAGACAAGTGCAGCCGGCCGGAGATATGCACCATTTAAAATCAGTATTGCAGTGTTGGTGGGATATTTTCTGCTCTCTAATTCATCCTAATTTAACCAGCGACATGGTATGTTTACAACTCTAAAATCTAAATTTACGTTTGCGATTTTGCTTGAGAACAGTAAGGACTTGCCGCAAAGGTGGGTTTTGTTTTTAGATTTTCCTACATTAACTGTTGTTGCTGTTGTTGTTGTTATTATTATTATTATTTTGGCTTCGCTGTATATATTTCAGTGTGCATCGCCCAATAATTATTGGGCGATAAACCACATCCAGCACGAAAACTGAACGCCAACTACTTTTTTTTTCTTTGTTTTCTTTTTTTTTGCATGCTTGTTTATTCAGAGCCGGAGCACAGCGCCCAATCAAAGTAACACCCCCTTAGATTCTCCGTCAATCATTCAAACTCCCCCAATATCCGCCCACTCCGATTATAGAAATGTCTGGGATCCTTGGGAGGACTACGATTATATCGAAACGCAGCAGCCCGAATCCGAACCGCCTCCCTACCCTCCACACCAACCCGCACCTATAACTGCCACTACTGCTGTTCACATACCGCCTCCCGTATACAATCATCCTCAAATAAGCAAAGAAGAGCCGGCCTTTATTCGTGAACCACACCCGCTCCCTAAGCCGCAATACTCACATCATAATATATCACCTGAAATCCATCAGGAAATTAGCAAAGACAATCATTTGAAAGATCACTGTCAATCAGTTAATAAAGACAATTTTAGTGAAAAATCAGACACAGTAATGCTGTTACCCCTTCAGGACACTGAACATGATTTAAATATTAAATCTATGAAAGTCCCTGTCTACGAAAAACATTCCTTAACCGAAAATCCTCCGCACTCCCCTGTACATAGCTCTATTAATGTTACGATGGATTCCGAAGTGAAAATTGCGTGTGAAACCAAAGATTCGGACAAGGCCGATGAACTGGATGTGAGTATGTTTCTCTGTTTTCGTTTCGCTGTAATTTTCTTCCAAACTGTGCGCTTCATCTGATCTATGTGAGGAATCGATTTAACTTGATCATTCTTAGGCTGGTCTCGCCGGAGCCTTCGCCCAATTCACATTGGGAGCACCAAGGTCTCCGACGCAAACTGCCCTCGAGGATCAACTGAGAAGGCAGGGTTGGGAGGTCGGCAACATCGACTACATGGGCCGAGACGCTTTCGACAACATCTGGAGCAAAATCTGCGAGACCCTATCGACTGGCACTCAGAAAGCGGCAGGTAGTAAACAGATCTAAGAACGCTTGTATAATAATGAATCAAAAACAAGAATATAAGAGATTTTTTATTTGCTTTTATTTCACCTATGTGTGTTTAAACCCTGTGCGTGTCTAACACCTGTTCTTTTTCTTAGAGCCTACTACGACTGGAGATGTTCAGAAAACAGATAGTATTGTTGAGACCGCAGGTCAGTCGTCGAGTGCCCCGAATGTTACGCATATCTAAAACAGAAAACAATTTATTATTTATCATAACTATTGTGTTTTAACTTTCGTCGGCTTTTGCTTTTTAATGGGCTATAACAGTTAACAGCTATATCCAATGTATAACTTCTCCATAACAGAAGCGAATATGCTCTAGTTGCACGGTTTTTAAAATTACTTACTAATTAATATTGATAATGTCATTAAACTTGAATATGAAACGTTGCAGTAGAAGTTACGGAAAAACCTGCTGAAGAAGCAAAACTTTCTGAGGAAAAAACTGAAATTAAACCAGCCGAAACTCCGGTCGTGGAAGCTGAAAAGCAGCAGCCTGTCGAAGCAAAACCTCAACCAGTTGATCAAAAGCCAACTGAAATTGAAGGGCAAGCAAAAATCTCGGACATCGAAATGCCAGTAACAGCTCAAGATGCTAAACCTATTGACGCTTCTAAGTCTACTGAAGAAGTAAAGAAAACAGAAGCTGAATCTCAAACAGTTGAAGTAAAACCAACCGAAATACCAAAACCAGTTGATACCAAGTCAATTGATACTGCAATCGAAGAAGCAAAACCTGTAGTAACTAAACCTGCTGATGAGACAAAACCTGATACACCAGAAGTACAAGCCGAAACCCCAAAGCCAGCAGAAGAGATAAAATCTGAAGCACTACCTGAGGAGAAAACACCAAAAGCAACTGAAGAAGTAAAGCCTGTTGAATCTGAAAAACCAGTTACTGAAGATAAACCTGAAATGCAACAACAAGTTCCTGAATCTAAAATAAAGCCAATTGTATGCCCAAAACTTGTTGAAGAACAAAAACCTGTCGAAGAAGTCAAACCCGTCGAAAGTGTTAAACCAGCTGAAGAAATTAAACCCTCTGGAGAAGTCAAACCTACTGAAGAAATTAAGCCTGTGGAAGGAATAAAACTCGCTCAGGAAGTCAAAATAATTGAAGAGTTAAAAGCTGCTGAAATAGTCACACCAATTGAAGAAGTAAAACCTCTTACAGAGGTAAAACCAATTGAAGAAGTAAAACCCGCTGCAGAGGTAAAACTTATTGAAGAAGTCAAACCTGCTGGAGAAGTAAAGCCAATTGAAGAAGAAAAACCCGCTAAAACTGCTGAACTAGGCAAACTTTCCGAAGTTAAACCTGCAGAAGAAGTAAAACCTGTGGAAGAAGCCAAACTTGAAACAAAGCCGTGTGAAGAAGTGAAGCCGGATTGTAAGGTAAAATCAGCAGTAACTCCCATTGGAGAATTAAAACCTGAAGAAAAACAAGCTCCTGCTACTGAGGTAAAATCTGAAGAACCAAAGAAAGAATCTGAAGAGAAACTCGCGGTTGTTGCAAAATCAGAAGAACCTGCAAAGGTAGAATCAAAACCTGAACAACCACAATTGAAACCAGCTGACTCGAAAGTTCCAGAAGCAGTGCCAGTAGCACAAGAACCGAAGAAATCCAAAGAATCAAAATGCGAAGATAAAGCTGCGCAAAAGAAAGAGGAGACTAAATCTGTAGATGTTACTAAAGTACAAGAGAAAGAATCTAAAACAGACGAAGCGTGCAGTAAGAAAATGGACGAGACAAAGCCAGCAGAGAAAAAAGACGATAGCAAACAAGAGAAACCTAAAGATGTAAAGGAGAAGGGAAAAGATGAAGCTGCTAAACCAGAGGTATCTTCGACGCAGCCAACCGAGTGCAAAAAACAAGGCAAAGGCGGTAAGAAAGATAAGAAGAAACAGCAGGAAGCAAAGGGTGAATGCCCGAAGAGTGACTGTCCGCAGAAGGAGTGCCCGAAGAGCGAATGCCCCAAAGACTGTCCGAAAGAAAAACAAGACTGCCCGAAGAAGGCATGCTCCAAAGATTCTAAACCAGTAGAAACACCAAAAACGCCAGAGGTCATTGAAGCTACTCCGCCAACTTCACCCATCGCAACAGATAAACCCGAAGAGAAAGCTTTGGGGGTGGAAGGCAGCGTACCATCAACACCGCCACCACCGACGGCGGCAGCTGCATCTGGCGAACAGCAAGCTCCGACTCCTCCACCACGTAAGAGCAACGGAGGCAAGAAAGCAAAAGCCAAAAAGTAAATGAACTCCACTTTATTGTTCACAATTTTTATCTTCTCCTTTTGTGTGTGCCATTTTTTTTTTTGATTATTTTTCAAAGTATTCATTTTATTAGTCTAGTCTCTTGCATCTTCTTTTTTAATATTGTTTCATTTTCTCTATATTTGTGCCAATTATATAGCCTTTTGAATAAATAACAAATATTCGTATTTTTTATAAACTTCATAATTAATTAATATTCTCAAAAAGATACACTAATCAATATAGACACAAGTCTAGAAAACTCTATTCCTTATAAATACAATCTTCCTTAATGTCATTTTCTATCAAAAGAAATAATGCAAATATCCCAGAAAATTCCGAATACAAAACATACTTGATTTTTGTTCCACTTTAAAGTTTGATCAAATTATTCCTCCTTGAATTTGCTTTGTCTTTCGTATCGCAATTTACAAGTGCGAATATGTTAGAATTTAGATGAGACAACAACGATTAATTTTAATACGATTAGATAATTATTAAGATACTTTTTGTTGAAATAGGAAACTCGATTATATAGAATATATGCAAATAAAATTCTGTATCCTTTGAGGTTTGAGTATGTAAAATAGGATATTGAATATCATACCACAGGACTATAAAAGGGTAGGATATAATAACATAAGTAGTTGATTCCTTTTTAAAATGCAAACTTTATTTACATTATCTGAAAAAAATATGATGTACATTCAATATACTTATATATTTACATAAAACTACTGTACAATTTCGAATTTTGACATTCCGGTATTACTTTCATTATGTAGCTTCGTATTAACTAGTTTCATTTTTTCCGCTAACCTGAAATCGTTTGGGGATTATTATTAGAATTAGATATAATTATATATAGAAAGTGGATCACGTTCTTGCAATGTAAATTATTAATATTAATATAAGATACAATATAAGACAAAGTGAATAAAACAACAGAACGGAAAAACAACAGCAAGGACCTGGCATAACCGTATATCAATATTTATGTTTGTGTCTATGCTTTTTGGAGTCGGGGGATCTATTGCGTGACCTCGTCGAGGTGTACGGGGATTTTGGAGAGGGCGTTCTGCGTTCGTATTTCGAATATGGGGAATAGCGATTGCTAGATTTGGAAACATATTTGCCATTGCCAGGAGACGGACTTCTGACATAGCGAGAGGAACGTGAGGATGAGGGTGAACGTCTCCTTATCCTAGGAGGACTAGGCGGGCTTGGGGCACGTGAGCTTTTCTTGCGTGGCGGTGAGCGACTTTTTGACCTAAAAAATGTTAATCCATGGATGAGGCAACCTGATCACAAATCTTATTTATAAATAGTAGTAAATGCTAAAATCTTTATCCAGCCACAGTGTGCGCACATTCCTCCTCTACTTACACAAAGAGAACGCTAACAAAATGATTCTCTTCGATTACTCATTGAATATATATTAATTTTCACTTCTTATTTTTTTTTTCTCTTGCATTTTCTTTATGTTCTATATAAATTATAATTCAAATTTGTTACCTGTATCTCGATGTAGACCCACTTGACGAACTTCTTGCATGCTTTTTATGTTTTCTAGAGGTACTACAACATCATTAAGATAGATAAGGCTAAATGGTAACATTAGTTCATTCTAGTTATTATTAGATTCACAAATCCAAATAAAATAAAAACAAAAACATAGCTTGTGAATGTAATAATTCATTTTGAGGAAAACATGTATAGATTTATTGTTTTTTGACATTTAAAATGTACTTACACTTCCTTATAATATTCTTCATCAGAACTGCTGGCCTTGTCACTCTCGTAGTTTCTTTTATGTTTGGAGGATTTGGCCTCTTTATCCTTGTCCTTCCGTTCCTTCTCGGATTTCCGGAGTAACTTCCGTCTGTAATGTTCCACTTGTTGAGAAACAGTCCAACCACTTTTAATGCTCCTCGATCCGGATTCTAATTCGTCCTGATATTGCATAGCTTTCACTTCAATTTCTCTTAATTTTGTGCGTCTCTCTTCAGTCATAGTTCTAAGTTTGTAAATTTTATGATTATTTTGAAAACATTATAAGTTGATATAATAACAATATATTTATAAAATAAATGTATATGTAAGTATAAGTAATTATATAATCTTTTAAAGCTAAACTTTTTTAATAATGGTACATTCAACCTGCAAATTACCACCAACCTGCTATCTAAAAAGTCCATAGAATCTTCCTTGTCTGCTTGACTGCTGTCTCCGCTGTTATCACCACTGTTTTCCACCATATCCCATTTGCTGGTTGTTATGGCCTGTGCGGCCACCTGCTCCGGATCCACTGTCTCCCACTTCGAACTTATAAATCCGGACAAGGTGTCAGAGCTTTTATCCATGGAATCATCAATGACGACGCCTAAAAAAATATTATATGTAGATGGAATACACTAAACTCCCAGTTTATGTTAACTAACCATCGTAGTCTGACGGTATCGGCGACGGACTCCTCATCTGCTGCTTCAATGCACTCTTCAGGAGTGCAGCTCCATCCATCGGAACATCCTCGTCTGTCTCACCATCAACTGGACAACCATCCACATCATTCATTCGATCATCAATCGTTACATCACCTTCCAATCCCAGGAAAACATTCACAAGTTTATCCATAAACACCTTTGGATAAATCAAATCCTCCCATGCTTTCAAGACCCTCATCACTCTCATCCTGAACCCGTCAGCCTTCAATCTCCCATCTAACCTATCGTACGTTCGCTTAATATGCTTCAGGATTTCCAATAATCTACTTTCGAATGCTCTACGATATGACGAAGCTCTAGTAACTTTAACAGCACAATTATGCAGTATATCATTAATTAAATAAAGCCTTGCGATTTTCTTAGTAATAACTGTGGAGAGATTGGACAACGATTCTGTTACGCAGTCAGCGATTTCCTCGGCCGCCTCGCTATGCTCTATACAGAATACCATAACCTCCCCAATTTTCCTACGTTCTGGTGATAAATTTCTTATTAAATCTTCCAATCTGTCTCTCTGACTGTAAAAAAAACAAAAATGACATAAATCTGATAAAACAATTTTTAGTAGTAACAAACTTACGTGTTTGATAAAGTTCCTTTAGCTGAGGATCTATCTTCTTCATCGACGATTAACTCCTCCGGCATTCCTGCTGTGTAATTGTTCATTACGGGTGGTTTCCATGGAGAACCATCTAATGATTACACTAATTAGTTTATGAATAGATCAATTATATAAATCTAACCTTTAAACATACGGAATTCCCTTGTGGTCCATTCCTTCTGTGAATCTCCATGCATGATGGAAAATATTTTCCATCTATAATAAATATGGGCGGGACTTTGATTTTCGAATAAAAATCTAGAACAAGTCAAGAAAATTACGATACTGCTGTGTTAGGGTTATAAAATTTCTCATACCTAAACAACGGATTGTGAAGTTCTCTATTCATAATCATTGCTTCGAACATAGGACCTTCCCTAACAACAAACTCAACCATCCTATGGATAAGCATTAGAAGCGTTCTATCTGTAGGAATCACGACTTTGACGAGAGCGCATCTCAAAATCTAAAATGTAGCTTATGTAGACGACATTTATATAGAAAAATCAAATGTGTGTAATTACGCTAACCCCATTAAGCTCCTCCAGCGATTTGGGAAGGACATCCTTGTCCTTGGGCAAAGGCTGAGCATTAAATGGTAATCCTGATGGTGGTGGCGGAAAAGACAATTCTAATAAACTCGGTGGTATGTATATTGGATGCGGCGGAATAACTACAGACTTTCCCCATCCTAATTTCATCTCGTAACCTAACACGTCCTTTCCTACAAAACAACAAAAACTCAATGTAATACTATAATTACTATACGTAGGAACACTGTTACATACCGTTCAGATTCCTGAGTGCCCTCTCGCCGTCCCTCCTACTCATGTATGCAACAAATCCGCAATTTCGTCCCCTAGATTTCTCTTCGTCCGATCTCGGCCACATTATTTTAATACTAGCTAAAGGTCCATATCTTCCAAATATTTCCATCAATTGCTGCTCGGTGATCTGAAAGCATTTCTAAAATATACTTCATATATGTTTTTAAAGAAACCACCAGTTTTAAAATTATCTTGGGAATCGAGAAAAAAATATCCATATAAACATCTATTTAAAACATTTTCTTTCTTTTTTTGTTTCCAGTTTTTGTAATTCTATTATATTGATTTGTTTATTGCACAAAGATATCACATTGCTATCACAGTTGGAAGTAATTGTTTTTGTTATTTGAGATGTTTGTAAATCTTCTTAAATGTCTGCAAATCAGTGGTTTAGCTTCACTCAATTCGCGGTCAAGCACAGTCTAGGTCGGTCGTGACTACAGAAGCGAGCAGTACAAAGTTCAAATTTAAGTTGAAAGAGTTTCAATAAAGCCCTGTTACCAAAAAAATAAGATAGGTAAGACATCATTAACATTCTATGGTATTCTATGACTATAACCTTTAAGTTAAATAAACTATATTTACATTTATATAAATGAGGTATTGCTCACATAGTGCGGATTCACTATAGTCCGGTTTGAAAAATCAGAACAAACTAAATTTTAATTGAGCAAAAGAAAATGAACAAAATTAGAACGTTGTCAAATCGACATCAATTCTTTGTACCAAAAACAAAACATCAGTTAAATCAACTCATCTAACTAGAATAATAATACTTATCTCAAATTAATTGAAACAAACTATAATTAACCATTCAATTAACAATATAATATAATTTTCTAATTCTAATTTCTAATTTTTCTAATTCCAATACAAGTTAAGTAATAATAAACTACAATGTTATTTCTAGTAATATGAACTAAAAGTATTTGTTTTCATGTATCAAATAAAAATTTAGAAAAAAAAACATGATTATCTACTATGCTTCAAAATATATAAATAGTCGTTATCATTCCTAATCATTTGAATTTCCTTATTATTATTTCCTAATACATTGTGAAAACTTTTTTTAAATTATTATTAAAGAAAACTATGGTATAAGATAATAATTGTAATTTTTGGTTTAATTTAAAAAAAACTTACTTAATAATCAATAACTCCACTTTAATACGATTATTAAGTCTCTAATTAGTCGAGTAAAAAATGTCGTAGAACTAGTCTATTATAAACCTCTTAGTAAAAACAGTTCTAATTATAACTATTTGTAATTACAAATAGTAAGCTGATTTTAAGTAATTGTACCTATTCGAACAATCGAAGATAGAAATACGTATATGTTTAATTACATAAGCAAATTCGGCAATGATTGAACGTAAATCTAAGAATTCATAAAGCCAATTATGTATAGTAGTCTAGTTAAAACAGAAAGTATTGTAATTAAGTATTGTAAAAGTAATTAAGAAGCAGTTAACGTTTTGTTTATTATTATTCTATGGAAATGTTTTATTTTGATATCATTATTAAATTAGCAAAGGTATATGAAACAAGAGACAACTTACGAGATATTTTTTTTTTACAAATTTCTAAATTTGAGACTGACAATAATAAAAACCAAGACTTTACTTGAGCAAAAACTTACAATGAAATGCTCAAAATTAGAACTTCATATTTTTAGTTATTACCATAATACACATTAATAATTGTCATAGAAAACAAAGGGTAATTTTGCGATATAAAATACAATGTTTCTGGCCTATATATCGATGATAAATATCCAACAATAATAAGAATGTTATTTTTTTTTTTGTAATATAACATTACAGAGATTAATTACAATGGTTTTGTTTACAATTCTTTACGCGATTGTTTTACAAGGCATTGTTCTTTTCTCATTAATTTTTAATATCGCTATACACAATAGCGTCTGAATCATATGCGAAATAAACCAAAGTATGTAACATTATCCGTATAAGATTAGGAGTTAACGATATTCAAAGGCATATTTCAACCAACCACAAATCTTAATAGTATCGAAAACAATGACGCATTATTTCAATCGCTAAAAAAAAGAATTGCTCTTAAATAACTACAAGCAATTGTTGTATTTGAAATTCATTCAAGTAAAGCCAATCATAGAAACAAGTATAAGTTGAGATTGAATAAATCATAATATACAAACAAATGTTAACAACAGTTTAAGGAGAATTTTTATTAGAAGTGTATTCTCTTATAAGAAAATAGGTAAGAATATTTATTTGTTTTCAATAAGTTTTATGAAATATAATATTAGATTTATTCAAAACATGTTGTGTTGAAATCACTGAACATCAAAAACGTAATTTAAATAGTTTGAAATGACTTGGTTACTACTGTTCTAAATATTAGAACTTTTTCTAATATACAGCAGGACAACTTGGATAAAAGGAGGATTTAAATAATAATCATAGCTTACCTTTGGATTGAGATTGCCTAAGTACAGATTTGTAGTTGTTGGATCCCCATTATCAAAAGAACCCATTTCACCAGCTTTTAAAAATATATCCATGTCACTTTCAATGGTGCTCTTCAAAATCCCTTTGTATTTATGCCTCTCTTCGCGTTCTTCTTGGATCCTAAATGCACAAACAATGTTACGACAAGGATTCAACAAATGTTACTTTGGTGTGAATGAAATTACTGTCTCAGCTCTTCTTTGAATGACTCTAAATTGCTTTTGCTATTCTGTTTCCTCTTGCCTAGTCTCTCAGGCTTCCTATCAATAGCCAAGAGCTTTGCATAAGCCTGGGCCTGTTCTGCAGAATTAAAATCATGATGATTGACAAGCCTTGATTGTGGTTTATACAGTTTGCCCTTCTCTCTAGTATCCTCTCCTATTAAACACAATAAGATTAATTGAATAAAATTATCTTGTTATTCAATCTTACTTCTTGCTCCAGCATCATATGTTCCTGCTTTGACCCACACTTTGCTGCCCCCATTGATTGGAGTCTCTTGGAATGTTTCCACAAACTCCTTGAAAGCCTGTAAATTGTTCCAAATGTTAACACACACCTATAATGATTATTGAAATTAATGGTACTTACATCTGCAGCAGCTCTATCCTCCTCCTTCTTCCTTTGCTCTTCAAGCTCCCTTTTAGACATGTTTCTTTTACCCATTGCACCAATAGAAAATGCCCTAAGCTTTTGCTGTGGTATATGCTGTAGATGTTCCTGTTCAGACCTCGTTCGATAGTTGTCTCTTGATGTACTTACTTTGTTGAATTTATCTGTCATAATTTGCAAATCTACATTAATTAAACAGGTTTTGCGGTATTTTAGAAACACCCTACGCGACAGAAATAATTGAATTGGATACAACCGCCGACATGTTGTTCAACTGTATGAAGTTGTGATCGTTTGACGCACAGGAACATGAGAAATCGGCCAAATTTCTGGACCGGATTCTGCCAACCTGAGGAAAATCCATGTCACTAGACACCCGTGTTTACGTTCATTCTAGATCCGTTTTTTCTATTTCCAACTTCTCTCCCATACAAAAACATTCCTTTCTCTCTTGTATTTACGTGCTCATAAATATGTGTGCATACACACGTAAATGCAAGATATATTCTATATATACATATATAGCAATGCGTCGCGTCTAAAGTATTTGTTTATTTATTTTATTTATATTTTAATGTCTATAGATGGTTGCTAGTTTCAATGTCGGCTTTAGGTCATAGGTCATTTGCGATGGTATTTTTTTCAGTTTTTTCTGCAGAAATACGGTGACTCGTCATTCAGTTGAATGAACGAACTGGACAACGTTATTCAGCACTCCGTGGCCGCATGGACTACACGGAATTTATCATAATATTTATATAACGACCAGCGCCTTATCAGGAAGGTTGCAATGGGGGGGCGGGTTTTGCCGCTTATTTTGTGATGTTTGCCGTTGTTTTTTTTCGACAGATGAAGTCTTTGCTGACGTTGCTAGAAACTGTAGTGAGATCTGATTAAATCTGGATCGGATGACGTGCGACCATCAATTGAAATTGACCAGTTGATTGATATGAGCTCGATTGATTTTTTGTTTGCCCGCTTGCATTTTCTACGGTCAGGGCGGCGCTGACGCTGGGAACCTCCCCCACCCGCACTTCCGCATGTTAACCATTTTCAGCCGATCGACAACCGATTCTTTTCTTTTTTCAGTTTCAGTGGTGACACGCAGATCCATGACCATTAGCATCTCGACCTCCGCCTGAAACGTGTAAAACCTTTAAATACGAGCCGCCACTGTTGTTTGTTGTTTTTTGCATTGAGGACAACGATTGTTTGGGTGAGCTCCGATTGGCCGTGCGCACCTCACGTGACGACTGACGTCTATTTACAAGGAGACAAAGAAAGAGAGTAGTATCAACTGGTTCGTACTCTGGTAGGAAGACGACGTACTCCTGTCAAGTCACGTACGCCTCGTCTGCGAATGTTATTGTGTTGCTCCTTGTGAGCACTGCTGAGGAAGGTACAGCCATCAGAAGTCTAATACAGCCGATATCCAGTTGGCAACGAAAGAGCTTTCCGGATCACTTTAATCTCGTCCAGGAACGACGTTAATTGCTTGAGAGATGTCGTCGAAATCCAGCGTTGACGATCTTTGCGGAGGTGAGACTTAGACATTGTTTACATCCCAGCTGGCATTTGAGAGCACAAAATGCGCATCGAATTATTGACAATTGTTTCGATGCTGCAGTTGTTGTTGTTCTCGTTGCCACGAATTCCTTCTGCATGTATATACGTCTCGCATTCATCTCTCCCGTCGGAAGCTACGGCGCGTCAACAAAACACCATTGTAATCACAATTATTTCCAGAATCGTGGGTCCATATTGGGTCGCTCTCGCTGAGCGGTTCGCAGGGTGGCACCCCCGGGTCCGTGACCCCGCATGTCAACAACGAAGAATGTATGAGGCTGCTCAGGGAGGCCCAGAGGGAGTCCAACAACTCGTCCACTAGGGTTTCACCGAGGAGCAGCCCCAAGTCGCCGCCGAATAGTCCGGTCCAAGGGACACCTTTGATCATGGAATGGCAGTCGTACTATGTGAATACCGAAAATAAAGATGTAAATATTACGCTACCATCTGTAAACATTCACTAATATGATTTTTTTTCTATTTGCTTTTAATATTAGGATGCGGAGTACTTTACCGACTGGAGCAGCCGTCCAGACCAATTGCCGCCAAAGAATTGGAGTTTCCGTCCGCCAAAGAGAGGACCACTAAGCTTGCGTCACGCTAAGCTTGGCAACGACAACGTCTTCTCACGCAAGGGCCTCTGCACATTGTTTTTGACCAATCTGCTGTCGCTGTTGTTGGGCACAGGAGTAGGTATTTGGCTTAGCAAGTACGGATTCTTTGTTCCAGCCATCAAAGTGCGCTAAATTGGCAGTACTGTATTGTGTGTCCAAGCTGTGATCCTGAGAATATTGAATATTATGTTTCTTTATATTTTTATTATTATTACTGCGTAGAATTATGCGTGTTTACTTGTGATTTTTTGTACTTCTTGGATCATAGCTTGGGCGCACAACCCTGTGTATGAGACTGGTATTTTCTACATGTTGCAGTCCAGTAGGATCAACCTTATGGAATTCACTAAATGCTTACTTTTGTATCGTCTAAATATTTAATCCCAATATTTTTTAATTAATATTACTTATAATATATTATATATATACATACATTTATTGATTATCTTGGTGGAACAACATTGGTTTTGTACTTTCATATGTAATTCAACACTTAATTAGGGGTTGTTCCTCCAACTGTAATGACCACTGCATATTTAAGATTTTTCTTAGTAGTTTTAGGTCCAATAATATTTACATCACTTATATATATATATTTGTATATATATAGAGAGATGTCTCGATAAATATTTTCTAGATGTCTGTAACAATATATATATATATAACATTAAATGTTTGAAGCATAAAGCACTTGTTCCTTCTGTACCTCTGGTCTCCCGCGCTCAGTATGCAACATCACAGCCACCTCAGCACATCTGGTTGCTGGTGCATCTTGCATATAACTAGTTTTTTTACTCGTCTGACCATGTTTGAAAGTCGTATTGTTTTGAATTTGTTTTGAAATCTAATAGGATCTGCTTCCAGCAGCTAGCATGTTGGAGGCGATGATGAATTAGTCCTATTTAATAAGAAGTGTTAGTTCGAAGCAGTTGAGTGTCCGTTTGTAGATGACAAAATCGAAGTATAGTTTATAACCTCAAATATGACCCAAACAAATATAAATCTAAAGACATCTTATGTTAGAAGAGATTTTGAAGTTATATGCGACTGCACAAAGCCCATACTGGTTTACTTTTTAATAAATTGAATGAGATTTATAGCAAACATGGATAATTCTGTAGAAGAGTTGGCTGGAACTAGTAGTGCATTCGAGGAAGCTGGCAGGGGCTGCAGGAACAAACGAAGGCAAGTAGATCCAACAATTTGCCCTGTTTGCAGTTGCACACTGAGATCCACTGAAGTAGACCAGCATCTGACTTGTGAACTGGATAAGTTGCAAAAGATTAATGTACGGACTAGGCAAAATGGAAAATGCAATAGCTTGTCACCAACTAACAGCAATGGCAGTGACAATGGCATAGATAAGCAATGGGAGACCTACCAAAGGATCCGATCGAATAGGCAGTGTAGACAAAAATCTAAATCCAAGAAGAGGAAAGCAGATGATGTTATCTGTCCAGTTTGCAATAAGGAAACTACAGAAGAAATTAACATGCATGTGGAAAAGTGTTTAAGGAAGTCAGCTTCTGGTAATGAGAGTGATGAGAACATTGATGTGGAGGCTTTCGAGGAGTATGAATGGGCTGGACAATCTAGAGTTCGTGCTACCTCATTATTCCAAGGTGGCGTATCTTCATTGGGCACTTCAGTGAGCATGGCTGATGAGGACGAAGACTTAGTTGTGGATGGTGATGATTCTCAAATATATGGTTCCCCACAGTATTCTGAAAGGGATATAATACCTGCAGACAATGACAAGGAAAGAGATGCTTTGAGGAAAGCTGTTCTAGGCTCTGAACAAGTAAACAATTATGATAAACCTGATAAAAATAGCATGGACACATCAGAGGATTCATGTGGGGATCCTGTCTTGCAGGCATTGAAGAATCGTATTAGGGAGCTTGAAAGTCGCGATTCTAGCCAGGAGGAGATTTACAAATGTTTAATTTGCATGGAAAGATATCAAACGCCGGTTATATCTGTTTGCTGTTGGCACGTTCATTGTGAAGTTTGTTGGCTGCAAACGCTTGGAGCGAAAAAGCTGTGCCCCCAATGCAATATGATCACATCGCCTGCAGATTTAAGACGCATCTATATGTGAAGTTTATATTGTTTTTGTAGGACTATATTTTATTGATTAGAGTTACTAATTTCATTTAACTTCTGTATGTATAGGTTCCTTATATGTAAAATTGCTGAACGCGAATCGAAAACAATAATTATAATAATAATATTAAATAATCATAATGTTGTACTTTCATTACAGTAATGAGTAATAAATATTTCAGGGAACATTCTGAAAATCAGAAATATTAATTTAAAAAAAGAAAAGAAAACAAACAATTGTAAATAAATATGTTGTGATATACCAAATAGGAGACTTTCTAAAATAAAATCTTTTCAATTATTTAATAAATGCGTTCATTTCTTTAAAAATATCCTTTAGCAATTCACTGAATAATAAATAATTTTATTATGTAACGTGTACAACATGTTACTCCTTAGTTAATGAGATTAATCACAGAATAAAATTGTTCATTTGAAAAAAGCGCGCGGAAATTACATAAAGCTTCTGTCAGATGAAGAAGACTGCGCTGATATGCGCGAAAGTGTTTTGATCAATTGCATACGTGTTGATGCTTTTTGTATTTATTTTATATTTTATGTAATTTAATTTACTTTATTAATTATGGAGTCCAAATCGGTGGACGGATTTTACAAGGTATGTGTATAATTCTCGTAATCACACTGTGAACTAGTGTTTGAGGTTATGATGGATTTCCAGGATCAATTCAATATTGATAAGTTCTTAAATGAGGAGATGAAGAAGAAGGAGCTCCAGAGCATACTCAAAGCTCTGGGGGATTTGAAGCAGAGGAACACTTACACAATGTCAAATGTGCTTAAGGAGCAAACAGATTCTGTGGTTCTGATTGCCGAGCAACTGCAGAGTTTGTATAAGAAAATTGATAGTTTAAATGTGCCTATATTGCAGTTACGAGAGGAAGTCAAGGTAAAGCTAAAGTTTTCAAGAAAACGATAGGTGCTTGTTAATTATCCATCAAATGTTAACAAATATTCTAGATTATCGTCTTGCTTCCAGATGCTTTTAAGTAAAGTGAATGATGCTGTGCAGACATTTGATCAGCATATTTTGCAGTATCAGCATTTCGTTGATTTTAAGTATCGGATACAACAGCTGTCAGCATTTCGAAAAGTGCTAAAACACACAAACATCCTTTTAATGAGATGTTATGGGGACAGTGAATTAGACTTGCAATGCTTACAAAGGTTTATTGATAATTATGCTCTGCACAATGAAATTCTTAGAACACTGAATATTGAATACACCAATGATGAAGATCAGGATGAGAAAATAAATTATTTTCTTTCTGAAAAATTCTGCAATTCCTTTGTACAAAATGATAAGAGAGTAATGAGAATCTTTATAGACATGTACATTTATTTGAAGAGAACTGATGATTTAACTAAACTCATTAGGAATATAATCAAGCCATTCTTGCAGCCAATATTGTGTGAGGAGAACTTACGTTCCTGCAAGAGCCTTAATAAGTTATACACAGATGCATTAAGTATTCTGAACTTCGAGTTATTAAAAAAGTAATATTATTATGCAATTATTCCATGATACTAATAACACTTTTTGTTTTAGGTTTGGTGATATAAAAGAGTTTAACATAGTTTTGGATTGTTATTGGGTTGTTGTTGATAATCTATTACGTAAAAATTTGCTCAGTATAACGGCTGCTGGCCACGCGGATGTGTTCTTCACGAACTTCACGGAGACGTGGCGGTTCTTGGAAAGTATTGCCGAGGCTTACGGCGACAAAACTATAGTTTACCGGAATGCGAGCTTCGTCAGTCACCTGAAGCGCTTTAATTTACTAGTCTATTACGAAATCCGTCATCAGGAAGTATCGAGTGTCTTTGAAACTGCCATTTTGCAGTGCGGCTTGGAAAATAGCAATCATTTTTACGCGAAGGGGAAAAACATGTTTGGCTTGAAATTGCAAGTGTCTTTAGTGCTTTATTTACAGATATTGTATTTGATACAAAGGAATATCTTTCTGCCTTTACTCAGTGATCAATTCCTCAAGTCATTTTTGTTACTAGTCTCCAGATACCTCAAATGGATTGAAAACGTTTGGATCGTCAGTATTAAATAATTGGTTTTTGTGATGCAATCATTAACTATTAATATTTTCTGTTCAGGAACCGACGATTCCCAATGATGCACATACGAGGGATGTTTTGATTTGCATCATGTGTGATTTAAATATCATAATAGAAAAATTGGATAGTAAAGTCAGGAGTGATCTTAGACCATTGTTGAATTCTTCTAGCTTAAAGTGTATGGAAAGTGTTATTGACACTGCGAAGACTTCGCTATATCGTTGTTATAATTCAGTTCAGAAAGTATTAGTTAATTTAATCGTTGTTAACGCAAGGACTACTCTGCTAGACATCAACATTATTCCCAGACTGTACAGAAGGACAAACAAGAATCTACCAGCAAAACCAAGTGATTACGTCGTGTCCGCGCTTAACCCTATAATCGAGTTTGAAAAGCAGCTGGATGATTCATTCAAAGATAAATCGGTGATCCTGAACAACATCGTGAGCCAGTGTACCGAATCCTATACGAATTCCTGTTCGGAAGTCTTCAGTCAAGTGTGCAAGACGGAGAGGTCACTGTTGAAATTGAAATCGAAGAATGTACAAATCGTAGACGGCAAATGCAACGACGAAAACTCCGACATCTCCAAGATTCGTCAGCAGATCAAATTGGACTTGACTTATTTCAAGCAACAGGTACTTTGTTGTAAACGCTTCTTAGTATGATATGTAATCGCATTTGTTTTAGCTTTTTGATTATGCCTCGGATGTTACAAAGGATGATTTGCAAGCGTTACTGTCGTTTTTTAATAAATTCTAGAATTAATAAATAAAGCATTTATTTATATACAAGTTCAAAAAAAAAACAAAACAAAAACTAACTTGGTTTATTTCAAAATTTATTTGTTTACTTTTCACTAACTACAAAGAATAGAATTGCGTAGCAGTCGACGATTGCAGTTCAATTTGACCCATTTTAAACTGCAGCCGTTGAAGCCACTTCAGCAAAACAGGATTGTGTATATATTGTTTAGACTTTTCTGGAAGTACTTCGGAATGGATTATCGGTACGAAGTTGCGACAGTTCTGTAGTCTGACTTGAAGATGACCAGGCAACTGGAATGTAAGTGATATTGTTTTAGCGTACCATCAGTATAAAGTTATTAAAATTCAACTTGCCTGTATTTGATTGGAGCAAAGTACTGGTGTCCAGAGAGGTAACAATTTCCCTACAAACGTCGACTGGCATTCGATCAGAGCTTCTAACATGCTCAAAAAATGCAAACTGACTATTTCGCTTAACTGAAACGAAGTATTTATGTAAATCTGGCATTGTCTAGAAATTAATTGTTACCATTTTAGAATGCTGCACTAATTGGAGAATACATGGGGTGACTTTGTCCCAGAAATGAAACAATATGTTCATGGTAATATTGTAGGCCTCTGAAATAGGCAGATGAGAACTTAGGCCTTGTTCCAAATATACTGTCCAAAGCTAAATAAGAATGTCGGTTGGTTATAATCGGCAACGGAACACTAAATTTTTTCGTTACCTGACACAAAATGAAAGTGTGAAATAAGGAAGACATATGGAGTACCGAAGCTTTGGGTTGTTCAGCGAATCCAGCCATTATAACTTGAATATGATCAGCTATTTGACAGGAGGCTTCTTGCGGTATTGGTTGGCTCAAAGTATGGCCGTGTCCACCGCCATGCAAAGCAGTATGCATCAAAGATCCCAACAATAACCATGACAACAATCTAATATGACTAATGCATTCTACAAACTCTTTAGGTCTAAAACATATATTAATATTTACTGGACGGGCTCAAAACGCGAGATTTATTTACGTTTGTTGTAATGTAGATGAATTATAGAGCCAAGGGAGGTATCGAGATACGGCCCTATTATCCCTGCCATTGCCTCTGGTGATTTCCAAGGCTAGATACTGCGCGACACCACATTTTATAATGCCCCCAATGGTGTCTTCGTTCAAACCCACTGTTACTCCTTTACAATAACTCTTAAAAGCAAAGACTTTATTGATACAACTGCGTAATTAAATTCATGAAATAATACTTTTATCTTGGCCAAGGTGTGGAAGTCGGTCAAGAACTCGAGGATGTCACCCAGGTGGAGTCTCATGCACTCAGAGACGCTGGTATTGAAGATTGGTCCGTAGTCGAAGTAGTATGGATTTGACTCTTGCAATACTACATTTGCTGGAATTGATCCACCTATATCCTAAAATCCCAAATGATTAACAGTCGGTAAATTTACTGGTTTTATGTGTTTTACCTGAAGCACTAAGTTGATTAACATCAACAAATTCGAGTCTGGTATTGATGTTTTAAACTTTAAAGCTTGAACCAACTCGTACACAACCATGCGGCTTAAAATCAGCTTATCACGATCCTAAAAATAGCGATTTGGAGGGGAAGGGTATTAATAAAATTAACTAATGCGGATCCAAGATGATCAATATTGTCCACGTGGGAAAAACGAAAAAGTTTTAAATAAGCACACTGGATCCGCCTTAGCATAATGTGAAAACATACCTTCGTGAAAGCTCTATTGCATAAGTAACATACATCGACTAGATAATTATATTTTAATACGTTTGTTTGAATTGCGTAACTCAGTACTTTGGAAAATGGTTCGAGTATTCCCTGGAAGTTTCGATGTTAGTATCAGCGGGCACATAGAATCAACGACCCGCACTTACTTTGTATTGTGATATAACGGGTATCTTAAATATGGTTATCATGATCCTTAGCAATGGCATTATATCTTCTACCGTGTTCAGTAACAGTATTAACTTCCTAAATAATATTTCTAATTGCTGTAATACATTGTTCCATATAGGAGACGTAGGTCCTAAAGCTGCCTCTAAAGGCAAACAATCTAAGTAACAAGCCATATTCTCTAGTATAATTGGCATCGACTCGACAGGCAGCGTTTTCTTCGAGTTTAATGTCTACAATTTTTCAAATAAGTAAAATTGTAAAACTTGCATCAAATCTTACTTACTTCTAACAACAATTGTAAAGGCGCTACAGGGCCCAACTCATTGAAATCAATCAATGCTTGTATAACACTTTTAAAAAATTGTATGCGCGTCGTGGTTACTGCATGAGTTTGGAACATCTGAATGAATACTCCATTAGGTGCAAGCTGGTGTAGTACGCATCTAAGAAATTGATGAGCCACGCTTATAGCACCACCAGGTAAATGGATATTGCTTTCGCTTTGCCAAGGGTAGTTCGCGTTCGTAGCAACTCTAAAAAATAATGAAAATTAGTAAGTTCCAATCTGGTTAGCTTAGAAGAAAAGAAATACTTAGCAACGATGCTTAATATATCTGGTAACAGAGGTGCAGCCAACGCTGGTTCTCGATGTATAAACGTCCCTAAAGTAACAATGCAAAGTCCAACTTCTTCATCGCTATATTCTTCAATCATAGTCCCGCATTCGGAACATCTGTAATTAGGCATTTTTAAAATTATTTGTAATATACGATGTATTTTCATACCTTTGGTTAACGCATTCTTCACCAATTCGAAAAGAACTTTGTTTGAGTTCGTTTATATCTAGCTTCGGGGATGCCTGTGGACTATACCAAGAACCTGGCTTCACGGGATCGCGAATTGCATAAGCTCCCATTGTGAAGGGCCCAATTTTTCTCATCCTCTGTCGAGCATTCAATAAGCCATCTTCAATATTCGAAGTAACTACGCAAAAATGCTCATCGCTAATAATGTTGCTATTCAATCCACATGTTTTACGTTTATTGTCAGGGTTTGATATTTTAAATACTGAATCTTCGATATCAATCGGATTCGGTGGACTCTCCAAAGCTACTTGCTTAATTAACCTTCTGGGACTATGCGAATGGATCTGATGGATCTGCACGTGCTCTTTAATATCGTTTTTCTTGCAGTCTAGTTTCGTATTCGGTTGTATAGTGATGCCTAAAGCTTGTCGAACTTTATCTACTAACTGAGCGATATCTTTATTGTGTTGCCCTATGGGCAATAATCTTTCTTGGCTAGGAATTTCTAACTGTGAATCGACACTAGGTAAGAACGATGATATTCTCGGCGAATCTAAAATTATGTAAGAACGTTTACTCCCTTTCAAGAATTATACCAGATTTGTACCTAGGTTTATCTACATGAAATGAAGATATTTGTATTACCTGGCGTTCGTGCCGATCCAATCGGCAACAGTCGTTCGATCGATGGCGCGGGAAGTAAGTGCTGATTTTGATTCTTATAACAGTCGTCGCAATCTGAAACCGGAGTACAAACTGGAGTAATACTAGGTTCTATAACCTTTTTATGCTTTCCTATAGGCGTAGGTTTTGTGATGTGGTGAGTATCAATCGATGAGCAGGTAACTTGTCTGTGCGAATCCGTGGTTACAGTTTTTGCCATCTGGATATTCGGAACACCCGCTACCAACGCGGCTGTATTAACAAAGCCAGAGAACTTGCTGCGATTCTTTGCATAACTATCACCCTTGCCGAGGTCCTGTATCGTAAAGTTCTTGTGTTCCCAAGATTTTACCGAGTCCTCCTCGCTGCCGATGAACCACGTCGGCCTCTTATTAGATTTACCTTTCTCCCTCTTGATCTCCAAAGTATCGAGCATCTTTAACACTGTCCGATCTTGCTTCAAGACGCTGCACTCGTCGCCAGTTTCTTCAAATTCATCTTGAACACTTCCGTGCAATGTGCTATCGGACAGATCACTCTCTGGTATGGCTATTAGTTCAGACTCGGTTTCATCTCCATCTAAACTGAATTCAGTAGTTTTCCGAATCCGTTCTTTCTTATCAGGTTGAATAGCTTCTTCCCAGTGAGTTTCCATACTAGCTGCAGACGATGGTTTTGTATACATAACTTGCGATTTGCCACCTTTTGAACTTACAGACACTTGGACTGATTGCCCTTCACCCGAATACATCGGTGATAACGGAGGAGTAGTCACCCGTTCAATATGTTCATTGTCTGTGCCTAAAGATGGTTGACTAACATCTGAAAGATCAACATTTCTAAACTGAATATACAAATAGTTTGGTTTACCTCTAGATCTTGATGGTGGAACGCCCATAGCTATTGTTGCCGGAATACGTTTGCACTGATGATGTTGAGCGTCCAACGAGTTCAAAACTATTTTTATTAACGAACTAAGTTGCATACATTGAGGCTGCTGAATATACTGATACTGAAATATAATTGTGAATAGTTACTACAAGAGATGCGAATGATAGTTTAACTACCTTATATAACAAGACAACTAATGACATTAGCCAGTTCCGTCTGCTTTGGGATTCTAGAGCCCATAAGCTATAAGTTGGTTGTTGGAATTCTAAACTATTTGGTATATAAAAAGGTGACGGAGCATATTGCAATAAAATTAACGAAGTCGACAATAGTATTCTACCCATCAGATGATTTTGGTCCATCAACTGCGGTAGAATCGAAAGATATACATTGAACGCTGGTGAAGTCCGCAATCGTTGCGGCGGTAAATATAGACCTCTGTCGTTCTGGCTGTAACCCAATAGTAAATAAAGATGTCTAAGAACAATTCCCTGAGTTTTTGTGATCTGTTTATCTTCCGTTGGGAACGCCTGGTCTGATCTGGACAGAAACTGTAGCAACAAGAACACCAGCAGATGCATCGTCTCTTTGTCCGACTCCTCCAAATCGATGACCCGTTGCAAGAATCCGATGATATTTTGATCATCGACGACGTTCAATGAATGCATATGGCCATCTGCAAATCAATTAATTAATAATGTCACTAGACTTTCTAACATTTTATTCATGCATTTCCCCATGCTTTCTTATTCGCTTTTTTTTTTTCGACTTACGCACACCCATCATGCGCCCACTACAGCAAGACACTATATCTAGTTTCTACCTGGGATGCTGATACTAGTGCCTAGAGACTGACCGAGTCCAAACCTGGAACTTTTCCGTTTCAAGATCGGGGCTGAGTATTGTCGACTGTACACTTTTTCTTTTGATTCTAAAATTTAAAAAGTTAATAATATTATGAATAATTCTTTGATTCGAATACCTTTAACATCGTGACGGGGTAAAATGGAAGCTGGTGCTGACATTGTGCGTTTGTAAGGCCATTTCGTTCCGAAGCTTGCGCTCAGCGTTTTCACTGAGCTCAGGCAACTTCCGTCTGATTGAGAGAGCGCTTCATTTGCTCTATGCAGCTTCCTTAAGAAGGCCTCACTATTTACTTCTGTGTTTCGTAAATCTGCAATACAAACATGTTAGCTGAAAATGTGTTAAAGTTAACAAAAGTTTATACCTCTTAAATATGTAACTATGTCGCCTGATTTCTCTAAATTAATTTGTGCTTCTAGAAATAATGTATCAAAACGGTTCAGGAAAAAATCCCAGTTTAAAATTTTTCTCTCGCTTAACGAATTGTGCAACTGATATATTGATTGGAGCACCATTGGCCTATCGACAATTACTGAGTCGAATTGGGTTTCCAAACACATAATCAATGACTAGAACAAAATATTATTATAGGAAAAAAAAAAAACGTGGATGGATCAATTTGTAAAACTGTTACCTTTATTGCGCTGTCGTGTATTGTCCCTAAATATAATGTGGCTCTTTGTGCGATATAGACATTGGAATCATCCATACTTGAAATTAGATAGCAAAATGCATTTGCTAAGGCAGCTTGTAATGACAAATTATTGCGAAGTGGACTGGAATCCATAAATCTAGCTATAACAGTAACACGCTCCACGGCGACAAAACGTACTCGCCAATCGGTGCTATGGAATTCTTCCTGTATAACCCTCCAAAACACGTCGGAACCGGCTGGCAAGGTTATACAGTGCAAAAGCAAAGGCACTGATTCTTGGCAAATGTGCGAATGTTCCGCATTGCATAAATTCCATAAACTGAAAACAATAATAGTTAAGATAAGGAAACGGATGTAACGTGCGATTATACTTCTTAATCAGCAGATTCTCTTGACACCAAATGAAAAAACCGCGGTGTTCTTTGGAGGCTTTTGTACATGCGTCTCCATGTAAAATCAGAACATTCAAACATTGCAGCATGTAGTACAGCACATCGGGCTTCTCCATTTTTGGCAGTTCGTGAAGTAGTTGGTAAATATACTGCAGAGGCTGCGGTAGCTCCTCGACGATGAATTTGAACTTCCCAATTGATGTATGCCAGAAGTTTTCCATGTCGTCCCCCAAATCGGATTCCATCGGCTCGTCGTTCTCACCAATCACCTGAGGCTTTGCCACCTGTACTGTTGCCGTAGCTACGATACACGTGCAGATATATTAAGAAACGTAAGTGATCATCTCAAAAGGTTGTTCATTCATTACCAACATCCGACTCCGACAATGTAATAGCCCTCGCCACAGCTGATACCACCTTCTCTGCTGGAATTATAGCAGCCAGGTCTAATTGCTCGGAGACAGTCTCCACGGTGGCAGTCATAATCTGTAAAAAGGTCTTATATCTAAACCGCTTGTGAATAATCCAGAGAACTTCCTCAGACTACGAATCATACTTTCCTGTTCAAGTTTGTACCCAACAAGAACTAATAATTACAATAATCGTAGGAAAAAAAAATAGTATCATGCACATTAGAACAAAAAGAAGAAAATAGTTCAGCTGGAAAGAATCGACAGATATCATCTCAATTTAGAATCAATAGAGAAATGCAGAGGAGAAATTGAAGCGAAGCTGAATCAATTTAACCATGCATTTTAAATGCATCGAGTTTCGCATTTACATGGTTTATTCGTATTCCTGGTAAATGTATCATAACGACAATTTAATTTTATACTATAAAACGTACGAATTAAGATATTTACAATATATATAAAAGATCATAAGATGCACCCAATTCTAAGTTGATTTTCTACGAAAATAAAAAACCGGTGCGCCTTATGGTCCGAGCATAATCGGTTTATTAAAATCACGAAAGGGGACGAAATAAACCGACGTAAGAAGCGTACTGAATGCAATTTCTTTTAATACTTCTATTTAATTAGGTTTGATTTATAAAAACTTTCGTTTTTCCGTAGCAATGTTAATTTGTTTTTTAGTAGTTTATACATGATTATTGCTGTTATTAAAATCATGCGAGAATCATTAACTTCTAACACTTCTACTTTGTGTTTACTTTCCCTAATCCTTCACGTTTTCAGTTTGTAAAATGATTATCGTATTAATTTTTGTGGAAGATTTGATGGCATGCGGGGATTGGGAAATGGTTGTGGGTGGTGATATGTATGCGATGGTTTCGGCGTTGTGTTTTTCTTCACCGTCGCCGCTGTAGTCCCTAGTCGCTAGATGTCGTGTGTTTATAACGTACCGAACAGACATGCGGCATATGAACCAAAACACCACCAACCGAATGAATTTCAGGGATGGGCATATTCAAAACAACATCTGACTTGGAATCTTTTTTATCGCTCTCCGGAGGGCTCTTCCGGTTATGTCCATCATCCTGGTTCTCTTCGAGGGGCGGCTGAAAGGAAAGTTGTGTTGCAGACGGTGGCGGTAGTGAAGGGATCAATACTCACGTCGGGTGGATGCGCCGGGTAAATCGGCGACAGATATTTGATTAGCTGCAGCGACAGTTGGTGCCACATGATGCTGGACTCGCAGTATCCGCATTCCGACTCTCGCTTGCAGCTATGACCTCCGATCCAAGCAGCTGTTACCATACACTTGAGAAGCCAGCAGACGTCCTTGCATAGCAGCGAGTTCAAGCCTGTGTGCTTGTCGATGTCTTGCAGTTCCATTTGCTTCAAGAGAATATCCAACATAAGAATACAACAAAACAGGTTCCTTTCGGCATCAGTCTCGAATTGTGTTTGATGAGAGAATCGTCCTTCGTCATCGGACAAGGAGGTAGTAGCCGAATCGACGCAGTCCTCGATCACCGGGGCTTAAGAAATAATAAAAATAAAGAGAATTCAATTAACCTGAATCACCTAGACTTACGACGGACTTACTGATAGAGTTAACGTTATTCGGAGTGGCTACAAGGAAACCGTTGGCAGTAATGACCTCCGGCTTCTGCTTGACGATCTTCTCACTGACCTCCTCGCCGCACTTCATATACTTAACCCCATCGCCGAAGATGGAAAATAATAAATTTAACGGTATCACAATTTCTAACATGGTTAACGTTTGCAACCAATGTAAAGCTTGTTCTTGTACTTTTGCAGAAGTTTTCTCGAATCGCTGCGCAACGAAGTTGTACATCTTTTTCGCATCGAATCCCAGCGGACTCATCTCCGTGTCCAGGATCTTGCTCAAGATGATTCTAAGTTCCGGCAACTCTTTTTCAGGCACATCGTTTACTACAGCTTCCATCCAATGCGGCATCACGTAATCCCATATATCTTGCGTTATTACTTCATATGGGACCAAGCAAAACAAACGGTTGAGGCCATCTTTCAAGTGGGACGTCCTGGATGCGAGTGTGTCCCTGCAATATACAAGTAAGTAATGCGAATGCATAGATGTATTGGAATTACCAATGGCCTCCGACTCTTGCGTACTCAGGTGGATGAGGCAACAGGCAAGAAATGAATAATTGGTAATGCGTTGCGCTGATGTCTCTCAACCATCCACACACGTTTTCGGTTTTCAGCTTCTCCAGCGTGCTCTCATCTTGACCATCATACGAATATGCGGTCATATGAAACCAGTGAAAGAGCATGGCTAGTAGCCGCCCCAATATTTCTATCGGAGTGTTCTCGTCTGGCGTACAACGACCCACTAGCAACCAAACGCCATATCTACCCAATAGTTGTCGTTCCTCTAATGTTATGTTATCCACCGAAGGCACCGGGCTTTTGTTGTCGCTGTTCTCTTTCGTTTCAGTTGATGTTCCTTTCGCTTCTTTCAGTAGACTTACCACTGCTTCTACCATATACGTCTGCATTTCGGCGTCCATTGACCACGTTGGTGGCAAACTTCTGTGCACCACGTGGTCACCACCTCTTCTATTATTATGTCGGTTGTTGTGACATTGCTCGCAGTAACGAATTGGATGGTTTCCGTTGTAGCTTGCACATTCCGTCGAAAAGCAGATTGATATGGCTGATTTGTCAGTAGAGCGACAGTTCTGAATAAATAAGATTCATTATTAATTCTTCATCTCAGCACAATTAAATAAATACAGATTGCTTCCCCTTTGCAACATTTCGATTTATGAATTTTTCTAAGTTACAAAACAATTCAGACAACAATTTACTTTAATTTTTTAAATATTATCTATTTATTATCACGTATTTTTTTTATTTATATTTATTATATATTTACAATAAACACATATGTTTTGCTCATCTTTGGTTTCTTTTCATTGATTTTTTGTTTGTTTAGTTTTTTAAAATTTTATCTTATAGCATACTCTTTTTTTTAATCTTAAATCCTTTTCAACCTCGATTCCGAATTTCTCACTGTTGTCTATGGAATCTTAGTTACATAAAAAGTTGCCCCGTAACAGGGGCGGATCTGCAAGTTTGTGGCTTCATAACACTGTTTGAACAACACTGTCTGGGGACTGGACTAAAACTATTAGACATATCCAATTAACTCAAGTTTCGGTTTTTTCGGTTTTGGCCGCGAGACTGACGCTGAGCTGCAGCGCTTAAAGACCTAAATGTGCCTAAATCCACTCCTGTCCTGTAGTCATCACTCGCGGTTGTTATTTTCACCTATTGAGATCAATTATAGAAACACTTAACTGAAGCTCTTTTATTCCAATTATCATTAGTTTTTCTTATTGAATATGGAGTCTAATGCTATCCACATATCATTTGTTATATATCAATTTTTAATGCTTCTTTACGAATTTATTACTCAGTTCCCTCTATTTGTATTTTAGGGATTGTTAATTTCTTCAAAATATTATTTATTGTTATCGACATGTTATGTTCCCATGGAAACTCCTATAGTCTTTGGTTTTGATGTTGAAAAGACCGAAAATCTTTACTATGGTCCTTCTATTCACACTCTCCGACGGATCGGTGGAACAATCCGTCCTATGCGTACTTCCTAATTTGTTCCATGTCTCCTGCAGTCAGCTGCTCCATATTTAAATGTTTCACATCTATTAAATGGGAGTCGGCGTATTCGGAACCACTGGATGTCTACTCTATCAATCTCTCATACGGCTTCGGCCGTTCCATTGTCAACCACACCTCATACAATATTTGTGTTCTATTCATTCTATTTCATCCAAAATCATATAAAAATAACTGATAAAAATACACTTTCTTCACGGTGTCCGTTGGTGTGATAGTGTCTCACTGCACCAATTGGTTTCCTTGCCTTCTTCTGCGATTGCATTGCTATAATAGCTATAATATTGCTCCTCTACCCCAGGGGTTGGCGACCTTTTTTTTCACTTAAATTTTTTAAAGGAAAAACAACCCACACTTTGAGAACTCCTGCTCTACCCAACAATACTAATCCATGTCTTCAACGGCTTCACCGGACTGTACGATTTTTTATTTATTTATACTATGTACAGTTCTGGTATGTATTTTATTGTTCTGTGCATCGCTCCAATCACGGCTGTCGTGTTTTGTTAATATGTCTATGTGGGTATCCCAATTTAGTTTGTCGTTTATCGTTATCCCTAAATATTTAGTGAATTTATTTGATTAAATCGGATATTGCCTGAATTTGTCATGTCACGTAATTAATTCAAGTAGTGACCACAGTAAAGCACTAGATAATTGCTAGTAAAAGGTTTTGTCATTTTATATAAAAGATATATTTGTTTTTTTTTGCTGTTGATGAGATTGTTTTAATACTATATTTATTTTTTAGAATTGTTTGATATTCATTGTTGTTGATTATTGGGAAATATGTTACAAATACTAATGAAAATTTGCAAAAGCGAGAAAGTATACTAAAAAAAAATTACTCACTTTGTTCTCGCAAACCATTGAAACTTGTTGCATGGGATGCAGAATGTCAAAAAACATCTGATTTGGATGCTCTCGGTGGATTTCATTAGCGCATTCAATACATAAATACAAAGGTGGTGGTGAATCAGTTGCGAATGTAATGGAAATGCAATGATCATAGCAGACTTTGGCGGCCTCCGCATTTCCGGCGTTCGGACAGGAATCCCTTTGACATACGAACGGTGCCGGATCTGTAGGAAATAAGCCAATTAGGATCAAAGGTTCTCATTTTCCAGCAACGATTTTCCGACGTGTACGAGTATACAATATATAGATCAAAGGCTTCCTGGTTATACATGTACCTGCAATTTTGCAAATGAGGTTCTTCCGGTCGAACAAATTAGGATTAAATGTAGGCCAATAGTAAAACAAAAGTTTTGCAGCGGACGAACGTGCTGCGCTGTTTCCATAAGCTATAACGCTCAAGATGTCTTTCAAGATTGATTGCTTTAAGGTCATCAGGCACTCGAGCAGCTGGCAATGGTGAGCGGGATTCGTGGAGTATTGAAAGACCATCATTATCACAGCAGATACGGAATTACTGATGTCGTAATCCTTTTCTTTGTGGCGAGCTGAAAACAGATGTAATTGCGGCGCGGCTTTTGCGAATAGTTCGTTAGTATACTTATTGTGAATGGGAGGATGTAGAAGCATAATGAGTTGACGATGTCTTGATGAAGGGCACTCGGCAAGACGGCGATGGATGAAGCAGTCAAATAAGGAAGATTGTCAATCAGGTCGTGCTCTAAAAAAGGCAGTAAACAGCCGAAACATTGGAGTATTGCTTGGCCGAAAGCTGAAATTCGAATTAGACTCACGTGAGAACAGGGCCCATAGATAAATAAAAATAAGATGGATGTTCACTAGTTTTGATTACCGTGCAAGCCGTACTGGATTAAAGGTGCAACTTCGATCAGAGGGATTAAAGAGTTGTAGAGACCTTTGTAGTCGAGGCTAGGGTATAAACCCATGCGAGTAGCGTCCATTTCTGGATTTTTTAGAAGCTCAAGAGGAGAATTGGGTACATCTTTTAAGACCGCTGTAAATAAACTTCTTTAATCTACTTCTCATACCCCACAATTAGCTGTGGACAACTTACAAAGCAGTGTTTGTGAGAAGTATTTGATGGTATTTGCTATGTCCACCCCCGATGGGGGTGGCATAACCCCTTGCATAAGCCGTAACTGGAAGTCATATAGGTTGCGTATTTTGACTGTAACTAATAATATATTAAGATTAATTCGATTCCATCACATTTCATCTTCCTTTTTTTTATATATAGATAAAATATAAAGATTTAATAAATATGTATAAAATTTGAAGGGAAAGGCAGCATATAACAAAAAAAAGTGTAAACACTCAGAAAAATATATTGGGTGCATTTTTTTTTTTAATGTTTATATTAATATTTACAGGTTGTATCGGAAATGTCTAGCCAAGCTTAAGATATAAAATTGATTCTCAAACTTTCACAAACTCGAACCGCAAAACTTTTTCTATCAACAACGGCAAAGCAATTTTCCTTTGAACTTTTACTTTTTTAAATCCAGCCGATAACTCCATAAGTTGATTACAAACATTATTTTTAATCAACATAAACATGAAATAAAAAATTATAAAATATTTATGCTTTGCAATGTTGGAGTTTTTCATGTACAAATGTTAAAACATTTGCTTAAATTTTGTGGTATGCTTTTTCATGAGATTTTTAAATGATATTTGTTTATTTTAAATTAATTGAATGCAAAGTATTGCTTTAGTATCGGGTGATATTCTTTGATAACTGTATTTCTTAGAAGGTTTTTCTTCTAAATTGGATATCAAAATGATAAATGCTACCACTGGGACAGATTATTGTAAGTTATGAAATCATGTAACAATAGATAACTTTCATTACTTTCATGGTAAATGAGAATATCTTAAGATTTAAGTAATAGTTCTTTAAATACGTAATGTAAACTCTAACATTGTGTGAAAATAAGTTGTACAATAAATAGAATCATATATATATATATACAAATGCTAAAAATAACTAATGTGATATAACCAAAGCGTCAAGTATATTGAATGAATTGTAGATACGTATCTCGTGAGCTAACGACACGAATATTGGAATTCTGTCATGTAAATACAAGCATGAATTATTACTACAAATTCCGTATTTGTTTTTTCCTTATTTTTCTTTCCTTTACACATTGATTCAATCACATTAATGTACAATCTCGTGAATGAAATATTCGAACGTCATGAGATGGTTGTAGGATGTCAATAAGGCAACATTACACAACGTCATCAGATTGTATAAATAGATCCATATCATTGAAAGGATATTTGGGTAGATGATTCAGTATATCTGACGACGACATTCTTATATTGAAGTCACAGTTAATTTCGGAGGGTTCACCTAGGCATAGTAAAGCGTAATATTTTTCTAAATAATTGGAGTCCAATTTTTCGATTTATATCTAAACCAAAAAAAAAAACGAGATAAAAAGGAAAAAAAGACGTCAACAAAGAATATATATATATATGATACAACAACAAATATTTTCCCAAAAGAAAATCTGTTAATTATACAAAGTGAAGAAAAAGAAAAGAGAAGAACCTAATTACATTTACGACTACAAATCAATAAATCTTTTTAAAAGTTTTAATGTTTTCCGTTTACTGCGGGTGGAAGAGAATTTAGATGTTATATTTGTTAAGTCTTAAGATTAATTGAAGTGGTAGGGCAATATGCTAGTATTAAGATTTTTTTCTTTAAAGTTTTAATAATTTGCAACAACGATAAATTTCTATAAACAATTACTATTTTTAGTTTATTTCTTTTAAAATAAGTCAAGTACAAAATAACTGAAACATTAAAATGCAAATCACAACTCTAATTTGTATATACCGAAATTTAACATTTTCATTTCTTTTTTAATATCAGAATTATTGATTGAGCTTCAACATCTTAAAATATTACTAACAAGAAAATATTTATAAACGTATTTTCTAATTGTTTTCTCTTCACATGAACATCATATTTGAAATGTACTTCTTCTTTGGTAACATTAACAAGTTCATCCAACATTGTTGTTGTACTGATACCCAATTGCTAGTGACACCTGTAACTAAATGTAATTTAGATGACCATAGGTTGTGAATCTTAGTTTTCGTTAATTCTTTCAGTAGCGTTCCTTTATTGTTTTTTTTTTTTCTAAATAAACTTAAGATACTGTAACAACTGCTTGATATAATTGGTTTGATATAAAATATATAAAAGGAAATTGAATGGGAGAAATGTAATATGACGTATATTCAAATTTGATCCGTATAGAGATGGAAATAGACCAACCGACCGAGATGAAATTTCCTTTCAAATGTGATTGAAAATACGCGAAGGAGTGGTATGGAAATTATTTGCGAATGGAAATGTTACATGCGTCGGAATGCAATCTATTTTCGGTATAACGGAATATAAGGAAATGAAACATAGAGCGTAAACTGCAAAATGCAAGCTGAGTACAAATAAACAACTGTGACATTGGATAAATAGAGATACAAAAGGACACTCGATACAAAGTTAACCGAAGGTTATCTAAATAAAGGAAAGTATCAGCAGATCCACGTATAGCGGAATAAATGCACGACTCCACCGATACAAACATAATCGATGTTTACATAATATTTACCATTAAAAGTGAACAATGCTCTGGCATAGAATATGACTCAGAAAGTAATAATATAGAAATGATAGTTTTTTTATAACTGTTTTAAACAAATAACATATTAAGTTACACAAATCCGTTCATTATCAATTCTTAGTAGTGGCATGAAAACACATACAAACATACATTATTAATGGATATTTGTCATCTCTTTTTATGTATTTCATGCATTTTGAGTGTTATCTACGAATCAACAACAAACTTCTTTTTATTTGTAAACATAAATCCAGCGCAGACAACCAACAAAAAATAATGCAAATATATGTGAAGTTTGCTTTAAACCTCACAGCCTTTTTATTGCTTTTTATCACTCTTCCCAGACAAACATGTGATTCATAAATATATAAAAAAATGTTCTGTTTTTTTAACCAATTTGATTACAACTTTGTACGTTTTTTATTTTTTGTTAGTTTTCTATTTTTCATGTAAGTTTTATATCTGAAAGTTATCTTTATTTTCTTGATTTGGACATTTTTATTACTTTAGAGAAAATGTCTTGATTGATACTGACTATGAAAATATGTTAGTCTTTAAAATCTCTGGTTCTCCTTTTTTTGTCAGATTATACAATATATAAAATGAACAACTGTTACGTTAATCGGACTTAATTTAGGGGTTTCCTAGATCGGTTAACGAATAATCCGGACAACGAACACTTTCACGAACGCTTTGTATTCGAACAACGAACAAACCGATTCCTTTGAACGAATTATATTCGTTAACTAATCACTCACACTCTTCGTTTGCATGAACGTACTATCTTTCAGCCAAGCCTACACTTTGCCATAGAAAACTGTTATCTTATACATATATGTTTCAATTCCAATTTATTTTATTAATAAATATATTTATATGTTTTGAATTCATAAACATTGATATTGCACAACACTGAAAATTATCAATGCTTGCATAATTACAAATTAGAACAAAGGTTTATACTAACAAATAGATGACAATGGAATCTAAATTGCAAGTGAATTCATGCGTACACGATCGATCGATTCCCTCTTCACATAGGAAGAAACACCCTTTCAGTGCAAATCCTCGCACATTCATACAATCGATTACATTAATATTATTTGCTCTTTATTCGGCTTTCCGTTGGCGAAATGATTAGTTTTGACTAGCCGCCAATGAACAATTTTGTTAATTACACAATTGAAATTGAAATTGCGTAACCACTTCATCGCTTTATCTATTTTACATTGAATGTAATTATAATAGGACAAACCACGTAGAACCCGGGTGACGTGTGTCTTCGTGGGTGTATTCATCTAATTTTTGAATTAAAATGTAATCGATCGATCGCGTTTTCATCCACATTCCGCCTCGATTTGGTTTAATTAACAAGGCTATTGATGCATCGTCCTATTAAAAGCCCGAATAACGTACTGTATCAGATTTCTCTAAATTGCGATTTAATTCGAATCGATTCGCAGCTAAATCCGCATTTTGTAATTCTCAAACACAGTGTTTGGTTTCCTATACGAAATGTTTGTTTACAAAGTTCAACTTGAAAACTAACCTTCTATTAGTTAACCAAAGCATTTAATTCAATGAAACTTCGCAATTTAAATTTGTTGTACATAAACATTCATCTATCCAATATATTAAAGTTTCATTTTTTTTTAAATTTTTTGTTTCATATTTTTTTCCTATTTGCAGTTAAACCAATATAAACGAATAATACATGAAAATCGACAGACTGAAACATCAATTATCCATGGAATTTGTTCGAACAATAACAATGCTTTTTAATGCAATAATTATAAAAATATTATACATATATACGCTTTATTTATTATATTATATAAATACAATAAATTATGTTATCAACGCGTATGTCTAGTAGCTGAGTCTACTATAAAAGAGTCTGACTTGCGCATTTGGACCTGTAGTTTCCTTTTGAACCCATGGGAGGTTTTTATCAACTTGGTGGTATTGGAACTGAAGAATGTCTATTTTTTGTCATCAAGAGAAAATAAATTAAGAGTAATAGTTTTGAATATAATGGTGAGAGCAATATTGACCAGATGCGTACAATTCAGTGACCTTGGTTTAGAAGTGATCTTGATGGAGTATAATCTGATGATTTTATTAACAATATCTTGACATAATAAGCAATACTTTTAAGTGCAAAGTAAAGGTAAATAGGAAGATACTAGTGATATTTTATAGGATTAATACCATCAAGGTCATTTACGGCACTTAGTTTTGGATTGCAACTGTGACATCATTATAAAAGAGACAAGCTTAAGCAATTCTTATTAGTTTGGTTTGCGACTATATACTGAGTATTTGTTTCGTGTGAAAGCAGTCAAAGTAAGTCATTATTAACATGGTCGAATATCTCGAATTAATACTTTGTAGTGCAAAGTGAAGACAAGTAGGAAGATACCAGTGGTATCTTATAGGATTAATACCATCATGGTCATTTACGTCACTTAGTATTGGAGTCGCTGCTAGGGGAATTGCAACTGTGACATGAGTATAAAAGAGTCGAGCTTAAGCAAGTCTTATTAGTTTGGTTCGCGATTTTGTACTGAGTAGTGGTTTAGTGTGAAACCATGGGAATTTCATATGGACATAGTCGAATTAAAAGTACTGATATACAGCTTAAGTTTACTAAAACTAAGTATGAACTATAAACAATGATTTTGTTTAAGAAGATTTGTATACAAACATGTACATTGTGAGAAAGTTATTGAGTGAAATAATGAATATAAACTGACTTAAGTGAAGACAACTGGAAAGATACCAGTGTTACTTTAACAAATTACGAAATAATTTAATCTAATTAAATAAATGAAAGATAAATTAAGTTTGTTCATTACATACACATTTGTAAGGACAATTTTAGTTTTGCTCATCTAGCAGGATTTTTCATTCAGGAATTAAATAGTAAAGCCAAGGACATTGAATCTTGAAGTTATAGTGATTGTGTTATAATTGTGAGTTGAGTATAAAAAAGTCGAATCAAACTTTTATTAACAACTACGAGGATTGAAGTTATTAAATATATTACATATTTTTTTTAATTAAATTAAATATTGATGAATTGGAATGTGTATACATTTTCTTATTAAATATTGAAACATACCAATAATATTTTAAAATCATTCATATGTATTAACCGAATTCGTTATTTCATTAAATATTTAATTGAATGTTTGTTCAATGAAATATTTGCAAAATGTGATTAATTTAATAGCTGTAATGTATACATATTTCTGTTTAAATATTTTACATTTGAAGTGTTTCGAACTTTTTGCATATATATCGTAATTATTTTACATGGTATACCTACATAGGTTTTGCGTTTATTTAAAAACTAATTTTGTTGGATTATATAAATGAAATTTGTGCACCATTTTGAATCACATTTCATATGCTTGCCTTTATTATATACGTATTAAACGTTGTTTTTATGTATTCAATATTTCATTGAAACCTATTATAAGCATGATATAAAATTAGTTTCTATTATTATAAAATCGTGAGTGGAATTTGTTTTTTTTATTGTATACGTTGAACGACTCGTTTATGCCATCGTTCTTATGAATGAAAGTTAGACATTTCGGATACACCCTGTATATACACCGAGGAGAAACTACAAAAGCTGCTCAATAAACAGAAGCATAACATATTCTCGAACCATACCATACGAATACTAGAATCAAAATGAAAATAAAAGAAAGAGGAAAGATTGAAGAGAAAAGAAAGAACATGCTCTGTGTGGACGAGTGTGGGGCATGTTTGGTGAACGGTTACGCTTCTGGATGTAATCTATCCTATATTGTAGAGAGCGGCGGCAATCATACATTAGAATTGGAAGGTAAAAAGAATTGCTTACATGCAGCAGCACGGGTACCCATGTTGACAATGCAGTCACAATAATCAAACGCAAGGGAAACACTGAGGTCACATTGTTTAAAACGTGCGGGAATCTTCAACATAGGGGCGGCTTCGTCATCCCATTAGAAATCAATAGTGGTAGAGAATAAGGATCTGGAGGATTCTAAAAGAATACAGGGACACAGGCACGAGCCTAGGTCCCAACATCCTAAGAACTGCTCGTTGCTCGCATCGCAGATCGATAGCATCCCGAACACTTACGCGACGCTATGTAGTGATGCACATAGCAATATCTTGCATGTGCTTCAATTATCGTAAATTATGTATCTGATGTAATTTATTTGTAATAATTTTTCTTCTTTTTCATATATATGTATACATATACATTGATATTTCATTATCTTGTGGGATTCTTAACGTACACATATATATGTATATATATATATATTATATCTTTTTTTTAAACGTCTACTTACACAACATTTACAGACTCATTCAATTACACTTACATCGCACATTTAAATGAGAACGCAAATTTAATAGACCTGTTGCGTACATGTGTGACGGACATCTAACATTGACTAAGAAGTTTCCTGGTATTGCGTTAGCAATCAATGGGTGCCTCCATCCATCAATAGCCGCCAAAGATCGCCGATGGCCAAGCCGGAGTCGTGGAAGCGACCGGGACCCAATGGATATGCACACATACACGTACACTCGCGACCCACCGCATCCGCCCTAAGCGCCCTTCTTTGAAATTTAGACCCGCAAAACAGCGCCCAAATCGTCGACGAGCTTGCTACGACCACCGAAGCAGCCATGCACTTCCTGGAGATGAACGGGCTTACGGTGAATCGGTGACACAACTTCCACATCCGCCGTCAGAAACCACCACCGAATTTATGTTGTATGCGCCGATAGTAGGTAGAGCTGGTAAACAATTTGGGGGAGAAGAGAAAAATCAGGTTTGTTTTGCCTGCCGAGCGGCGGGAAGCGCGCGCAATTGCGAATGTGTGTGCGACTAAAGGGTGGATTTGATCTTTTCGATCCAGTTTCTCCATTGCGATTCTTGGTCCAGTGTCATCCCCCTTCTAATCAATAATGTTTCATTTCGCTTGCTGACATGGACGAAAGCGCACCTCTGAACATGGAGAAAGGTAAGTTTGAAACAATAATATTTTATTTCAAATTGTTTACAAATTGTTTTTTGAATTAGATGGTCAGGGGGAGTCCGTAGATGAACTACGGCAAAGGTTGAACCACATGAAGAGGATGATGGCTGAGCGTCAAGCCAACGGAATGGGGATGGAGGATGATGGTAGGATGAAGGCCAGGAACGGGAACATCATCGATGGAAGCTTCCTCAGCTTCGTATTCGCTGTGGCCTTGATCGTCATCCTATCGGTCAGCGTATACGCGTTCTACCACCTGTACCACGCGATCCTCAAAAAGTTCCCGTCGCACCACACGGAATTGTAATGTAGGCAACACAAATTCCACCCTATTATCAATCATTGCGTATATGCAAGTCTAACAAATTTACTGTTACTACGTCAAGTGCTCAAATACTTAACAATAAAAATTACAACATTGTACTGCACTTCATGATCGGAAACGATCTGGAGCTAATAAATAATATGTATTCAATATAAGCGATTTTTATGCGAGTTTGATTTATTCTATTTATACTCTCCTCTCTTCTACTCCGCACAAATTTGACTCGTGCAGTCGTGGCGACGTCACGAGTGTGTCACTTAAACCACAGTTTGTGGAATAAAACTTGTTGCGGTGTCGTGCGAAGAAGATCGCGATGAATGAGAGAAAGTACGTTTGATCGAGTTCGCACTGTACATGAGCTATGCGTGATTTACCCGGGTTTTCGGACCTTTCCAGATCTTAATACCTAGAATGGCGAGTTCCCATTGCAAATCGAGTGTGGTAAGTAAATAGATAATTCTACAAAATAATAGAAAGAGACAAAAACTAAGAGGATATCATAATCAACTACGCCTCGGGACTACTGCATCTATATATATATATATATATTATGTATATATATAAATGTGTGTATGTATAAGCACACACATATATATGTGTGTATTTATTTATATGTTTATATATGCATATGTACATATTCATTCGTTGGAATATTCCATAGAATGACATAGAGCTAGTCAGCAATTGAATAATTGATCAATTGAATGGTGCAACGTAAATATGGTTTAATGGACTTTTAATTATGCCATCAATTTTTAAAGTTTTTAAATTGCGCCGTACGACTGAAACATAGATGGCGCTCCGATTATTCTGATCGTTGGACAGGAATAATTGTATTAGAATGAATGGTTGCCACCCTTGGTATTGATCAACGGTTGGCTATGGGTATTATCTTTGGTATGGTGTTGGTGCAGCCTCTAATGTCAAAGGAGAGAATTTCGGTTAAATTTTCGGGATTCGCGCACAGACACAGACATGGCGGATGCGCATAGCTACATCGAGGAAAACGGGACAAGCGTGCGCATGTAAGAACACCTCCATTTCTCTGTGCCTGCTTTCAATGACTCGTTACAACATGTATCATATATTTCTGAAGAATATTCAGGTTTGAGTAGTGATGTAAAAGTACAAAAATTAACGTCCAAAGTTGCCTATAGTCAAAACAAATTTAGTGTTTAAACATTATAAACATGTCGAATGTGGTAGGTGTTATTTTTAAGTGCCATCTCTTAAATATTATTGTCATTTTAATGTTGACAAAAGTATATATATTAATTTTTTTCACTGTTTCAATTGACCAGCTGAGAGTTTACCAAGACGTTATTGATGATGTGATACTGGCAGTTCGTGAATTATTCATGGAAGATGGAGTGGATGAGCAGATATTGCAAGAATTGAAACAATCTTGGGAATCAAAGCTTGTGGCCAGCAAAGCTGTCGAGAGCCACACTGAAGAGAAAGGTAGTCCTCATCCAATACAAATAATTTTACTAATTTTTAGTTTAACCCTTTCAGTAATATGTTTATAAATTTATTAATGCTTTTATAGATAATGTAATTTTGGGGATGCAATGTAGAATACGTCTGCAACTCATCAGTAGTTTACGTGAATAAGTTTAGTGAGAGGAAGTGTTGCTACAAACCCATATTTAATTAGAGATAAGTGTCCATATTTCTTATAATTTTCATTATGAAACTATTTATTTAAAACACCTAAACATACACACATATACAGACATGAAACTGAACCAAACTAGAAATGGAGATAGTGAAATAAGATATATGCCTTTTGGACACTTCCATACTGAAAGGGTTAAATAAAGTGTAAATATTAGATAATGACATACAATGTTTTTAGGGATAAAAAAGTCAGGGGAGTTAGCAAATGGAAATGCATTTCCCAAGGGTCAGAACCAGGTGAAGCAAGTGGTGGGCCAAGTGGCACCCAATAATCATGTTCAAACTCAAGTTGTTACCCAAGTGGAACAACGAATGGTTCCAATACAAATAACACTACCCTCACAGCCAGGTGCAAATGGAACCCAAAGAATCCTTACCATACAAGTTCCAGCAACTGCATTACAAGATAACCAATTACACAAAGTCCTCACTGGCCCTATAATTACTGCTACAATGAACCTGTCTCCTCACATTGCCTCTTCCGTTCTGCAACAGCACGTAAACGCAGCATTCAATCAACAACTAGCGCAACCAAGTGTACTTTCATCGGTCATCAATAACACAGCCGCAACTGCACCCAAGTCTGTGATACAAAACGACGGAGCCTCACAGGAATCAGACGAGGAGGAGATCGAGTATAATCTGCAAGTGCCTTCCTGCTCAAAGCCTGGAACGAACAACATTCGGCCAAGGAAAAGGTTAATTGCGCAACACGACGGACCTGATGACACATCCGACGAGGAAGAGGAAGGCTCTGATGATGATGAACCATCCGACGACAATGACGACGATAAGGACGAAGATGAACAGGAGATGGATGAAGGTGGTCCAGAAGAGGAACCGTTGAATTCCGAGGACGATGTCACAGATGAGGATCCAACCGATTTGTTCGACACCGAAAACGTTGTTGTCTGTCAATATGATAAAGTAAGTTCCATATTTCTTTCTTTTTAAACATCGAACACAATATTGTAATTTGCTGTTGTTTGATGCTTTCAGATTACTAGAAGCCGCAATAAGTGGAAATTCCATTTGAAGGACGGTATTATGAATTTAAACGGCGAAGATTTTGTATTCCAAAAGGCAAGTGGGGACGCGGAGTGGTAATCAATTATGACTGTGTAACCATAGATATATATATTTAGGTTTTAAGACCTTAAATTATTTATCCCATAAATATTAATTAATTTTGTTTTATCATTTGTTTTTTTGAGATATGAAAATGATTTATTTTTACTGTTTCAATTAATTAATTAATTATTAGAAATGATATGTTATTGTACGTAATACTTCATTGGAAGTTCTTTTATCCTTTTTAATTAATTGATATACATGTATATCATTTGAAAATCTTTTGAATCACAAATTTTGTTTTGATTGTTTCTTATGAAATGCTTTTTACTTTACTCTCTTAATTTACTTGTTTTTGTCAACGTTTGGATTTTTGGTCCTGCATCTCTAGTTTTATTTATCAAATGAAAAAAAAAACTCGCCTTGAAATAACGTGCAAAAAAAAGAACTGTTGATGGAGATATGTATTTTATTACAATTTGTAAGGAAAGGTTTCGAGAAGTGTATGTAATAATAAATACTATATTAATTATATACTGAATGTTTCCTGGATAGATATAGTGCCTATATATATATATAAATAATATATACAAATATCGAACTAGAGATGTATCGAGAAAAAAAAAGAACAATGTCAGTCAGTTTAAAATTATATCACGTTTCTTTCTTTGTCGTAATTTAATTATAGTATTTTATAGAAATTAATTGTACCTACATTATGTTTGAAAATGAAAAAAAAAAGAAGAAATTTATTCTTGATATTCTGATGTGTCTGAAATTTAATTCTTATACCATGTTTCTGATTGATCTTCAATTTATTTTATTTCATTTAGTCGCATCCTACTGAAGAAAGATGAAGCCACTTTGTTTTGATCCTGCATTGGCTTCCTTTTTCTCCTTATTTGACTAAAAGTAAATCACTAATTGTAAACAAATATATATATATTATATATATATATCCTGAATGAGCAGCTAATGATGAAGATGTACATTGAATAGTTTTATTTTTATACATACAATACAATACGGGTTATTAACTAGTAAATTACCACTAAGATAAGATGCAGTTATTATTGTAGGGATAAAAACATACTAAAGCATTATATCTTATATGCTTTATCGTTATTTACGTAAATAAAATTCACATCACATACCCGAGTTTCTTTTACTCTCTTCGAAAACAAATGATTCGTTAGGATGCAGCAAAATCATAAATGTTGAGTACATCAAATTTGCTGCTAAATTTAAAGGACTGCTTAGTTTTCTTTCATTTATTAATTGATAAACTTAATTAGGACAAGGAATGTAGACATTATAAACATCAAGATTCTTGCAAGGATTTACAGGTATATTACATATTTTATTTAGAAATTTTACTTATACATATAATATTTTTTAGGTCCGATTCCCAAACCCGCGGGCAACATGGCGCCCGTGTCCATTTTGTATGTGCCAACCGATGTTCTTCCATGAAATGAAAGCTTGTCCGTGTTTATTTGACAACACACGAATCCAATGAATTTAGCTTGAATCGCCTTTTCCGTATTTTATTTATAATGTGTTTTTGAGCGGCCCGCGGCGGTCAATTTTAAACTGCAAATACATTTCAATAATGTATTTGCTGCAAATACTTATTGTTATATTTAGAAAATATAAATTTGAGTAAGTATAGAGAAAATATTATTGAAATAAATGTTCAATTATATTCACTCAAATTTTGTTAAAAAAAATCCGACACATTGGCTGCTTTCAGGCTGTATATTCAAATGAATTTTAATGTCATACAAACAGATAAGTATTCAAGTTTAGCTATTCAATTAAAGTTATATTTAAAAATGCACATATTTTGTTTGCACGGTGGATATATATCAGAGACTACCGTGTAATAAAAAGAAAACGTGTAGAAAGAGATACTGGGTTTTGCCATATATTTCTATTTCATGAAAGCACAAGCTCAAATTTTGTTTTGATTTATTTTTATTACTGAAAAAAAAACGGTGTAACATGTTTATATACACATAATATACAGTAAATTTAGATTATAAGAAATTATATTTTGAGTAATATAGAAAATTATATGTATAAAACGTTTATGAGAACAACAATATAGTAGATATTTGTTTTGTTATCTCTATAAGTATTTACTCATTGATGAAAACACAAAGTATAGAGATGCTATATTTAGTCCTTATCCAGACAGATTATTCATACATATATCACTTACAATTTGACTCACTGAGGAAAAGTAATAAAAAATAATTATCAGAAAATATAAGTTGAAATGATTAATCTTGTTTTGTCGATTAATACTCATTTAAATATGTTCATAATAGATTACGAAATTTGGTACTAATGTCACTTTGTTCGTGAATAAATACGTCAATTTACGTTTTTTTTTTGGTACACTTCGTTCGGGTGAATGTTCATACGAACGTACACTTTGACGCCGGTATCGTATGGGAATTACTCAGCTTTCCGATATATTGTAATAGGAGAAGAGACGAAATTGTAGAAGAGAAAAGGGTACTTAAACTGTAATGAAAATATTATTAGTCAGATGTTGATGAACTTAGAACTAATTATTTATTTAATACTGCTCCACGTTCATACGCACGAACATTTTGACTCAGCTTCAATACATGATAATCAAGATGAATATCTAGAAGAGAAAAGTGGTCTTGAACTGCATATAGATAATGAAAATATAAGTAGATTCAGATGTTGATGAGCTTAGAACTAATGATTTATTTCAATTGCAACAGCAAATGAGTACAGAAAACAATAATAAATAGGATCTAAAGCAAGATCTTGTTCAAATTGTAAAAAAAATAAAATTTGAAAACGAAATTTTCAATATACAAAATTATTATCATTTTATTCATAATATATTAAAATTTTGGTAACAATTACTTAAAAATCTTCCATTATATTCAGGAAGAATCGTTTTATGAATCACTATTAATTACAAATCAGTATCCGGTTTATTCTGTTGATATTTTTATCATGTTTGATAGCCTTGAAATGCTAAAAAAACTCATATTTTTCGAAGTTCTAGAAGTATTTTAGAGCCAATTTATTTACAATCTATTTAATTAAACAAGTTTTTAATTAATTATTAGTACATAATCTATTTAAATTCCGAATATAAAAAAACTGTAGTAGACGAAAAGTCCTACTTTTTAGTCGTTTATTGTTTAATAAAAAATCAATTACTTAAAACGACGTTAGAAGATTGTAATAAAAGACACATTGAAAAGTTTATAGGAAACTTTTATTATTCAAGATTCTGTATTTTCAAAGGCTATTCTGCGTTTACGTAACGCGATGTAGACACATCTTATTAAAAAGTGTCACATGAATATATTTGCTTTTCTATTTTGTAAGTTAGAAACTCAGTTATAGTAGAATCCGTAGATTTCACAAAGTAACAACTCATATAATAGGGAACGTTAATTAACGAAATTTCTACGAAAATATTGTATTTTTTTTAAACGAAATCCACTTAATTGTGTTTTGTTTTTAGAATATGAAACCAAAAGCAAAACGTCGTTAAACTGAGAAAAAGCAATATAAACTATAAATGAAAATTCAATTAGAAATCCAATTATTTTTACAAATGGTTATTTCAGCTGATTACACACGTTTTACTCGTATACTTTTAACCTTGTACACATGTAAACTGCTTAGATAGAAAATTTCATAAATTACGTATTTACAAATTTGCGTTTTTTTTAAACGTTCCAAACATTTTCTTTACATTTACGCCAAAAAAATATTAACATTATATTCTGTATAAAAGACAACAAAGGATTGTTTAATTTTATGTCTGCCTTGGATAAAATATATTATCAATAAGTTTACAACATATTTTATCCAAGATCGGATTTTGTTCTACAAGAATAATCATTTTTTATTCAGATCTACGTCAAGTTTGTTTTTCAATCCACTTGAATAAATGAGATGAGATAATTAATCAAAATACAGAAAAGCACTTCGTTCTGATATGAGCATTTATTACGTTTATTCGAATGATATAATATATAAAAATGATACAATATACATGATATGGAAGTTAGATGTCTTACTTACAAATAACATATCGTGGCAAAGCGAAAACATTAGAGGCTAGATGGAAAAGTCATGCACATACCAATTAGATAGTATGAAATACAGTTGTCCACAAATTAATCTGATCATGGGACACAATTGCACCATGTCCAAAACTATAGCATCAACAAGAAACATATTTAATAATGAAGTTTTATGCAAAAAAAGTTGTACTATTACAGTTTTACCTACTTTCTTTGAAACCATTGTATCTTTAACAATATAATAATTGATAATAAATTTACTTCTTAACAAATTATATTAAAATTGGTAACCTTCAGTTTAATACGACGATCCTAATTTGATTAAAATCTGGGATAAACGGATTTTAGAAAAGGAAACAACTCAATGAAAAAAGAAAACAATGAAATCTTTAATTAGGTTTTTGTTTTTATATATATATAGATAGATTTTATTAATACAATATAGTAATAATAATGTACTCTCATCTATAAATTTACAGTCTCAACTAACAATTATTATTATAAATGGTAAAAGGCACAAAATTGTTAATGCGATACAGATTCGCCCTAATGTACATATCGCTTTAGTACTTGATATATCATCTCTTGCTGTATAATTATATGTTTTTCATGTTCTTCTCTTCCTCAATTTCTCATACATTTGCACTCCACGCGGTCCTTGTATTCGAATTTCGATTGAAGTGAACTCATTTATAAATAGAATAAAGTTAAAAAGAAAAAAATAATAATAAAATAATGATAATAGAAATGAAACAGAAAGAAAACAAATGATTCTCACGATACGGGTGTGTGTGTGTACAAATCTTACAAACAATTATTTTTAATCACAAATACAATTTACAAAACCCTTGGTGAAAAATAAACTTAAAACTTGCCTTTGCCCATTAAATTACAAGGATATAAATAAAAATCATCTTACATATCTTCTTAAAGGCTACCCAATAATTAATCATCTCATTCGCTTCACTGACGACAGTTTCAAATGGCAAAATATACAAATATACTACACTAAGAAATACAATATGAATTACAACTCGTCACTTAGACGTACACAAAATTTTTCTTGATTTTTGTTTTGTCGGTTACTTTTTTTTTGTTTTTTTTTTTACTTTTCACTTTATACAAGTCATACATTTACCATAATACATATATAAACATTTATATATAATATTATTCTTTTTGCTAAATTAATAAACAGTCATTCGATCATTCTGAATCATTCAAATTCTTTCGTAGATCTAAAACTATTCAAATAATAATTAAATCAAACATCTTCTTTAGCTACTTCGGGATCAAAAAATGAAATAGAAATTAATAATTAATCAATAAATACGTACAACGACAGTTGCTTTAATTTGAAACATAGCTGCAATAACTTAATGTGATTCCAATGTTTATTTATTTCTTTTTTTTCTTTCATTCGCTCGTTTGGAAATTGCCATTTCGATGGCACACATTTCCATTCACTGTTTAACCATTTTTACTTTGCTGTCTCAATAATTAATTTATTTATTTACTCTTGTTTAAACAATCATCATGTGCTTTGATAAATAAGTGAGGAACAAAACGAAAATTGCATATAAAGCAGTTCTCTCTTTCTTTTTCGCTTTATATCATTTTGTTTGCTTCTTGTTTTGTCTGATTTCTGTTTACTTGCTAAGTACAGTGACTGCCAAGCAAATATCTTTAAAGGTTACACAGCCTTGTTTCATATGCGACTAGAATGAACAGATGGCTCTTTGACTAAATAAATGGCACTGTAGTGCAATGTTTCATGATCCATCTTGATTTGTGTGTGTTTTTCTCTTTCTTTTTTCTTCTTTCGTTTCAATTACAAAAAAAAAATCGGAAAAAAAAAACGGGAAATAATAAAATTAATAGTATAACGGCGTCGTTGAGGTATCATCTCTTTTACACGCTGCAACCTTGGGAGACTTCTTCGCTGTTTTGCTGACTCCATCGATACTGATGACAGGGCGATTTGCAGTCGGCCTCCTCGTTCCTCAAGCTCTGCTCCAGCTCCAACAGTTGTCCCATGAAGTTCAAGTTCGGCGATATGATGGGTCTGACGGCTTTTACCATTTTGTACGCTTCTACCATTGATTTTTGCTTGTATTTCATTATGTAAGCGATGGCTATTGTGGCACTACGGGACACGCCCGCCTGGCAATGTACTAATACTTTCGAACCCTTTTTCCTTGCATCCTCTGAAACAGAACAACATAAAAATTAGTTACGACGACGCTCGTGTTGTTAAATTGCATGCGTATGCAACAAAAGGCGATTTGTTTTCATTTCAACTAAATGGATAAATGCCGTTTGATGCAATAAGTGCCCTGTCCCACATTGCATAAGCGTAATTACGAGGATTCTTTTATTTATCCGTTCCTGCGAATTGTGCGATTTCCGTTTCCACCGGTAACGTTAATTACATTGCATATTTAGAGCGCATCGCGCCCACTTCAATCTACATACATACAACATATAGAAGACACTATGATGAACTACCTAAATTCCATCGTTCTCAAATTTTCATTACTTAAAATTTATGTACGAAATATATCTATAATAGAAAATTCTCCAAAAAAATAGAAACATAGACATTTCTAAAGTGAAATATTTAAATGAATATAAATACTGATCAATAAAATAAAATCGAATAGGTGACGTCAATGCATTTACAAAGTTATTATATAATTATATTTTATTTCTAAATTGCAATTTTTCATGTTGTAAATTAACACGTGCAATATTATAAAGTAATATAGAATTATCAGTTTAGGCTAAACGATTGCTAATCAATAGATAACATGAAACAATACGTGATTTACATAAAGTTATATAATTATATTTGGAAATACCTATATTAGATAGTGGAATCGTATATTTTCAAATTAGTGTTCATAAAATTGTATAATATAGGTCAAATGATCAATAGAGGACAAGAAACTGTTTGTGATTGATTTAAAATTTATTATTAAATTAGTAAATAATCAATGTTATATTTTCAAGAAAATCTAATAGAAATTATCGGATATTTAAAGCCATGTAGGTTTTATACAGTAGATCAATAATTGAATAGAAATAACATCAAAGTTGTAAACGTATTGTAATATATGTTAAAAAATAAGGTATTTGGTAAGATACATTTAGATACGAACAAAGTCGTAAATGTTCATGATAATGTAATAATAAAACGACGACATGGAATAGAAATATAGGTTAAAAGCTTACACTTTTCCTATTCCTTCGGAAAGTAATAACATTTCAAACATATTTTTCCGTACAGCTAATCCCCATACTTATACGGTCGATAACGTCCTAGTAAGGTCAGCTGAGAACCTTACATTTGCTTGTTTTTACATTGAGAATTTAACATTTCTTACTTCGTGACATGTATATACTATATAAATATATTCATTTGCAATCATTACAAATATATTGATTTTTCTGTCCATTTTTACTCATTGAACAGTAAAAAATGTAAGTTCATTAAATATTTTAATTATTAATGTTCAACATATTCTATGAGTGTTTTAAATAAATATATTAATTATTACAAAATTGACGTTAAGATAAATAAAATAAATAAATGTTTTAACTTTGTCGTAAATTATAAATATCAACAGTGAACAGATGAATTGTACACGAGTATTGGCAATTTAGAGATGATCAAGGTTAAATATTCTGTAACGTAACAAAATGTACATTGATATTTGATGAAAATCACGAGACGTGATAAACGTCCATCGATTTTCAAGGATGTGATTTAAGAAGAGAATAACAACCGAACTATAAAGATAATACTGTAAACATGAATGTGCACTTGTTCTTTGATCGTTCTAGAGTTGTTAGTCATCGCAAAACAATGTCTGAAATTAAGACGAATGCAGATTTGAGCACGCATCTGCGAACTCGTACAGAATTTCATTACATTCATTCAAGCTGAAATCGATAAGCGCCACGTACTGCGTTTGATAAGAGTCCAGTTACGTGATTAAATATTGTAGCGTTTATGAATAGAATAGAAAAAAAAAAGAAGTAATGGAATCATCCAGAGATGATGAGAACAGAACCGGTATTCAATAGTTTTCTTCTTGTTATTTTAAGAAAGAGCTCGAGATGAAGAGCTAGTTGCCTACGTCGATTATGAAAAGCGCACCAAAAAAAAAACTGGATTTGTCTCCTTTCCTCGCATACTCTTCACATGCCTCTTATGTTTTGGTCACATTGCTGTAGATTACATTATCAAGTAGCCTTTATACTGGAAACCGTATTTCGGTTCCACGTGGATAGAAGAAAGGAAGATTACAAATGGTCGCCACTTTCATGGGCTATATAAACTAGTGAAATTCCATTGGAGCCAGGCTTTGCTTTATGTGCTGCTGCTGCTAAGCGCAACAGGCAAATAAAAAGAGAACAAAACACACACACATACATATATATATATATATATGATACATACATACAAGCTGGGGGGGAAGTTGAGTCATATATCTATTTATTTCCCGTATATACAGAGGCGGAATGCCACGCGGTTTTCCTAAAATTACCCGGTGGATGGTTCTTGTTGTTCCCATCGGTTGGGCAACATTTGGAAGCGGTCACGCAATCCCTACCAGCGGTGTTTTCTTTTCAATTAGCGGAGAGAAGAAATAATTTGAAGACCTCGCTTGTGATGCTATAATCCGCGTGATCTGATCACAATAAGCGGAGGGCGTACGCTACGATTATCTAATTGCGCGCAGATGATTCACTGCCACTTTAATTACCAAACGGCTAGATAAGATTGTGCTATTTAAATATTAACGATCGTTAATTGTTATAACAATATAGATATACACGCACACTCATGCACGTCGCTTCATAAACAATATTTTTTTAAAAGGATGTATGTTCCTTATAGATTACGATGACTAATATACGTGATTTTCGCCGCTTAAATCATTGCTAATTGTGTAGCTATATGAAATATATTTATATAAACGTTCTTCTTTTTATTTCTTCTCTCTCTCTTCTTTTTTTTTGCTTCTCGTCCGTTGTGAGATTTCATATATACACGGTGATTCCGGAAAGTAAGTTCAGACGAACAAAAACTTGTATACGTAACCAAGCTCTACGTACGCAACAACAACGTCAGGACTTTGGCAGCACATGCATCGATTGATGTAATAGTCATCAATGTTATACGTGAATTGGTTTTCCTACTCAAATATTGATTACGAACGTCACACACATCAATTAATTATTCATTTGTTTCATTGTGCGTCGTTTCGTTTCAGTGCTCCACGTCAATTTTTCAGCACGCTTCAATTACATGTGAATAGGGATGTTTACGGTGTACGTAAACACAATTAAAAACTGGCGCAACAGCGAAATTCGCGTTGCGTCATCCGGTTACATTGCGTTGCTTGATTGATGTTGATAGCAATTCCATATTGCATAATACGGATAATTGAACAATACGTTCGCATCTTTCATATAATCACCAATGAAATATGAATATCACCGATATTTATTGATATATTTTTTTTTGTTTGTTCTCTTGCTGGGTCAATGTGGACACAAAAACAAGGGTTTATTTTGTATATCGAAAATATTTGATGAGAAGTTATATGAAAACAAAATCATTTATCAAATATTCTTTGATTACATTTATATTTTTCATCTTTTAATTGCTTCATGTAATCAGCAAACGAAATATGAATATCACTGATATTAATTGATTGATTTATCAGTTTACATTCACAAAACCTAAAGCTGTTTATTTTCTGATTCGAATGTATTTTATAATGACAAAGATATATCAAAACAAATTACGTCTTTAATTATTTCATTTAAATTATATTTCGTATTTGTCACATCTCTTACAAAACGTAAATGTTTTTAAATATTATTCTTTAATTTGCTCACTAGGAATTTAAATAAAAAACAAAGAGTTAAATATAAGTTATATGTATATAGATGTCAATAGTAATTATAGGAAAATAATTGTTGTTTTTTGGATGAAACACGAAGTTAATGTGAAAAGGCTATCGACCTTTGGACTTTCTGGTAATAAAATCCATTAATTGTAAACATTTAAATAAACGTGTATATGGAAACACAACTTCATCTCGGCATGACTCATGCAATGTAATTGTCGAGAACGGTTTTTTTTCGGCTGTTTGTCTTGCAATCCGTTTGTTGTGCTCTCGCTTATTATTTTCTTCCATCTGGGAACGTCAAGAACACACTTTGTTTTTATTTTGTTGTTTCCGATGTCTGCGAAATTCTTTCTTTTCTCTTCTATTTTCATTTTGGGCACATTAGTCAGAGCCATGGGAAATGTTTATTTACAGATGTATTTATATTTTTATATACTAAAATACATGCGTGGGTTATACCAATATGGTTAGTATTCAGATGATACGATACGCTCGGTCGATGTAACCGAATTTCTGTCTCATTTAAATTTATCCTTAATACATTCTTCAACCAAAGAGAAATACTAGTATAAAACAAGAATCTCATAGTTTTCAATTCCACTGAACATTTAGTTTGTAAATAAGATTTAAATACAAACAAGTTTTTGCAATAGAAAATTAATGGTAAAAACAAAATGCTATTTTTTTTGTTTATGTATTTTCACTGAAACTGAATGAATTATTAGTGCTTGGTCGTTTTTAAATTCCTAACATAAACGAAATAAACTATATATGTATGTTTATAAGCAGAAAGTATTTTTTTAATGATTCAATTCATGCAAGTTCTTGGAATACGCTTTATTCATGTTTCTAGCTACGTTTTGTACCAGTCAATGTAAAATAACTCAATGTTATTTAAGCAGAGTGTGAAATATATTTTTTTTAATTTTTCAGTGTAAAATTAAAATTGTGCAAAGGAAACATGAATTTCATTGAATAATATAATAATGAAATTAGTGCTTTGTGAGAGAGAGTTGGTACACACTGTAGATGTATTTCTTTTTTGTATCTTTCCTCGAGGTTCTTTTCTAACAGGTTTATTATTAGGTTTTCGAAATGTGACATTCAAATATTTACTTATCTGGCGCCAAAGTAATTAAAGCGTAGTATTTGTAAAATATTTCATTTCACACATTCGTTAAAATTGTATGCTAAATGTTCCGAAAGAGGTTTTCCAGAGGGGGAAACCGAATCATGCAAAACTAGAAAATATAGAAACAACAACCGAACTGAATGGAAGACGAAGGGGAAACCCATTAAATGGTTACGCATTATGTACAAATAAGTGCGTACGGAATGAGGTCATGAAACGGTCTGAATCATCCCTTAAATAATGACTCAAATGCGTATAATGATCGGTGCTGGGGGTTCCCCTCCGACCGATTGAAAGTGAAAACAAAACACAACAAAAAAAACGCACGGTGTGATTTTCTACTTAGGGGTGGGGGTTGGTTTTCAATGAATGAAGTGGCCGGTGGTAGTTGAAAGGGAGGAAATTAGGATACACCGCATTGACGCATAACCGGGATACGGGATAGACATGAGTCACACGGGAGCATCGGGCAACGGCCCTCATCAGAAACAATGAGCGGCGATGAGTAATACCCGCTGACTCAAAACTCTCTTATGCTGTCGACAAGGCCGTTTACCCGCCGAACCTTTTTGTAAATTGGAGTTCCGAGCGGATCGCTCTACCAGCATAGGCATGGCTTTCCAACATCCCGAGGACACGAATCTCGGAGACCCATGCCAATTACTCACTCTCGCTTCAGCATGAACTCGGCCAAGCCAACCGACCGATCAACCATCAGCCATCCATCCATCTCTCCACGCAAGCAACTCGCTCAAAACCGTAACCCATATTTGCGCAAACCGGCGACTCGACTCTTCGAGAAAAAGTACCAGCCGTGTGTTTGTATGAATATGTATGTGTGTGTATATGTATGTGTATGCATTCGCTCAGTTCCTGAGCTGTAGCCACGTCCAAGGCAGTCTGCAGGTATTTCGCGCCGTCTCGCTCCCAATGACGGAGAGGAGGAGAGACCAGAGTGACTTCCGCGTTCGAGCGACTCTCGTCCTTACGCAACGACACCGCGCGGTTCGCGCTTCGCAGAATTAGCATAGGCTGTGTGTGTGTGACTCACCGATGAATTCAAAGGCTTCTTCGAAATACTGCTTGAGATTTTGCTGGCCGGAATCCGAGGCCGGAATCTGTTTGTAGGTGATGCCGCAGGTCTCGTGGTATCCAGGTAGCTGCGATGTTACGTTCAGGACGCAGGTGGTACCCAGGTCCTGCAGGCATGTGAGGTCGGCGGCGTCCCGGCTGTTGCCGAGATACAAATAAGGCAATACTCTTGAGGCAGGCTGCGATTCGATGTCTGCAATTGCTGGACACGACGCCGACGATGGTAGTCCCTTCGACGACAGTCCATTCGCAAGCGTGTCTTCGCAGAAGTCCTTATGCTTCCTATGGAACTCTCTGTGACCTCCTGCAAGGATAATTACATACTTCTTTTAGCACAAACTCCTCCTCAAATCCTATCCAAAAACAACACTAAACAAATACTACTATACTTCAAACATACAATTAATTAAGGGAATCTTACATATAGGAAGAATTACATCTTTTATAATAAACAAAGTATAATTGACAATACAAAAAGTTATTCAATTTCTTTTATAATTATTTAATTTGGATGATATTTCAATTATTTATCACATAAAATAGAAATTATAATTTTGGAAAGCAATAATAATTATATGGATTATTTTCTTTATTGGGGATTAAATTACCATTTTCTACAACGCTTAATATGTAATTACGAGTAATCTCAAGCTCAAACTTTTGTTAAATATTTATTGTTTGATTCGCTTAACCTTTTAACCTACTACAGTTGTGTAATACCACAATGCAAAAAGTAGTTATTGAAGTATTGATAGAGATTTATTCATGTATTTCCCACTTTTTTGTCATTTATTATTTTTTGATATCAAATCCATTTAAATTAATAATAAAATGTTATGAATATTGCTAAAATACGTTAAATCTCATAAACTGTTTATATAATAAAGATCCTTTCATGTGCAGTCAGTGAACCACTAATCTGCAGCGATTAGTCTCAAGGAAGATTCTTTCATTAAAATTTAAAATACTATAGTGATATAGTTATATATAATATTTAAAAGATTATCTGGTTTCATTGACTTGAAGGATGATCCGTTCTTGAACTGTCGGTGAGTCACGATCCTTTAATCAAAATAGTTAATCGTAAACAATTCGATGCATGATAAAACATAACGATCGATGAAACATCATTCTGTTTCGTTTAGGAATTAACGGATGATAATTAATGGATTTGATGAATGGATTTAAATGAATAGAGAATTGACAACGGCGGATTATCGCTCTGAGTCATGGTTATAGTTGATTTGGGAATCCACGGAAGAACAACAATGGAATTTAAAAATCGGGTTATCCGAGTTGCTTGAGTTAGAAGAAGACTGAATCATCAAGAATCCGTGAAAGAATGTGTCGTAAGTCGTACACACAGAAGTTGTTTTAGCGTAACGCGCGATGATTTCATTGCAAATCGTCAATTGTTTTGAAGAAAAAAAAAGAAAAGAAAGAACATTGTCTTACTATGGTGAACTGGCGATTGTGGTATAGGTAGAAACCTAAGAACCAGGCAGGTAGGTCGCTTCAACCTCATCTTGCTCATTGATACTGATGGTATTATTATGACTGTCGAATGTAAACAACAAACACACTGCACTCCAATAGACAAAACACTGGACCACGTGTTCACTGCACACTCTCAAAACACAAAGTTTCGTTACGACGGATCTCTTGTGTATGGTGGATATGACTATGTTGTCCTATGGTCTGGGCATGCGGGTGGAGGGGGAGCGCGCGATTCCATCCGAATGGCATGGAAGCACCCAGCGGATACGTCATGGGTCCGAAGGACGACCAAGAAATCCCCCAACACAGCACGCTTTCCAGAAGTTACACTACTTGCATCCAATATCTGCGCTGCATTAATTCATTTAATAAGGAAATGTAATCGCCTCTCGCGCTGACTAATCGCTTTACTTTACATTCATACAACAAAAAAAAGGACATACAATCGGTTACATTCATCGATACATTTGCGTGCTCGTACAAAGTCCCATCACCTTTGTTTACACTCGCGCATTCCGCATTTCATTCGACTTAGGTGTTTTCCTTTCGGTTTTACCATTATTTTCCATTACTTTTATTTTCGCTTTGCCGTCATCTTATCCTTCCGTTCCTGGGTCAACAATACCCGTTGTTGTTTTGCTGCAAACAGCTTACCTTTGGCAATCATCCCATCATACAGATTTAGACAGAGTTTCCGTCATTCGGACAAACAAAATATTGTCTCTGATTTGCAAAAATTACAAACAACAAGAAAATATGGAAGTAGTCTTTTCGTCGTTCCACATTACATCATCTTATATTTTCCTGTCAGAACACCAAATGTAAAGCGAAAATTCCAAGTAAATCGTTAGTCAACGCGGCCACGAACTACGCATTCTCCTGATTAGCAACTTTTACCAAACACATTCATCCGAACTCAATTAATTTAAAGAAAGTTGATTACATTCCGCACGCACGGATAATGTTATGCAATTACGTACGAAATTAAAACAGTCGCGCATAATATAATGACTGTTCAGTTTTTGTTTTGTTGTTGTTGCAGATCAGAGGCATCTTGTCTATGACCCCCATGACGCCAAAGAAAATGATTTGGACTATGATTTTTGATGTTATCAGTTGCTATGAGTCACAATGTTTAACTTTGCAATATACTCATTTTATGACTACTTCATTTTTTTTTAGAATTATCATTCTTATTCATAAGAACAATATAATCAAATATCGAAGTCCAAGAATACCAATAACATCATTTATTTATTTAAATCAATGTTTATTTATTTAATTAATTCTAGTAATATTATATATTTATATGAATCACTTTTATTTAAATAAATTTAAATGACTTTATATTGTAATTGTAAACCATTTATATTGCATTGTTCAATTATTATTAGTTTAATTTATTATACATAAATTCTATATAAAGTAACAAATTAATATTGTCATAATTATATAAACAATACTTAATTGCATTCGAGTCACTGCTACTACGCAAAAAAAAAACAATAGAAAAGAAAGTTTCTCATGATCATAAGATTCAGACAATTGTTTTTTTTAAAACAATATTTCACTTTCTTTATTTCTCTCATTAAAACCATGTGAATCAAACTTGTTGAAATATATTTTTTTTATTTTAAAAAAATTATCATTGCATTTATTAGGTATGGATGATTCAATGGATTTCTTTCATTTTTACGCAGCATTCTCGAAGCAATTTATTATGTTCTCCTCCCGCGACAAGTATGCAGATGAGGAAACGAGAACTGTAAATAACAACAAACAAGGAGGAAAGTTCTTGAAGAATTTCGTGCGTCCGCTGAGTGAATTTTATATTTAAAATATAAAAAAAACTTGTTCCATTCTGATCTTCTCCCGCTCTTGATTTTCGAATCTGGATAACCCTACGAGATGAATCACGAACTAGTTTAAGGAGAATAGGGTATTATTCATCATCGCTGCGTTGATGATTGGCCCCCTATGCGCTGTCATCCGTCGGATGACGCACGGTCACCCTGTCATATGGGGATGAAAATGTTTTGCATGCCGGACTCATCGCTAATGACTCATTATTTACATGTTTGACACGAATATTGTTATTAATTTAATGTTTGTATTGTTTGAAATCATCAACCATATATCATTAGTATCTCTCAGAATTGAAATCAATCAGAATGGGAAAATGATGTATTTATAGAAAATCAATGACTATATACAACGCACGTTAATTATCTTTTACAAGTAATAATTGAACGTGGGATGACATCCTGGAATGGGGATGACGTTGTTTTACCAATGACTCATTATTTACTATATATCGTTAGTCGCGAAAATCAAATATCTGCGTGATGGAAATTTGCAAAACTGTTATCGTTATTATTCTGTATTTGTTAGTTTTTTTTTCTCGTAACTGGTCATGCATCCGCCGCGTGTATTGTGTGCTAAGTTATAACTTGTTACTCTAGCAAATCGTTCAATTGCATGCTTTTGCACACTCATTATCGATGATGATAGTACATTCTGGGGGTGAAATTACTTTGCCTTTCATTCAATATTTACTGTTTACTGTTTGGAACTTTAGGAAAATTTTACAGATTGTTATTGTCGCTTCTGTATTTATTAGGGTCATTTGGAATTCCACAGCTAAAGTGTATTGTAAGCTATATTTAGATCAAATACTCTTGTATATAGTTCTATTGATGCGTTAAAAAACTAATGTAAACTTTCGGATAGTATAAGTTTGTTGTCTGACTCAACGATTGCGTTCGATGAATCAAGATAGTATCTATATTAGGGCAATTTATGTTTGAAATAATATTAAAGAATATGTAAATATATATATTTAAATATATATATGATTAAAAATTATGGGGATGATAAACAAGGACGAATGTGGATCGCTTTGATGTCAGGCTCGGATCCTTGTGGCACGTTCGGAATTAGATCGTGAGTCATTGGCTGGTTTCTGTGTTGTCGTACTTTGATTAATTTTGAAACGCTAGTTGATTTCGTCGCGTGATGATATGACGGTCTACGCGTACTTGGGAGCAAAACGGACAGTGCTAAGTGCGCGCATTGTTCTACTGCGTAGTTTTGCCTACGATCCAGGTTGTTGTTTCGGTGGAAAAGGGAATCGCGCTCCCGGTTGGCGTATGCGTGTATATTTGTATTAAGGCCAGGGCGTATGTAAGCGGAGCGTTAGTCATAGCCAGAAGTAGCAGGCAAACAAATAAATGGTCAGCAGCGAAAGAAGGCCACTCCGATCGGGAGGCTGGATGAAGGGCGCGGAGAGGAGTTGAAGGCGTACGGGCGCCACTGTACTCACCTAGCAGTAGGACGGGCTCCCTGTTATCTTCAACCAATGAGGAGAGGACCGGCAGCAGGGGGTGGGTCGCGTTGACTCTGTCCTTGTCGCAGGTGCCGTCGTCGTACACTAACACTTCCCGAAAGGTGCGCTTCCTGAGGAGCTCCTTTCCTTCACGGGTAGTCGCCAGATCGGCGAGGGTGGCCTTGCCGTGCTGCAGCCGCCTCTTGTTGATGCGGTCCGAGCAGTTCACGTTGATGGCACCGTCGATGTGGCTGATGTTGTATGATATGAAAGGTCGACAGTCAACGATCAGGAAGGGTCTGGTACCCGACCTTGAGCTCTCCATCTTCTGCCTGAGCTCGTCGGCATCCACCGTGGTCACCTTCGTCATGATGAGGGCACGCTGAATGGTCGCGCTCTCGCCGCACGGACTCGCCGGCAGACTCACGCTCGCGGACTCCAGTTTGCAGCGTTTAGGGGGACTCAGAAAGTTAGAGGACGGCGTCGTGGGTCCTGGCTCGCTCAAGCTCCTGTTCAACTGAAGAGTGAGACGATCTCTCGGGCTGCTCCCCGATACCTCCAGACACACTGCCGACATGACGACTTCTATATACGTCACCCGCTATATCTGGAATAGCTGTACAGAAAAACTAACATAAGTGCCAAGCCAAGTTTTTTTGTTCCTTCTTCTTCGTTTTCTTTATATACACATATATACAGGCTTTCTTCTCTCTCCGTTCCATCACTATTAGTATTATTGATATTCGAATTTTTTAAGCTTTCACTGGAAACGCAGCTTTGAAATTTTTCAAACGCACAACCTCTACCTGAGGAAGCCCGCGAAACTTTCAAAAGTGACGCGTTCAACCGTTTGTTGAACTTCAATGTGTATCATAGAACGCAATCCCGCTGCACGAAATATTATTGATTCGGCCTTTATTTATACGAACTACACCATCAAGCGATGCACGCAATTTCCATTTGAAATGTTGTTTTCTATTGGAATGAAAACATTTTCTAAATTATTATGATCGTTGTTATCCGCGGATGGGATTTCGAGAAGTTTTATGTAATCGAGATTAGAATATTTACCAAGGAGAGTTATCATCGGGGCAAAGAGAGAAAGGAAGATAGATTGGACACGATTTATGCGCGGGTGAAAGAGAGAGAACCGCGGTGCGGAGAAAAGTTTCAAATCACGTTTTCTCCAATTCCACTTTTACATGAAACTTCTTTAGCTCCTTTTTTCGCCGCTCGGGCGGTTCTAGAATCTCTACAGACAGAGATCATACTACACTTGTTCTTCAATTGCGACAACATACCTTTAACAAATTGGAATATTTGAAATGCTAATCTCCTCGATCCTCGATGCACATCTAATCGGCAAATGGACAGGTAAAACAGTAGAAAAAAATATTTCTGTGTGTATATCACTGGTTCACTTTCCACCACATCGCTCTTTCAATCGTGCCCTATTGTCCATACGGAGGTTTATAATCCACATTTTTTTTTATTTGTCAATGTTCAGTTCACGCGCGTATTCTAGATAACATTCGACGATCAGTCATACACAGCTATGACGACTGAAAGCTGTATGACTCATACCATTGAGTAGTAAACCCGCATTGCGATTCGTTGGATATCATTGGCTCGTAGTGGATGTCTTTGGATACAACGCGCTTGCGTTGTTTGTTACATTCGAAGGTGATGACTAATACCACATTGCATGCACTACAGCGCGAACCAAGAATACTTTACATATACACGTTCCATGTCGATAAATTCGATTCGAAGGATGTCGGAAACTGGGATGCCTTTCTGGGGGCAACCCTCGCCGAGAAGAAAGTAGCAGCTGGGAAGCTCAGTAGCGCAACTCCCCACAACACGCCCAGGTAGAAGACATTCCATCTACCTGGACCACGGCTCATCTGTGTCCTCCCTCTCGTGCTTCATCTATTATCATTCTCTCTCTCTCTTTCCATTCCTCTAGCCTGGTTCCCTTTCTGTACTGTTTTGTTCGACCTTTAGAAACTCTTCATAGTAATTCCAATTAAACGTCCCCGATTCTACCGAAGCTATCGCGGCTCCTTCCATGTACCCCACTTTCCTGTTTATTTCGCAACCGCTGAAATCTTCCATTACATTCTATTTTTAATCAACTTAATGACCGAGATAAATAAAAGATAAGACGATTATTATTATTATTATATTTTTCATATACACATATATATATATATATTATTTATATATTTATGTCTTATATGATAGTCGTGAACTATGAATCATTTGGTGGTGTCGCAAATTCCCCAAGTTCGAAAGAACTGCGTCGCATCTTGGTGACATTTCCAATCCAAAATTCCGTACGCCACTGAGGGGAGCGAGCTTGCATTGCCATACATCTGTTTCCTTTGGATATTTTGAGGACATGAGTCATCGCCGTTGTTCAATAATTATCCCAACAATCTCTCGCAACATGGCGAAGAAAGTTTCGTCGCAGCGCTTGACAACGCGTCCGAATAATTTTACATAAATTTTCCTGTCGTTATCAACTCGTTCAAAACAATAAAAAAAGTAAATATATATATTTGTAAAGAGAGAGAGATGTATGCACATATTATAAAAATAAAGGTATATTTTATTCGGTGATAAGGAATTTTGTAAATGTGGCGCGCTCGTGCCGCGTCGTCGGTAGTCATGTGATCGAGCGGGAAATTTGAAATGAATCGAGACGCCATTGTTTGCACATTCTTTTATTTGCTTCATACATTGTTACAGTGTTTATAAAAATCTATAAATCTTCTGACCCATATATAAAAATATTAATCTCGGATTATTTTCAACAGCAATAAAAATAATATGAGGCAGTTACAATATATCCATAATATACATACATATATGTATCATTCAGTGTTTTGTTGTCATTACCTAATTGATGGGTCGGGCGAGGGGTGTAAAGGCTTTTTTTTATTATTTCAAATTGTATCTCATAAATATTTATATTATCAATATATTCATTTTTTTTAACAAAGTACGTAGCCCTCGTCGATATTTGGACCTCGGCGTCGCTTCCTTTCAGGATAATATTGCTAACAAGACTAGACGAGCTTCAAGGCTACGCGTATAATAGAATATAATATTGTTTCGGTCATCCGTTTCCATCATATACCATTGTATAGTTCTGCGTATTTTTGTTTTTCATATAAATTCTCAATTGCGTTACATATTATAACCATATAATACAATTATATACATTTTCATTTACTTATCACATGAAAATCGATTTACATTTTCAATTACCAATCTTGTTTTGTGCATACATATAATAATATTTAAAAATTAAAGCCACTAAATAAACATATTTCTTCTTTTTGGTATAATATAACTAAAGGGAACATAATGATTTTCTCGCCATTGACGCAACAATAGTGAAAGTTTACATATAAATAATATAAATAGCGGTTGTGAATTAGTTTATATATATATATGATTTTGTTTATATATGAAATTAACGCTTGGATGGTGGTAATAGGTGAGGTGGTAAATCGGACGGCAATTCATTACCATCAATTTTAACCTTAATTAAATGCATGGCAAGGGCAAACTCCTCGGAGTCGAGCATGCCGTCCTTGTCCACGTCAGCGAGTTTCCAAATCTTGCTCAAAACGGAATTGGGGAGCTTCGACTTCACCATGTGCGATTTGGCAGCTGAAATTTTATTACATCAATAAATAAGTCAATAAGATAATTGTGAGCCGCGATAATATATAAGTATTGCGATATCGATGATTGTAGTGATTATATAATTACCTGAGCCGGTGACTTTTCCGTCGCTTGGACCCAACTTGGTAAAGATTTCATCGTATTCGTCGTTCTTATGTTTGGAAACGATCCACTCGGGTTCACCGAATCCGGCGTCGATGCCTTCGCCTCTCTTGTAACCAAACGGTGACACCGTGTCCTCGACGTTCTCAAAAGCCCCGCCCCTGATTTCAGGTTCCTTGCTATTCATATCCTCCTGCGGGATCTTCGCCATAAGGATGGCTATGTCTTCAGCCAGCATCCTGTCAACCACCTCCAACAACTTAGGCTTTATCGGGTGGAACTTGGTGAAGTCCAAGTTGACCAACACCTCTTGCATCGTTTTGATTTCCGGGAAATCTCCAGGAGAAATCTTGTGCTCCTTTTGGAGCTTCTCGTACGTCTGGCCTAGATTCTTAATGAGCTCCTTCTTCTTCCCTTCCTTGCCAATCAGAGACGGCATTTCCTTTTTCAATTCAGCAATGATGTATGCGTGAACTTTAGCTAATCTAGCGCGCTTAATCAAATCGTTAAGTTTGCGTAGGGCGGCGTTTCTCGGTAGCGATTGCAAGTCCTTGAAGAGATCCTGCTCTTCATCCTCAAATAACTTCCTGTTCACATCGTATCTCAAAGGCTGGTCCCAGAACGAGCCGATGTAAACGCGCGCTACCTCGGGGGTTTGCAATACCTTCCCCAAAGACCACATGAGCGCTCCATAGACTCGCATCAGTTGCTGATGATCAATCATATCAGCCTTATTCAATACGATCCTTATCTTGTCGTCATGACCCCTGAGTGCTTCTATAGAACGCCTAAATTCATCAGAAATATCCAATTTGTGGGCGTCGAATAATAAAATGATTCTGTCCACTCTTTCAGCAAACCATTGTAAAACTCCTGTGAAATCATAGCCTCTGTCCACCCTCTGTTTTTCACCAGACAGGATACCAGGAGTATCAACAATGGAAATATTTTCTAGCACAGCAGATTTTACAAGGGAACATTGTAATCTATTCAGGAATGCATTGCCAAATTTAGATAGGGGCCTAAATTGCTTTTTTGGATCAACAACTAGAGCATTTCCAGGAATCTGACCATCTTTCTCATCGTACATAACAGCAATGAACCTATCAGTTGTAGGTTCTGGCCCAATACGAATTCCAGGGAAATCCCTTTCTAGGAGATATTTAATAAAAGTGGTTTTACCAGTTGAGTATTGACCAACAAGCAGAATCATGGGTTTGGCATCGAAGTCAGAGTCTTCCAATTGGGGTGAGTGAAAGTCATGGAATTGATAGTGCTGCTCAAGGGGGAGCAGCTTGTTTCTGTAGATGTTCTTCAGACCTTGCACCACACTCTCATACACCTCCTGTTTATCATTGTCTCTACTTAGCCAGCTGAACATCTTGACTAGGTATTTCTTAACATAAAACACCAATAGGTACTGTTGCACTGATACTGTGCAGAAACCAACTGAAGCACTGATACCAAGAGTTTGAAAACCGGAGGGTATTAGCTGCCGTTCCCACTTACAGTACGATTTTTAATGATGGGTGTATACTACTGCTATCAGACCTATCCTACAGAATTTACTGTATGCAATCTGAACACGTAATGTCTCTAGCACTGATCCACATAAAGTGAATTCCCCCACATAGTGCAATTCATCATCCTTACATATAGATTACCAAATATACACATAAACTAGCGCGAAGTTTGAAAATCCAATTGGAAAGTCCACTAAACTGGAAATACGTCCAAAGTTCAAGGTATCAGACAGAACATTCGTGGTATTACAATAAAGAAATGTTTTTTGCTCATTTGCTATTCATTTATTACTTCTAATAAATATTATATTACATATATAATATTCCATCTTTTAGTTTTGAATGTCTAAAAATAACAACAATTATAAAATAGACACGAAAATTATATATGACTTCTGTGAATTGAATTGACGCAAGTACTATGACGAGAAAAGTAAATACTATAACTATTGTCAAAAGTTAATCGTTCTAATCTTGGTTGTTCTTCTATAGCATTTTGCTGAGTAAAACCGTTAGGTTCAATATCACATTAAGAACATGAAAGAGGTATATTTAAAGGAACATATTCGCATAAAATATATGGGTGTTCTTTTCTGTTTAAAATCAGATTAGTATAGTTTGGTGTAAAAAAAATGGTGTCATTGTATTGCTTTGTAGTGGAAGGTATGAGTGAATGATTTCAAAAACTTATCCTTCACCGGGGTCAGGGATTTCATGATCGCCGACTAGGTACAGAAACTGGAATGCAATTGCTAGCAAAGATATGCCTAGCAAATCGCCCATGGATGTTAAATAGGGAATTGCCGAGTTGTCCGGATCAATTTTGCGTTTCCACATCCAGTGAATCATTATATAGGCTACATACAAAAGCGTGGCTACTTGCATGGTAGCTGCACACAAATACACGATTACGAATAAAGAACTCAGTTGTGTATCTCCTGATTTCATATAATCGATGGTGTAGATGAAAATCAGGTGACCGGGCAAGACCATAGCCATCAGGACACGCGTTGTCCTGGCATGCGTACCTTTGCCCCAGAAAGCGGCTACCGGTGATATGAATATGACTGTATCTTCGTCCTCATTTCCAACTGCCGATAATACACCTAATACTGATTGCTTGTGCAGAGCTGTCGAAATCCTGCTAGCCTGGACAGCTACTAAATTACCGCCGACACCGTTGATCACTGGTTGAAAAACGGCGATGCCCTCAAATCTGGATACCATGAAATCTAAAATTAATCCTCCCATGGAGCTGATAAGCATGGCTCCGACAACAGGTGTCCAACCATTGTACAAAACGTCCCGCGTCTGCAGATTCCTCTTAGCTATCCATATCCACAAGGGGATAGCTAGAATGTACGCGGCTATGATGAGAGGGGCAAGCCAATCGTGCGTACCTTGAATAGACAAAAAAGATGCGAAAACACATTAATTAGCAATTTTAATTGAATTATAAAATGCAGCGTCACCAACCGATGGACTTGTATAACAGCGTGGCAACCCACGACAGCAAAGCCAAGGACGTGATATCGCCGAGGCTAGCTGCAATCGGGGTGGCTACGTTGTCTGGATTGATGTGGCACAGTCTTGATAGAACGATTACACCAGCCGTGATTAGGCCAAGTACTAAGCTTGCAATGGAGACGGTCACCAGGCTGCTGGCACATAGAAGATATGCATGATCCAATTCCACGTCGTTGCTTTTGATTGCGCCCATGACCACAGCCACGACGGATCCTAGGAATCCTACCACAATAGCCTGGCACTAGAAGAAAATATACAATCAAAACATGCAAAGAAAAATGTTTAGAATTACGGTTGGGTACATATCGGTTTAATTTCTTTTTTCACCAGTAAGTACCTGAATGAGCGTTAGGTTTCCGATAATCATACTCAGCTGCTGCTTCGGAGTATCCATATGGCCCAGGTTCGCTTGGGTGGATAGGCGGGATGCGAGGGTCATCTCCAGGTTCCCTTTTAAGCCCAACAGGGCGGGGATTAGGATCACCAATTCGGTGACTTTCTCGAATACGGGCCAATGCTGAAACCGTGGGAACGTAGCATTATACTCCCTTAATCGTGTACTTAAAACAGGTTTTTAAAGCGGCGACGGCAAAAAAAGAACAAAATGCATTATGTATGCGTGTGCGAGAGTGTGAGAGAGCATGGGTGTGTGTGCATTTATAGGTAGTAGGGTGAACGTTAAAGGTCGGCGTTAAAGCGGATGCGGTTAACGGAAATGTGGTTTTACCTGTATCCTATCTAGAACCAATCCAGCAAATACCATGCCGAAACCGGCGATGAGGAATGGAATGAACACCTGGATTGCTATCGAGAAGTAGGTCTCCTGGATCTGTTCTGGAACATCGTCGCCGGGTAGTTTTGCCTCGACGACAACGTCCGGTAATCTTCCATTGTCGTTGTCGTTGGTTTCCGACGTCGGGCTGACTAAAGTTAATTCCATATCGCTGACTATACAAGCGTCGGAAGGACTAGGATCCTCGTGGGCCTTTGCAGTGGAATTAATGAGGTTGTGGCTCTCCATGGCGTTAGGTCCATAGTTTTCCTTGCTGAAAAATTAGAAACGTTTTAACTATTTCACTATTCAATCCATACATTCACAAAAAAAGGAAATAAATTATTAAAAAAAATATTATTAATGAGAAAGGCTCATGTTAAAAAAAATATAATGAGAATATTTTAGATTCGCACCGTTAATAGTAGTTTAGAAAATAATTAGTTACCATAATTCCATAGCACAATTAAGCGGGGTTTGTTGGCCGCGCTTTGATTAATTACAACTAATTACAATGCATGGAGTAATTGTGCAGAAGAGGAGATCCACAGACTAGGAATGGTGTATATTTCTGTGGGCAGCACGTGTTTGACTAAAATGTATAAAAATAATTACATACCAGACTTGTTGGATATAATCCCGTTTGTTGGATTCAATTTAGTTCTTTTCAACGGGGATCGGCTTTACTGTTCTATAACTATTTTCGGCTTCTTTCCGATCCCGCGTCCGGTTAATGCTTCTATTTTACTTAAATTATCTTCACTTTTTTTTTTCAACGAAACGTGAATAATCTTAGGTTCAATTTTTCTTTTGCTTTTGTGTAGGCTGAAGAGCCTGCAGGACGTACTCGTGGCTACATCATGTGCACAACTAAAATGCTTGTATCGATCGCACGCTCTGCGTTCGTCGCGACGCTCGGCGTGACGACGGGGCATGCGTTTATAAATTTGGCGGCAAAATGACCGCAACAATCTTACATCATCATAGTTTAGTTATCGCTTAGTTTCTTATTGAAGATAATCGCGAATTTCCTGTGCTCCACTAAAAAGTAAGTCAGCTACTGACCAATATATCAAATTCAGCAGAACGGAAATATCGCAGCTCATTACGAAACGCGATCTTTCTCGTTACCACTCTTATATAAACATATATATATATACACACACATTTTATCTGAATATGAATAAACTTCTTCGATTACAATGTTATAATTATAATTGCTTTGGTGTATACTCACTGCAGCGCGGTCATCTGCAGACCTTTTTGTTTTTCACGGTTGGGCTGAAGATTCCGTCTCCCTTAAACTTCATAATTCACGTTAGAAAACATTTAAAAACTTTGGTGGAGGCGGCGAAGGAACGAAGATGGCGGAGGTGGCGCAGGCGATCGCCGGACCCGTTCGGAGCGATGGAACTACCAGTGTACCGACAGACGGGAAGACAAAGCCGAAATCTTCGAAGCACTTGCTTCGTACTTAAGATACCAGAGGGATGATCGGATCGTATGGTCGATGGGTGCTTTAGATGCCTTCGTGCTGCTCGAATTTTTGGTGTTTCTATTCGGCCGTCCTACTCCAAACTGCTATGAGCAATTGACCAGCAATAGCCACAACTTATTACAGTCTATTATGTTATTACGCCCTCATAGCGTCGTTTGAATGCGTGAAAATGGTCCATCCCGAGGACTCGCCGCTCTTACACCTGCCTGTTGGCCAGTTACATAACCAGGGGGACCCTTAATGCGGTCCCACGCGCGCGTCTCATCTAATTAGGGAAGTGGCACACAATGCACATTCGTCCCCCAATCTTAATCAACCTCCTGGTTGCTCTTTCTATCCGCACATCCGACCTAAAGTCCATTACTTTGGCACAGAAATCCTTTGAGCCGGAGAAAAGATAACAACAAAAAAAACGTTCATTTGCAATTATAATAGCAAATTCGTATGTCATGTACGAATAAATTATCAAATTTACATTCTCAAGGTTACAGTTTTCTGCATGAGTATTGTATTTAAGTTTTGTTGCTTTCTTATTATTACTTAAACGTTAATTTTCGCCGCGACGAACTGTAACAAACGGTCGTTACCTTGGGAGAGCAGAGAAGTAATAATAACAACAACAACAACAAAAAACGAAACGTAACTCGTCAATCTTGAACAATCTAAAAAGGAGAAAAGCGACATGAGCGAGAGGTTTTGTCCAAAACAATTGTAAGTGGTCGCTTAGCAACAAGGAACCATCGAAGAAGTGAACATCAACATCGACTAGGATTGCTGTAGGCTATTATTTAACTGTACCTACAGGCTCGGATGGATGGCGTGGGAGGCTTGAGGATCTCGGCATCCGCGAATTTAAAGCACTAATTACTTATTAACTTCTGTTAAAATTAGATTACCGCAGAAGAAAGGAAATCCTGTCCATAATTTCGTATTAAATATTCCGAAGATTAACGTAGATTGACTTTCATCAAAACCGTAATTATATACAATATACCATGTTTTCTTTTATATAATATCTAAATGAAAACATATTTTTTTGACAGCTGTTACTAATATATTTTAATAATTTTCCAGATCTTTAAAAAAACTAATAATATCATCTTCTAATAGTATTTAATTATTTGTATTTTATTTTGTAATTCTGAGCATTTAGGTTGTCGTAGGTCCTAGGCATCTCTGTTCATTAAAACTTAGCAAGAAAAATATGTATCCTTGTAACCTAATTCCAATATTTTGTGAGCCTTAGGCTTGTGTCTAATGAATAAGACGACCCTGTTAGGATCAATAAACAAGGCACAGTTTTACTTTTTTTCATTTAATCTGAATCGGAGGTTTATAATGAAAATAGACATGTATATATAGAAATCGGCAATTATTTCATTCTATTAATATCGACAGAGAGGCTTCGGATTCCAGTAATCGTTATATAACATTTCCAGACATGCAAGATTCATAACGAATCTTTGAATGAAAAAATTGCAGCATTATACCATTAAGAGATGATGTTTGTTTTTTTTATTCTCAGAACTGGTTGTCACAATATTTCCGTAATTTATAAACAAAACATGAAATAAAGACACGTTGTTCACATAATAATTGTAATTTATATTCACCTAACAATTTTAAATTGAAAAATAACATCTTTTATACGAAAATTATACTTAGATATAATAATTGCTTTATTTTATAATGTTAATGTTATTGCTGTGAATATATTTAATACTATAGTCTATCTTTTGAATCTTTATTCCAAGATTCTGAAAGCAACAAGATACATTTTCAAGGAGAGAAGTAAAAAGAATGTCCATTAAGAAATATCTATAATACGAGTAGTCATAGCAGTCTAGTGGTTGCGGCTCTTGTGCTAATAAAATTTGTGTAAACTAAAATTGATCAATGTCCAAAAGTAATACATGAAAAATCTATAAATAAAGTAAAATACTCTTATTTTCATGAGAATTCTAAAAAAATTAACAATTGTTTGAAGGTTTATTTAAATAAAAATAACTGGAAGGAATGTGTCCACATTCCATAAATTTGTAAACACCATTATGCATAATATAAGTGCAGCTACTTTTTTTACGATCTATTCAATTTGAACTTTAAGAAAATTTGTTTACTATTTATGGTTAATGGAATTTTCCGACTTCAAATCCACTTGGATATGACCTTAAATAAACATTTAAAATGCTGTCCATGAATGTAGAGGAGAGAAAACTGATAGAATCGTAGTGCTATGTAATTCTTACCCATTAAAACCTTTTCCTTTCTTCATTAACCTCCAATGTCTAATTAAAAAGACAAAGCAGTTATAATTTTTGAAAAAGCTCTAACGTAGATTCTCAAATATTTTTCTACTACAAATCAAGTTGGATAATCCACTGTAATTATATCGATCCTATTCAAAATTACATATACTCTCTAACGTCTTACAAGATATACTTATAAACAAAGGTGATGAATGATTCAAGCCGTACTATAGTGAATCCGAACTGATCGAAACCGCACTTTACAATGTTATTATAAGAATATTATATAGATAACAGTACTCTAACAAACTATTCAAACAAACGTAAGTGTTAGGAAAAATTATTATAAAATATTTTAATATATCTTACGCAATCAAGAAATGCAACAAGAGTTACGTAATTTTCGTGTAATTACGATAACAGCACGAAGATGCTAATAGTTTCGTTGTCGATTAATTTAAAAAACGTGAAGGTATTGCAGCAAATTGAAAAAAAATAGGTAAATAAATTTATATTGAAATATATTATAAAATTTAAATTTACTGTTTTAAAGAATCATTATTTCGCTTTCGTTTGCTATAAAAAACGTTAGTTTTGGTCAATTAATAAGAAAGTTATTAAGATTTAATAAGTAAGCGATTTTTGCAAATCAAAACCCCTCCCCATAGATTCTCGAAAATGCCAGAAAATTTCAATTTGCACTAGGAGACCATGAGTAGCGAGGAGGTATCTGAGCTCTTAGCAACGGTCATTCCTGATTGGTTGAAATTTGAGAATTTGAACGAACAGCTAAATTTGAAGGCATTTTTTGGATTTCCTGTTTATTCTACTTTGTTCTGAATGCTTCCTTTTTCTATTTCCTTGTATGGAAAACCTTTCTCTGAACTTCACATTTCACTTCGGGCAATTACTAGTGGAACATGTCAACAACCATTGATTACTAAAGTTCTTTGTCTTCAGAAAACAACAGAAACTGCAGCTAATTACGGACAATTCTTAAAATATTTTTACAAGAAATAAGTAGTCAACAATCATCAGTACAATTGTTATTATCTCTAATGTATAGTTAATGACCGTAAGTTCCCCAGAAAGTGGAAAGCATTCTTTACTAGCAGTTTTCATTTGCAAATAGTGAAAACCTTAGCTGCTGAATGTGACCAAAAATATTACTTCATTAAGGAGATGGATAATAACTATAAACGCTGTAGTACCAATGATTCTATTATTGCTTCTAAGGATCATATATCCTTAGAGACTGGATAACATTTTTTAATGCTAGATGCATTGAAAATACTGGATAAACAAAAATGTTAATTTTCATCAAGTTTGATAATTAATTGTGACAAAGCTATGGTAGCTACAAACATGTATTTGCACTCATTTTAAGCTCTCTATATTTAAGATCAACATTAATGTCCAAAACTCTTCGGAGAGTTGGTGTATACGAAAATACAGACAATTTTCGAAAACGTTCTTTTCCAAACTTTCTATTACCAAAGTTTGATAATTAATTATGAAGACTCCATTGCAGCTACAAACTAATATTTAGGCTAATTTTAATCTGTGTATATTCAAGATCAACATCCATATATAACATTCTTCTGGGAGCTCATATTTACGAAAATACAGGCCATTATCTAAGACTTTGTGTTCATACTTGTTCATCAAAGTTTATATGTATGTTTGGTTGCAGACTGTTTCATGAATATTCCTAAAGATGTCTCTGTTTGTGTAAATTAAAACGCATAAAACTCGAAAAGTAATTAGCATTTAAATTATTATACTGAAGTAATAACATAAGATTCATTCAAGCACTACTGTGATATGTTTGTTTATTTAAATTAGAACGTTTTAAAGGAAGTGGATTTTGTGCAGCGCCAAAATGCCTGAACTACAACCTTTGAAATATTGCTAACAGATGGCGCCAGCTGTTACGAAAAAATGGAAAATATATATTGCGCCCAACGTGCAGGCAACCGAACATACATATACACTTTTATGAAAAAATAGGAAAACAACGTCTTATATAATGGCTTGTATTTTTGTAAGCTCCCAGAAGAATGTTATATATGGATGTTGATCTTGAATATACACAAATTAAAATTATCATAAATATTAGTTTGTAACTGCAATGGTGTCTTCATAATTGATTAACAAACTTTGGTATATAACAAATGAGTTGGGAAAATTGCGTCTTCGAAAATGGCCTGTATTTTCGTAAACATGAGCTCCCAGAAGAATGTTATATATGGATGTTGATCTTGAATATACACAGATTAAAATTAACGTACATATTAGTTTGTAGCTGCAATGGTATCTTCATAATTGATTAACAAACTTAGGTAAACAGTTTGGAAAAGAACGTTTTCGAAAACAGCCTGTATTTTCGTATACTCGAACTCTCAGAAGAGTTTTGGACATAAATGTTGATCTTGAATATATAGAGATTAAAATGAGTGTAAATACAGGTTTATAGCTACCATAGCTTCGTCACAATTATTTATCAAACTTTGGTCTTAGATAGTTTGGAAAACATATACATACATATACCCATTCTTCAGAGGGTCGCAGAAACTTTTTATGTGCAAAAAAGTTTGAGAATCACTGTTTTAGAGTCCTAGTTTTGCTGGCTACGAATTTCAAAGTTTTCTATATGAGCATTCTAAACTAATTAAAGAAATTCACGTCATACAAATGTATTGTTTATTGCAAGAGTAAATCTTATATCAAAAGTTTGTACAATTAATGTATGTTATTTTATTTGAAATAACTAGTAAAGTCAATGTTTGTTTGTACAATTCCATTGGGAAGGTAATCTTAGGTGGACAAATAAAGTGTTTTTTTTTAAGAAGATTCACATATTTATTAATAAGTTACAACAGATTAAATTGTTGTTCAGCATGTACATTTAACAGTTACTTTGTATTTGTTTCTCACTATACATAAATACTTATATGAAATATAATTTTGTATAAAATATAGCACCTTAAAAATATATATATCGTTTACAAATATAATTAACATATAAACCTCTTTTGAAGAAAATTTATGAATAATTTGATGCTAGTATCAACAGTATTTATTCTTTGGTAATTTTAAACAAACTAAATTACAATCACATTTATGGCCCCCAGCAAAACGTCGCTAGCAGGTATCAGGTTTAGTCGCCGACGTCGCTGTCTCTGTCGCCGATCAGGAAGAGTATTTGGAATGCAATACCCAAAAGTAGAGTACCTAGGAGATCACCGAATGCAGTCAGGTATGGTATGGCCGAATTGTCCGGATCGGTACCCATCTCCCACATCCAGACTATGATCACTTGGGCAATGTAGAGCAATAAGAATACTTGGACAAGAGCAGCTGCTAGATAGACAAGCATGAAGATCGGTGTGAAAGATGTGTGTCCTGCTTGTAGGTAGCTTATTGTGTAGGAAAATATTAAATGACCAGGCACAACCATTAGCATCAGCATTCTAGCAGTATCCGCATGAGGGGTCACTGATGTATCACAAAAAGCTGTGCATGGTGTCAGGCACACTCGCATACCATGCGGAAGCCTTCCCAGCGTTGATTTCGAATGCAGCTCGGTGGATATACGACTGGCCTGTACTGCGGCCAAATTCCCTCCAATACCGTTTATTACCAATTGGAAAACAGCCACGCCTTTGTACTGAGATACTGTGAAATCTAAAATTAACCCTCCAATGCTGCTTATAAGCATGGCAATAATAACAGGTGACCAGCCAGAGTCTAGTACTTCCCTGCTATATTCGTTCTTCGAAGCCATCCATCCCCATAGTGGCACAAACAAAATTGCTACGACTATTATGACTATTGATAGCCATGGCATAGTGTCCATACCTTTGTACATGAGAGAAGCAAAATAGGAAAGCAGAGCTAGAGTAGTTAAATCTCCCAAGCTTGCAGCAATTGGAGTCGCCACGTTGTCTGGGTTTATGTTGAAATGCCTGGAGAGTAGTATGACACCAACCATCACTAATCCTAATATAAAACTGGCCATAAATGCTGTCGCCACACTACTTGCACATAGCAACATTGCATGCTGGATATTAAACTTGCCGCTAGGCACCCATCCAAAAACCATTGCAGCTATGGATGCCAAAAAACCAACAACAATTGCCTGGCATTGAATCAACGACAAATTGCCTAGGATTAAGCTCCATTGTTGACTCCTTGTATCTAAATGGCCCAAGTTGGCATGGGTAGAGAGCCTCGAAGCTAATGTCATCTCCAAGTTGCCTTTCAATCCTAGTAGTGCAGGTACAAGTATATATACCTCAGATACATTTTTGTATACTGGCCAATGTTGCACTATATCCAACAGCAAACTAGCAGCAACCATTCCAAATCCAGCCAACAGGAATGGTATAAACATTTGAACTGACGTAGCCCATATGGATTCTTTATTGATAAACGCCACTCTAGGTTGTTCCTCAGCTTCTTCTGTTGACAATAAGAGGCTTCGATCATTGTCCTCAACAATTTCATCCTACAAGTTGTTAAAAAATAGTAAAACTGTGCATTATAAGTTAGAATCCAATTGGACTTACACTATTTTCACTTCCAGTCATATTTTTTGATTTTAGTTGATCAAAATTTCGCTTGCGTGTTTTACCTTCTGTAGAATTGTCCAAAGACAACATAGACATTGTTTGTGCACCTATGAAAAATGATTCAATTAACTGATGACATTGAAATACTAGATGTAAACAATTGAAAAACGATCCAAACCTTGGTCCCATATTATTCGTATTAATATTATCACAGTATCAAATTATAGTTAAACCGTAAGAGATAAGTAGATATTGTTCATATGGGAGGATTAAATATATTTTGCACACGTATTATACTCTAACTATACCCGTCTGGAGTGGATCAGAGAAAATTTTTCGTTAAGGTTAGACAACCGGGATGAGTGCAAATTATTGCAGTTTCCCACTTATCAGGCAACCAAACGTACATAATTCAAATATTGATTTTTTAAATAATTAATGAAATTAAGATAAACTAATAATTACAATATCTATTAACGCAGTTTTACTCACTTGATTTTTTATGATGCTTCATGGCGACGAGTAATTTAATTATGGCTCTGTAATGCGATGTTTGTATATAGCCCTGCAAACGAACTGAAATAGAATCTAAAAATAAGGTGGGCTTTTTATCACACACGTATCCAAAATGACCGGCGAGACGAAGTTTCAGTCGCAATGCGAAAAACTTGTGATCAAATTGCAAGATGAAGGCAGAAAAAAATTTGAAAAAGTTTCGGATGATCTGCAGAGGATCATATTCATTTACGAGCTGGCCAAGGAGACGCCAATCGAGTTGGCCAACTGGGCACCGAAGGACTTCCAAAGATCTCTAAGCCTGAAGCTCAATGGAAATAAGTTGTTTCAGACCCGCAATCTTTTCCATGCTATTAATGTTTATAATGAAGCTCTGCTGCGGTGCCCCCAAGATTGTAGTAAGTATTCTACGCAAATGTTTCACAAAACTCATTAAACTTTCATTTACCATTTTACAAATTATTCTATTTCACCGAAAGACCGTCTATTGAAATCCCGACTGTACCGAAATCCCGACATTTGAAATCATGACTGTATTAAAGTCCCGACGCTTGAAATCCCGACAATCAAACTCCCGATTATATCAAAATCCCGACTACCATAAATATGTTATTGTAGAAATTTATAATAATAAAAGACACTGTCGGGATTTCGACTTTGATTGTCGGGATTTTGACATAGTCGGGATTTTGAGCCAGCCGGGATTTCGAACGTCGGGATTTCGATACACTCGGGATTTCGAACGTCGGGATTTCGATAGACGGGATTTCGGTTGTCTTTAATTTACATCCTAAACGATTATTAAGTTTCGTGCTTGATATTATGTAACGTTATATTGAAAAACTCTTTATAATGTTGACATATATTGTTTATATACAAAGTTTGGAAAATTTGTATACTGTAATCATATTAGAAATGTATCACAATTTTAATAGCAAACTATTTGTGATTTATTTTGTTATGTCGATATGTAAAAATTAATGCGTTCCGTTTTTAGTTGAAGCACAAGAATTGCATGATATATTGATTGCAAATAGAAGCGCTGTGTTTTTTGAATTGAAAGAATACGAGAAAGTCCTGAAGGATGTTGAATTGGTGAAGGCGTATAACCATCATCCAGCGATTTACAAATTGCTGATACGCGCAGGAAAATCTTGCGAAGCGTTAAAGAAGAGTTCGAGTGCTCTTGATTACTACACAGAGGCTAAAGCGGCATTAACCTCTGGCCAGTTCGATGAGGATGAGGTGAGGAAGCAGCTCGTCGAGGTAACAAACAACATTAATTTGTTGAAAGGTAAGAAACTCGTCGACGTTGCTTGCGCATCTAAAGATGCGGAAATGGATATAGAATATAGGAACATGGGCTATCCAGCATTGAGCTCCAAAGTTTGCGTGAAAAGCTCACCGGAATTGGGCCGCTTTATCGTAGCCAAGGATGACATTAAAGCCGGAGAGATCGTAGCGGTCGAGGAACCCTTCGTCTCCGTCGTTAATGGGAGTACGTATAGGATGAACTGCGCCTATTGCTTGATCTCTACGAACCAACCTGTCGCCTGCGAACTATGCTCTCAAGTATGCTTCTGCTCATTGGCTTGCAAGCAATCTGCCAGCTTCCATAAGGTCGAGTGTAAAATGCTTCTGACCCTCTACGATATTGAAGCATCGGTGAACTGTCTAATGGCGCTCCGAATGATAACCAAGAAAGATTTGGATGCACACCTGAAAGAGGCTAAGGAACTGAAGAAGGAAAGGAACGTCGTAATTTACAAGACGACGGACTATTACAACGTGACTCAGTTAGTTTCGCACTGGGAAACTAGGAGCTTTGAAGACTTTCTTCATTATAGCTTAATTTCGACATTCTTGTTGCGCTTGTTGAAAATGAGTGGGTACTTCGGGGAGACGGATGATGCTTCTCTCACCGAGGATGAAGCTTATATAGGTAGCTTAATTCTGAAAAATCTTCAGATTCTACAGTTTAACGCTCACGAGATTTCCGAGCTGAACAACGACGTGGACGGTGACTACAAAACCGAGTCTGTCGGAGCTGGACTTTATCCCACTTTGGCACTCTTTAATCACTCGTGCAATCCATCGGTGATAAGGTAAAGTACTGGTTCTAATAAGCTGCTTATTAAAGTATTAAATTAATCATATTTGGCAGAATATACAACTAAATATATTTGTGTTAATTTTGGTACTAATTTTATAGAATCTTTGCTGATTTTTCTATTATTAATGCGTATTCAATAATTTTTATTTTCTATAGATAACATTTTTTGAAAATCAACAATTCTTAAGTAATTTTGTTAATTCGAACACAGTTATCTAATCGCTTCTTATAATCAATTCCATGCTGTAATTTATTACTTTAATTGTCTTGAATTCCAAGATTTCAAAAACTTTCAAACTTTTTAAGCAAGTATATCTCTTTTGATCTTTTGAAATGGAAGGCGAATTCCTATTTAAAACTCAATAATTGTCTCTGAAGAACTTTCCACTTGATTATTTCATTCCTAATGAATCGCATTGATTGCAGATATAACATTGGAAATGTTATGGTTTTAAGGGCAATAAAACCTATTAAGCGCAAAGAAGGAGTTTTTGAGAATTATGGGCTTTTGTTCACAAACAGTGTGCGCGATGCACGCATCGCAACACTGAGGTCCACCTATAGATTCGACTGCTACTGCCAAGCCTGCACCGAGAATTGGCCATTATTCCAGGACATCAGTAAAACTGAGTTAAAAATCGCCTGCGACTGCGGCAGTTCTTTGATTGCTGACAGCGAAATTGATGTATTTATGATCTCGTGCAAGAATTGTAAAAAAGAAAAAAATATCATCCCAACGTTGACGGCATTGATTGTAAGTTAAGTAAACCTGATTAAGAGGCCGCAGAGTAATTTCAATTAATTTCAGCCACTTGCGGAGAAATCAAATGAAGTGGAAGAGTTGTACGCCCAGCGGAAGTACGGGGATTGCGGGAAGCTTATCAGCGAGTTGCTGGATGTTTACACAAAGACACTTCTACCACCAATCAGCGATATGATAATTCTCCAGCATAGATTAAAAACGTGCCTGATATATCAAGGCAATAAGCATTTCAATTTTAAGTAGATTGACACTTATGCAACACTCATTCCATCCAACCAATAAGTTATGCATATGATAACTTCCTGTTGCTTATATATTTAAATAAAGTTTAAATAAACTTGTTAAAAAATGTAATTTTTTTTTATTTCCTCTACATCCCACGATATTATTCAAGTTCTTTGAAATAATGCAATATTATTTTTTCTAAAGTCAATTTAATACAAATAAATTATTGTAACAATAAAATTACAAAATAAAAACACAATACAAAAATAAATAATCTACTGCAAAGGGTTATTGACCATAGGTAATTTAATAAGTTTATTGAGAAAATTGAAAAGATTTATTAAGTATAATAAACAAAATATTTGGTTTTCTCATCCAATTTATAAATTTGCTATCAAAGTTCTATCAGGTAACAACACCTGGAATTGCGATATATGATAGACAATAATATATATATATATATATATCCAAACACCTGGCCATCTTATCGCTCGTTTATTATCACACAATGATGATTTTGAGTAATCAGATTTTAAATCGACTAGAAGTTAATCAGTTTCCATCGTCCAACGAGCGAGCATCACAAGATGAGAACTGGATTAATTTTCTTACTTCTTTCGTTTTTCCTGGCAAGTGAGTAATTCTATTTAAAGTTATTTCCACGCCGGATAAATTTCGCTCACGCAATGGAACGTAATGGAATATAATTCGGGTCGTCAATATTATTTTTTTGTTCGTCTGTTCGTTCCGTCGGCAGGTGTTTCAATCAATCTGATCATATCAGATGATAAGCAGTGATTAACACAATGTGTTATAGGTGGAGTAAATTCACGCGTCTTCGAATGCGACGATGAAGGGAAATGCCCGGCCGGAAAATGTGTGTCGGGAATCTGCAATTGTCCTGCCGGCGAGGACTTCAGCAAGGACTCTCTGAGCTGCCTACCTCGTAAGTATGCACGCGTTCTAAATGGGTTGCTTTGAACAATAGATATTTTTAGTGGCCAGAGGATATGGAGATCAGTGTGAGGAGGACATCGTATGCAGCACTTTGAAAGGTATTTCGGTATGCTACGAAGGCACGTGCAAATGTGCCGAAGGATGGGTTTACTGGAAAGGCGAGTGCATGAAGAAGAAGGATTTTGGAGAGACATGTAGCAATAACGAGGAATGCTTCGATGGATCTTATTATAATGCCAGAATTTGCAAGGACGGCAAGTGCGAGTGCAACAAAGGGTTCTACAAACGCGGCAACGATGATTGCAGGCATATTTCCTCTGGTAGTCGAACGCCCTTAGTCCGTTCCAAACCTTTGATTTTGTTAACACTTTGTTCCTATATATAGAGTTCGACAACCTCTGCGTTCTCGATTCCGATTGTAAAGAAGAATCTCTTAGATGCATAGTCGGAATTTGTAGCAAACCCGTTGAAGAGAAACCCGAAGGACCGAAGGACTACTATCATGTCCATGACCAGGAACGAAGCGTAGTTGAACCAAGAAGTAATTACAAGAATTAATTAACTTTATTTTTTAATTTATATTCACGTTTATTGTCTTTTTTAGCTACTGGGGATAAATGTAATGTAGACGTTGATTGTGTGGAACCCAATACCCATTGTTCACCGATTTTTAAAGAGTGCACCTGCGATAAAGGATATTTCTATACAAAAGAATCGAAAAAGTGCGCTGGAGGTGATGTTTGTATTTGTTAGAAGGATTAGCGTAAACTGAAGTTTAATGTTTCAGAATTGGGAAGTAGTTGCGAAAAAGACAAAGATTGTGTGATCAATAATAGCCAGTGTTCAGGGAAAGTCTGCGTTTGCAAAACAACAAACTTCCTCTACTTACAGACTCATGGTAATCAGAAGTGTTCAAAACGTAAGTAATACAAAAAATATAGTCCAAATTGCCAAACAAAATTGAAATAAATCATTAATATAACAAGAGGCTGATTTTAATCCATAGTTTACTGAAACTAGAAGGCAACAGTTAACTGTTATTATTACGATGGATAATCAGTATTTTGCTTTTGTAGCCTCCACTGCCAGTAAATTTACATGCTCAAACAATGAAAGCTGCAAAGTATTTTTAAGGGATTACGAGTGTTTGGGCGACATTGAAAAGGTATGTCACTGCAAAGGTGAGCTAAACAAGGACAATATTTGTGAAAAGGGTATGTATATAAAAGTTATGCACACAGTTTTCATTTTCCTATATTTTTTTTCCTAGTAATGCCAGGTACGACTTGTATTAATGATGAATCATGTCAATACTCAATGAAAAATTCTGTTTGCTCTCCAAACAAGATATGCGTTTGTCCAAAAGACTTCGTTTTCGACAATGATATGTGCATCGGAGGTAAGGATGTTATGATATTTTATACAGTATTCTTATTTTTTTTTTTAATTTTAGGTATTGGGTCTACCTGCAATATGAATGATGATTGCCGATTGGTAGATAGTGCTTTATGCAAGGAAAATGTCTGCGTTTGTGACAAAGGATATATTGACCATGAAAATATGTGCTACAAGTGTAAGTTTCCCAAAGCTCATAGGATTTTCAGTTATTATTTGTGTTTTAAACTTCTAGTGTCTAATGGTCTTGGTGAGGTGTGTGAGATCGATGTCCAATGCTCTAATATTAATCAGGCCGAGTGCAAGGATCAACGATGTTCTTGTGCCCCAGGTCATATCGACGTAAACGGATTTTGTTACAAGGTCGCCGAAAGTAAGTTTTTAGAAAATCTCGAGATATTTATATTTCAATTAAGTAAAATATTTATCTGTGATTGCAAAATTAAAAAAAAGCTTCTAATTAGAAAATTAATTTCATGTAATATTTATCATTACTTTTTACATACAACAAAAAAATGTAACTTACCAAAAACTATTGGATACAAAAAATGTTTCTTTACAGTTGTTAATTTGTACCTGTTATTTTTTTTAAGATTTTGGTGAGCGTTGTCCCACGCCTATTGTCTGCTCCGAATTACAGGGTTCTGTATGTTGGAATGGAATATGTCAGTGTCCACTTGGAATGGTATCAACGAATAAAAAGTCATGCATCAATGGAGCCGCAGGATTATTCTTAGCGCCATTAGCTCTTCTCGTTGTAGTTCTGTCGATAGTAATTTAATATGCTCTATTCATTATTCACTATTAACCTGTATAATTAAATTTTTAAATGTGTATAAATAAATTAAAACTCAAAGGATTTTATTTGATAGAATATAATATCAATAATATTTTCAAATTATAGATTTACTTACCTATCAATTTTTGTATAAAAACAGAATCCGGTTTAATTATTTCCAATAAAAGGATTATTACAGTATTTTTTATCCTAAAGGAATTATTGGAAGGTACTGATTTACTAAAAAGAAACAACAAAATGACAGAAGTTTACATTTATTCTAATAATAATAATATTTACAGAGACATTTATTAATTATTTAATGTATATATTATATATATATATATATATTTAATTTATATATAAACAAATGTGATATAAATAATTCTTTACCGTTTTCTTTTAAGTTTTGATTTTTTTTTTTCATCTTCCCAATATAAATAATGTGTTAGGTATATAAGATTATCTGTCACATATTTATACAATTATTCCATAAACGGTACATTTAATTTAATTAGGGGGACAGGGAGGGATTTTGAAATATTTTCGAGGGAGGTGATATTCTTTGGTCTCGTACACTGCATTCGCACGTTCGGCCAGTGTCCGTCGATATTAATCTGAATACAATGTTATATTTTTATATATATATATATATATGTATGTTTTTGGTGGCGGTTTTGTTCCATGGTGCTTCGCCGTCCTCTCGGCGATGAGATGTTGGTACAGTGCGATGATGATCTCTTCAGAAGCAGTAGGTGCGTTGGCCCGGGCAAGTGGAGGATGTCGGAGAGTTGAGAGCCGCCGGTCTCCTTCCCGGGCATTCGGGTCATCCATAGTAATACATGCTGTTGGACCCGGTGTTGAGGCTGCGAGGAATCTCGTTGTCGGCGGCCCTTCGAAGAGTATGGGAGTGGACATGAGGGTATCGCACCACCTCTCCAATACTTCCAACCGATGCTGGTGAATGAATAGCCACAGTAGGAACCGGAAGAGGGGTGGTTAGGTCAATATCAGCATCCACTTCGCTGATGTCATCAGAGAAACCATTAGGTATAGTATTTTCAGCGACGTTGGTGGCGTGGAACTTGGCCGCGCGTTTGCTGCGGTGTCTTTGAATCAGCAGACGTGTAACAACAAGGATGAGGCATAGCAGGACTCCACCGCCGATGCTCAGGATCAGGTATAGGTAGAACCTCTCCTGATTCTCTGCAACACAAATCCTACCAGTTAACACCATAACTCGATACAGAGTAAATATGCATGCAGCAAAGGAATGCACAACGACAGCGCAAAAAAAATGGGAGGATGGATGTATCTAATGTTTGTATTTTTTGTTTTGTTGTGTACTTACGCGAGACAAACGTGTACGCATTTATCCATTCAGATATGAATCCAATAACCTTCGTCCCCTCTTCGGGAGGCGCAGTGTATACTGTTACAGTGCAGTTGGGGTCGTTTATGTCGTCGGCCTGCATGTCTTTGGGTGTTTTTTGTAGAAAAGGATTTAGGGTTTTCGGATTGAATTTGCGAGGCCGCGGGGTACTAATATATGGCTTACGGGGGATCGCTGTAATCGAAAGAGAATTTCAGAGATCGAATAGTTTTTCGTTTCGTTTTACTTTTTTTGTGTGTTTGTTGCTTCGTTCTTTTGGTTTTGCAGTGTTCGTGTATATAAACAACCCCTCAGAAAGAATTTTCCATATATTTTTTTACATATATCTCAGTTGAAATCGAAAATGTTACCAAATATTTCAAAAATTGTAGTTTAGATAAATTTATTGTGTTATATTTCTATAAATTCCACTATTTATTACTACAATGTATGTTTCTGATATTTATATATACAATATATAAAGTAACCATACTTGATTCATTGAGATATGTTTCATAATTTTGGTTATAATTGAATTATTGTAATTGTTTATAAAATTCTTTCTGAAGGAAGTGTACGTTACAGTGTTTCATGCTCGCAGGGTGAGGTGTGAAAGTTGTCCCGACTGTGACCTTAAACCGATCGTTCAGCTATTGATGAACCACAAGTATAGAGTTCGTGAGTTCGAATGTAACATATTTACAAGAAAAAGGGTTGTGAACTTAAAAGTGGGAAGTGGAGTTTGTCGAGGAGTTAAGCTGCCAGCAATTAGTGCTCACTACGAGAAGCAGCAAATATCTATTTGTAATATATATATATGTATGTACATATATATAAGTTATAGCAATCAACATGCAAAACACTTCCGCTTGTAGACCGTTAATGATGCACAACTCGATCCGGAACAGCCGGAACGTGATGGATACACAGTAACAGTATACAAAGTTAAGGCCAAACAATGGTAGTGTACGATTGCGAATCGATATGTATTTAATGTACCTGCATCCGGGTCTTTGGATTTGGAGTGCGGGGGTATTTTAGCGGTGGTCGGATTATCTTTGGTTAAGTTGTTGGAGCCGTTCTCGACGTTGGGGGCGGGCGGAGAAGCCGCAGATTCCCTGATGAACTCGTTCCCAGAGTCGTAGTTGTCGAAATCGTCCTCCTCCTCGTTCGTCTCGTATTCGGTGTCCAGCTCGTCTGGCTCCAGTTGACCTTCGTACTGCTCCTTCAATACTTTCCTAGGTACTAATGGTGATAGCATACATATTAAAGCATGTACTAAATATGGTTTCTTGTGATACTCACCACAGGCGTATACTACTTTAAGGTACATCCGGGTTTGGGGCCTACAAGGATTACCGAAGGTGCTGGCATCCGCGGACATTTCGCAACTGCGCTTACCATGACATATTTGCATAACGGTCTCCGTGGCGTAGCTCACCAAGCAAGCTGCAGGACAAGATTATGTTTATACTTGCTTGGAAAAGTCATTTCCGAGGGATGGGTTTAAGGATGAGGATGTACACTTACTTTCCTCGGAGACTCCTTGTGGCTGGGGACATTGGAAACTCTCGTATTCGGTGCGGCCGTAGCTTGCGCTGTATACAGCGACCCTCGAATTCGGATTGCACTTCAATTGCATTCTTTCATTCTCGCATGCCACCTTACTCCGGAACTCATCTAAATCGAAACAGAATTAGTTCTCTACGAGCATACGGAAACGGGGTGATGGAACTCACATGGTCTGCATTTGTAGGCGACCTCCACGTACTTCCTTTCTCCTGGGCATGGATCGCCTCCGAAGGTTTTTGGTGAAGCTTGGAACTTGCATTGGCTCTTCTTCTGGCATGCTTCGACGACCGTCTGCAACAGTGAATACTAGGTACCGTCAGTCAGATCGGCTGTTATTGAGTTCCACGTTCGGCGGTGATTAATTGCGAAGCCACTGTGTTAACGAATGTTAGCTGAAGATTTAGTAAACAAAAACAGAGCGTGTGCTGAAGCTTCAATCAGAATCAAACCAAAGAAAAGTACATCAAAAAATATTTATTAGAGATACCATTGTACAGTTAGCAATAATTTTCCAACAATAAATCCGAACAAAATAATAAGATATAGTTATAAGATCCTAGAACTAAAGTAATTGGATTACAAATTTTGGAAAAGATATGAAACCACTTATTTATTATGAATAGCTCATTGACTTTCCAAGCTTTATTCATTCGATTATTCGGTAACAAAGCAACTGAAATATGATTATTATTCGATTGAATAGAGACGTATTGAATAGTAGACTTTGAAATGCGATTGAAATTCCAGTTAAGAAATGCTTGAAAAATATTCATTTAAATGATATTAATTATCTATGAAAATAAATTTTGTCCGTAATTGTTGCAGGAAAAATAATATTTTCTTTATATTTCTAACTAAACAACGGTTAATAAAAATAATAGAATATTAAAAATGAACATAAAAGTAAGTAAACAATGTACGAAATAGTCGAGAAACATAAGAACAGACTAGCTAAAAAAAATGTCAGAGAGCAAAGCTAGTGTAAAGACTTACTCTCCCCCAAGAACCTTGAGTGACTTCTTCCCATTTGCTCTGCAAGTAAGCATACGCCAACCAATAACAAAAAAAAGAGAGAACACAACCAATCAGTAATCGCCTTCTCTTCAGTGTTAAAATATATTGCTTGCGCTTAGATGTTTTGATATATTAATATTGTTAGTAGTCGAAGCACATTCTGCGTCTGATGGCTGTAAAATGCTGCGAGAAAGAGGTTTATTCCAGACATGGTAAGATCATTTACAAGGTATGATATATAATTAGCTAATACTTATAGCTTTAGTCTATGTTTTAATTTAATATAAACATGATGATATACGTAGCCATTAGTATACGTTACATGATATATTTAGCTATTTCTTACAGCTCGAGTATAAGTTACAATCAAATTATTAAATTGATGACATATTTAGCTATTACTTACATCTCCAGTTTACGTTACTATCATATATCATATAAACATGATGATATACTTAACTGTTACATATACGTAATAGCTCTAGTTTACATTACAATTTATCTGTTCAGGAATATTTAGACTGATAAATGTTTTGTTCTAAAAAACATGTTTATTATTAACTAGACCATATATTGTAAATGATAATATTGCGGATATCTTTGGTTATTCTACTGACCTGCAGGGAGTTGGGCCATAGACAGGATATGTTGAAGGAGTGCGAGTTCTTCGCCACCGGTGTCGACCTGTGTCCGCAAAGCGCCTTCGTCGAGGCCGACTTCCCGTACTGGGCTACCTGCACGGAGATGCTCGTACCCGGAGGACACTTCAAAGTCACCAGCTCGTCGTCGCACCCCGCCCTTTGGTAGGTCCTCAATGTACCTGATAAAAGAGCTGCAGCGTTGTAGGAAGGTCATCGTCGTCGTATCCAAACACCACCACCAGAAACAGAGAAGAGCACCAGAACCAAGATTAGTGGGTTAGGTAATTGCGGTTATATTTAGTTAGGTATTCAGAACGCGCCGCTACATTGTGCGAGTCTCCGCATTGTTATTTGTGTATACATTCTTTCTTTCTCTCATCTTACATCCTTCCTTTCATTTAATTTATTTAAGAGATTTTATTTATTTGGACGAGTTTTCATTTGATTTCTTTGGAAAAGTTTTTTTTTATTTCATTTATTTTCAGGGGTGTAAAAGTGAGTTTAGTTAATGGCGTGTTATATATTTAAAGCTGGTTGTCTTGGGCGATGCACCGTTGGAATGTAACACGGGATGTGGGAATTCGAACAAAAAGCCAGCGAAACGAGGGTGCAATAAATCCCTTGCGAGACAAGCTACATGTATCCGGGACTACGTTTGCACTGAAAACGCTTGTATCTATATCTATGTGCATCAATCTGCATATGTTGATATTGGGGTTTTGGGGTAGTTTGTGGGAAGGACGTCACTGTCGCGATTACCAAAGTGGTCGACCCTATGAACGATTTGCGCAAATCCGATGGTGCAAATCAGAACAAGTATGAGTGGGACGAGCACGTTTGCACCCATGCTCGAGCATCGTAGCGCGTCGCAGCCGTGTTCACAGATACAACTAACTGGCAGATGACAGAGTGGCGACCTGCAGAATTATATTATTATTATTCCGAATACGTTTCTGAGTATGTTGGTAGGTTGGTATAAGAGTAGGAGCGTGCTTTGGCAGTGGCCTGCTGCTGTTCCTGCCCACCTTTCACTTGAACATGGGTTGACCCCGTCACCATGAGTAAATATAGCGGAGCGCCGTTGCGTCTCCAGCTATCCCACAAATAGAATCTACCGAAAAACTGCGAATAACAAAACATCATCATCATCATTCCGAAAGCATCCCAGGCATCTCATCTTCTTCCTTCCGTTCGCCACCAAAACCGTGCGCGGCTTAAATTATTCACCGATAAACGCCCAGCCTCCATCATTAAACGAATGCCATCCGCCCAGTTCCCATGCCTCATACCATCCCATGCGTTATTCACCGATAATTCATTCAAATCCCTCATTACCTTACAATCACACATTAATCCCAAATCGAAAGGATTTTAAATAATAATAACACTGTTAATGGTACTTCAAAGTGATTACTTCATTAAATCCAATAATAATAAAACGTTTTTTTTATTCCATACCTCTTATATTCAGTACAAAAATTTAATGACAAGATTCAATTAATGATTTTCAGGGATGTGTTTTTTTTTTGTTGATTTATTGATCTTGGTGGAAATTATAAAACCCTTGGTTTATTCCCTTGTTTTTGTTTTCTGTGATACTAATTCTGTTATTTTTCTTTTACCACCGTTCAGGGTCGAAGAACCAGAACAAATAAACGGTCTCTCTGCTAATGTAATGTTCGTGCGGAACATGGGCGATAAACGGTCCGGGCTTTCGAAATGAGAACCACATGAGCTCGGTGTGATAATAAACACTTGGCTACACCTTCTACTGATTCTTTCCAGCTCACTTTCCTCCCTTCTTTACAGACAATAAATTCACCCGACGGAACGAAGAGATGCAGATTCTCATCCCCTAAAACGGAACCATCCATTCTGACCCCAATCCACCCTCGCACAATACTCCTTTGCCTTTATCAGAACCACTCGGTCTTTATCCAATTCGATTTTATTTATACCTAGGCTAAACTGAATCATATCTTAGCCGATAACGGAAATTGATTCCGCCTATAAGTCGCCAATAAATTAAGTTTCCTCAAGTATCTGTACTTGCGGGATTTGTTACAAGTTTATTTGGGTTTTGGAAAAGAACATCGAGAATTAGAATTTCATCAACGCGCGGCACTTCTTTCCTATGCAAAGGCATTCCGATACGGAACAGAACGGAGATTCTTGGAAAATAATCCTACGCAATGTAAATTTAAGCGAGATATTCCGAATGTTGTTAAATAGAATATTTTAACATAAATACCATTTAGATCGTCCATAAAAAGATATGACTCCGCTAAACAAGATTTCAATGTGTTCGGGATATTTTGTACAATGCTTTTTCCTCCAACATGAGGATTATAAAAACCATATGCATTTTCATAAATATCTATCTCTAAAGTATTAGAATTTTACTATTTCAACGTATTTTTTTTCTATAAAATAATTCTATTACATTACGTGATTATCTAACAAATTACAACTTTGTGAGAAATGAAGATGATAAAGAAATTTCTGAAAAAAAAAACAGATTTCATAACTGGAAATGGTTTATATTTATATAATGACCACATTTTGGGACGGATATGTAATTTGATCTAAAGTCGTCAGGATTCTTATAGATAATTAAAAATATTTATACATTAATCTAGTAGAATGCGGATTTCAGACGATATGAAAGAAGTTTCTCTAACTTCAAATTGCATTAATTGAAAATCAATGAACTGGAAAACGCATGACCTTAAATGACTTCAGTAAAAAAAAATGATTACATACCTGTATTATTGTACATTTATTAACATACATTATGTCTCTAAAGGAATATGCGAAGCGGATGAAAAGCAACGACACACAAACGTAATTGCTCTAATTTAGTTAAGAATTAAATTGAACTTGCTGTAATTTCTACAAATAACATTTCATTCATCTGCAGATTATGAATGAGATTTCGTGTTGTAAAATTATGAATGAGATTTAATTTCTAAAAATTAGTTACAATTTTTATAAAACAATTGATTGTATTCATGTAGTTTATACAACAAAAAATCGTTTGAATTTTATGAATGAATTTCGGTTTTCAAAATTAGATATAATTTATAGAAGAGAAATTAATTAAATTGAACGTGATGTAGTTTATATAACAAAAAAACGTTTGTATTTTATGAATGAGTTTTGTTTTTCAAGATTAGATATGATTTTTAGAAGAGAATAATTTAAAATGAACTTGAAGTAGTTTCTAAAAAAATCATTTGAATTTTATGAATGAGTTTGGTTTTTGAAAGTTAGATATGATTTTCAGAAGAGAATAAATTCAATTGAACTTGGTGTAGTTTCTACAGCAAAACAGCGTTTGAAGTTTATAAATGAGTTTGTTTTTTTTTTAAATTAGATACGATTTTCATAAGTTAATTCATTAAACTGAAGTTGATATAGATTTTTCAAACAATAATTATGAATGGGATTTTGTGTGTAATAATTACTTATGATTTTCATTGAAAACAGCATAGGTTAATTACGAACGAACATACAAGAAAAAAGGTTAATTCATGCGATGCGCTCTGTTAATGGAATAATTAATTAATATACACGAGCGTGAATTTTAATTGGAGCGACGGCTGTAAAGAGTGCTTACGCAATTGCGTTACGTGATTCGTGTGAATTAATGAAAGTTTGCTGACCAAATATTACCACAGGACTACCGATGGGAAATATTTGCATTCCTTATTGTCCTCTACGGATCATATTTGCCGACCAATTTTGTGGCGGATAATAAGAAAGTAATTACGTTATGCAACAGCGTCCCATGAGGATATGGGTAACACAACAACTCGGTTATTGTCGGTGGGCGTATTTGAAGTTCGTGGGAAGAATCCACATCCATAGTCCAGCATCAACCGTTACCACTAAAGTACAAGTTTCTAAATAAGTAACGAATGTTGGATAACGTCCATACAGTTTATGAACGTGAAACAAAGTGTGATGAGGTTAGTACTTGGATTGGTGATAATAGTAGTAGTGACGAATTTGTAGCAGTTAAAGTAATATTTTGGGATGTAATGTTACGTAAATTAACGAATTGGTTCTTTATTTCATCAGAATTTCAAGAATTATAATATAAGTTTTATTATAATATATTTATATAATGAGAATGAAGAAATCACTGAAAAAAAAGAAGATTTTTCATAATTGGAAATGTTTACATAATGACCACATGTTGCGACGGATATGTAATTTGATCCAGTCTAAAGTCTGTCGTTAGGATTCTTAATCTTGTGGTATGCGGATTATAGAAGATATGAAGGAAGTTTGTCCAATACTAAAATGTTGGATAGGAATAGTTCATGGATTGGTGATAACATTAGCTAATAGTTATAACGGACACAATTTAGTAGTGTAACAAGTAGTGACAAATTTTGGGTTGCAATGTTACCAGCCTAAATTACATGTATATTCATAACAAGATTATGTAGTTCGGTGAGATATGCATATAATGAACTAATCACTGCTAATACTTGCTGTATCCTATTGACTGTCACAAAAAACACAACTATTGCTACAAAACGAATTACAGAATTAATTGAGACACCGGTTAATCGGGACAGCCGCTTATATGGGACAAATCTTAAAGAACGGATACAAAACCGAGCAAACATTGGGACAGCGTTGACATTCGTGTCCCGATTAAGTGGAATCGACTGTATAATTATACGGTATTTAATTTAAACCTGAAATTATTGGCATTTTACTAAATAAATATATAGAAATTTAAGAAATTTAATAAAGAAGTCTTATTCTAATAATGAATACTAAAAGTAGGACAATTTGTGAACAAAGAGCGGATAACGAAAGTTCAGGATACTTTTTTAAAGTGAATTTTCCAATACTTTACAAATAATGCAGGTTGTTAAAACCTGGCAAGTCACAACTAACGAGAAGAAATAACTTACAAATATAAAAAAAAAAACAAAGTTAACTTGAAACCTGTTTGGACTTACGACATTCAACTCTCCGAAGAATCGAAACAATTCAATGAGTCATTATTAACAAGAAAGTGCAGCCAAAAAACTTTTTAGTTTTATCTAAGAAATTCATATTTAATATTAGTTTTAAATCAATAATTTATTTATACTTTAATATTTTTGTAATTACATTTAGAGATGAGAAATTCAGTTTTTACTATATTTAAAAAAAATACAGGAAACCA